TAGGTACATCCCTGGGAATATATTATCCGTCCTATACACGTCGTGAAAAAGGTCGCTCGGGGCGAAAGAAAATCTCCCGAAAAGATGTGCTTACCGTGCAATTGCATTTTGAACTGGATACGTGTCCAAAAATATCCTTTTATATTCTATCGTTGGCTTTGGAATAAAAAACCGCTGGATCAATTGATGACCAGTCAGAATTTTCATTATTCACCTCTGTGGCAGTTAATCTTTGTAACTGAACGATCCTGATGATATGGCATCTGGAAACTATTGTAAATTAAAACGTTCATTTTCGCTGCAGATAAATAGATCGATATTAGACACACCAAGTTGGGAACTTTAAATGGCAGTGAAAAATGACATCATAAATTACTGTTGGATCTAACATTTTAACTTTCGTATCATTAGCTCAATCAATATTGAGGATGATATGATTAAAAAGAATGAACGAAGGGAAAGCAATGAGAGTTGATTTATTAATCGCTTATTTCTTCTTGAGAGAACTCTCCCACAGGAAGGATAATTTAGTTATATCTAAAAGTCGACGAAATAACAGATCTAAATATCATTACAAAATCTTCCAAAATATATATATTTTAATAGAATATTCACAGAAGTATAGATAACCAAGCATTAATTTTAGTAGTTATTAAATAAAGAAACTTGGATAATGCACACAACTGCTCATTTTCTCTTTATGATAGGTAAAATTTGCTCCCTGATGAGGTTTTGAGTGGTTACACTACAACCCAGACAGCTTTTCCTTCAGAGTAAATGAATGATCAATCGTAAAATGTACTAATCAAACCACCAGTATTTTTTTTTTTTTGACTGGGGCTTCCGACATCTAGGTCATTTCAGCCCCCAACTAAGTCTATATTCTATTTACCCTTTCAAACATTCCATTCATACAAATAAATACATTCATACACATAAATACATCCATACAGTACACTCATTCCTTTTGGTCGGTGGAGTACTTGATATTCCTCCACCGACGTATACTTAAACTAATCTAGATTGGGGTCGATGGAGTACTTTTATAAATAATCCGCCATCGACCCCCAACACACACTCATACGCTTTCTACGTTCGAGAGGCGATGATGACGTTATATTTCACCCTCACCCCTCGCCATTCACGCTAATAAATACATGCGCTCAGACAAAACATATAGACACATGTTATATTCAATTAAAAAAACCAAGTTCCCCTAAAAAGCGGAAAAGGGGGCTCTGAAACTCGCTACCATGTTCGAGAACTCTTCTTAAGTCCGGCGGCATGCCTACACGCTCTCTGAATGGAGCCAAGGCATGACACGCCTCTATTATGTGGGACACATCGAGCAACCTTTCTCTTTGGCCCAAAAGCAGGTGCCCATGTGTCAACCGCCACCATGATAATTTTTATGCCCACTGGCATTGAAGTCTTTAAAAGTGGTTACGAGCCTTCATTTGAATTTCTCTATGATGAAACAGATTTCATCCAAAATTCCCATCGCATTTTTTGAAAAACGTGTGTTATAAATACATTTTCTCATAGTTTTGCCTTTTAAAGAGACTAGCAAACAAGAATCAAAAAGGAGGGTTTTCCATTTTTGAAAATAAACAAATTCACAGGCATTTCTGGTAGCCGATTTATAAATTAATTACATTTTCCAAGGTACTTGAAGGGGTGAGTCAAGACTGCTTATTAATCCAACTTTATTTCGTTCCTTTGTTGAAACCTTAACATATCGACGATGTAATTCATATTGGAAAAATGTTTATTAAAACATTTTTTATATGGTGACGACATAATGATTGTTCCTAAGGGTGAGTGGTTACTGGACAATAGGCCAATATTGGTCGCGCTGCACATGTCGTAAAGAGGCCGGCTCTTATGGAATCTACAATCTAAGGGTGATTGGGTTTAAAAATAAAATATAACTATATTGGAGAACTATCACTCACCATCTATTTATCTCCCTCCCTTACTCACTTTCGATCTCACCCTCTCACTCACTGTCTCTCTCCTTCTCTCTCTCTCTCTCTCTCTCTCTCTCTCTCTNCTCTCTTACTCACTTTTGCTTCCTGCCTACTTTATTTTTTTCTGTTGATAAAAAAAATATATAAACTGTTATTTAAATCAAACATGAATGTCAACTGCTCGTTTTTTTATCATCAATCGTTCCAATAATGCACCTACGATAACAACTACCACCTATTCGTTGTGTTAAATATGTCAATATGATTTTTTTTAATTATAACGTTGACAGCAATGGTTAGTCAAAACCGTGTGAAATGTTCGATTGCAGGTCTCAGGAGTCGATGGCAAAAAGGATGATCGAGGGGGCGGCTGTCCCATAGTCTGACATCTCCTTGGCAACCACTTCCCATGTTTGCCCAATCTCAAAGTCACACAAGCGACTATGTAATACTACTTTTTTTTACTTAGGATTTTCACATTCGACTCTCACTTTCAACCAGCGCGAGACGTTTCGAAGGGAAATATGTTGAAGTGCCGATAATTTTCCGTTAGGTTTCGATATGACAAAAGTTCCAATTATACATCATTCAGGAAAGTATAACTGGAACTTTTTCTCCTGTTTTTAAATCGACTAGATGCCATGTCGGGGCATAAATTGAATGCATTTATGCATGCGATTCGACATGAGCCGGGGCTTTGCCGAGGCCGTGATCGGCCATTTCGAGCCTAGATTAATGAGCGTTTTCAATTTTCGTCCTTCCTCCTGCGGCCTAGAAATAATTTTTTCTCAAAATTCCTATCAATTGAACGTTTATTTCTAAGCACGTAAATAATCTTTTTATTTTAACGGCTTGTTTATACAATAATTCGACATTTTTTTAACATAGTTCCTCGATCTTCTTATACTAATATCATTATTTCGTTAACGTAGTGAAACTAATGTTTTCTTTATATTTGTTAGGATAAAGCAACCCGGGGGGCAAGAAGAAGTCCTTTTAAAAGAGCAATTATCTTTAAGGCCACCTTGTAAATAACATAATTGCTAACGTGATTCTTGTAGTTAGATTGTTTTTAAAATGTTAAAAAAAGTCGTAAACAAAGTTTTTATCGATTCTTTTTTAGTGTTATTTTATCACAAGACCAAACCTTTTTTATTATTTTACGCTCATATTGCAAAATACAATTTTATTTTCTGACGTTACAGTAGTAACTATTCACTTGAAAGAACTGGAGGTGTTTAACAGGTACACACGTGTCAATAGATTGCTCTGTAACTAAAAAAATTTATTTCGTCAAGTACAATAAAGAAATAATATGAATTTTGAACAGTTCACTACTATAAACACTTCATAACTTCTTCTCTCTCTCGCTCTCTCTCTCTCTCTCTCTCTCTCTCTCTCTCTCTCTCTCTCTCTCTCTCTCTCTCTCTTTCTTGTTTAAGATAAATTGCAACCTATATATTCTAAAATGTATTCGGAGGCGAATACGGATTCCAATGCGATCTCATGGCTCCTTCCAGAACTTCTTAGTTTCAGTAAAAGTTTGTTTTGCACTATCAGTTAATAATAGAGTTATATTCATAATAGTTCTGTCTTTAAAAAACGGAGACATCGTACACGTCTGTGACGGCAAAATTTAGCTAAATATGCCTGGCATACAGATATGAATTAATTAAAAGTTCGGTTATTTTTTAATTTTTAATGTTTAAACGCTTTATTGTATATATTACTTTAGTTCGTTACTTAACTTCATGTATTTCTACCAGAGCGTACTTATTTGCTATTACATAAAAAATATATAAATAAATTACCAAAGAAATGTTTAATAATATTTATTTCATTTTTGCACAAAAGACTTATTTTTAATAATATTCTCATGTAGTAACACCTAAAAGATGTTAACTTGTCTTAAAATCTGAGTTCAAAATTGTGTGAAAATCTCGAGATCAAAATAGAAAATGAAAGACAAACAATACGAAATTACGGTAATTAATGTACAGATGTTTTCAGAAAGCGCCTGCTTACATGTCGATAGGCTAACATGCAATACACATCTGTTCGCTGTTTAAGCGTACTGAAGTATTCACGGCGTTTTTTCTTTCTTTTTTTTACTGTAAATTTTATAAAAACATTAAGACGCTTTTTTAGAATGTATCATCTGAGAAAGAGAGGGAGAGAAAGAGAGTGTGTTTTGTGTGTGTGCTGTGAGAAAGAGAGAAAGAGAGAGAGAGCATGCGAGAGAGGGAAAAGATGAGAGAGTCTGTGTGAATTTAGAATGAAATTATGCATAAAGCGTTCGATTTATAGTTACAAAAAATTCACACAAAAGAAACCCACAAAACTGATTCAGAGTAAAGAACGATATTGATTGATTTGTCGTTTTAATTAATCACACAATATTAGGTCTCAAAATAGTGCAAGTGATATACAGATTAAGAGAGAGAAAGAAAGAGAGAGAGTGAGAGAGGATACGAGAGAGAAATTAAAGAGCTATGAAGAGAGATAGTAAGAGTACACAACTTACTCAGCAAGGTGAGAGAGATAGAGAGAGAGAGTAAAAGTTGGGTTTTTGTAGTCGTTTTCCCAACATTTAAATTGTAAGATGTTATATATTCTTTATTTATTTAAGTCCAGAGGTAAAGTATTATTTCTGGACTCCTGTTTATAACTTGTAAATATGTATACACATGTATATGGACAGTAAATAAGTAATTTTGAACCTTTAAAGAGAGAGTGAGATGGCAACGGAGAGATAGAGTGAGAGAGAGAGGGAACGATTCATTCCATAAAATGCAGTATTTAAAAATGTTATCGAGACAGCGTGATACGTAATTAAGTGTTACTATCTAATTACACAATTATTATGGGTTTTTTATAGAAAGTTTTAAGTAGTTTTAAAAGTATTTACGAACCGGCAAACCGAAACACTCGGGATGCAATGCTTAGTCGTCATGATATTTTCCAGGGCTCGATAAATTGAATGCCAGCCTCGAAATGGGCGTTTTATCAGAAGATAAAATGTTTCGAAAACACGCCAGAACAGTCAGTAATACGATTGCCGTTTAGCAGTCGCTCCAATGTAAATTTTACCATCTTCGGCAACATGTTCTCCCTGATCATAGGATTTGGATTTATAGTGTCATACGTGAGCTGTGAGCACGATTACGGCCCTTATTCCTACCAGTAAGACTTTTAAACATTTACATTCAAAATCGAAGACAATGTATTTTTTTTTTGGAGAGCATGTATGAATGTATTTATGTAGTTTACTTCACTACATTAGAACTGTCCTTTATTGATATTAATCATACAAAAAATTGAGCGATGTTAAAAACAATCTGATTAATAAATAAAATCGAAATATATGTCTAATTTATGTTACTTTTTAAAAATTTTAAATTTATTACAATCAGCACCTTATTTAGATTTCGTAATGAGTTTCTCAATATTTACAAATGGCACAGATCATGTGTCGTGAGTAGAGTTACAACTACTACAATTAATTAAGGTTTTTAGTTGAGATAAAAAAGTCAATGGCACGAGCGGGATTCGAACCCACGATCTTCGGCTAGATACGCCGCTGCTCTACCACTTGAGCTATCGTGATCTCGATCCACTCGGACACTAACTTCCCATCTCAAGCCCACCTTTTGAAGTTGAAGCACTCAAGTGGTAGAGTAGCGGCGTATCCAGCCGAAGGTCGTGGGTTCGAATCCCGCTCGTGCCATTAACTTTTTTATCTCAACTAAAAACCTTAATTAATTGTAATATATTAATTGGTCAAGCGGACCACGAAATTAGTGAATTAAATGAAATAAAAATGAAGTATACTTCATTAAAGCTCTCCGTGGCCATTTCATTTGTCGCCGAGAATCCAATCCGATTACACATTTGAAAAATGGCAAAAAGGAGGGAAAATTCTTAATTAATTGTAATATATTAATTGGTCAAGCGGATCGCGAAATTAGTGAATTTAGTTACAACTATTCTTCTCCCAACTAAAAGCGAGGCCATCTCGTTTCCAGTCGTCTGGTGGGTTTATACGATTAGTTTATAATGGATAAGGATTGAGCAAATCGATTGGGGTGAGCGGAGATTTATTGTGGAAAGTGGAAAATTTGTTGAGTTCATGGTGAAGTGCGATATTCGAGACGTAGTTAGAAGCATCGTTTTGAGGATTTTTTATTTAAAGGACTGTATCTTTGTATGTTCGAAGGTTAGCGGTTTTAGTATTGTCTCCACAGTTTTAGACCGTCCGACCAAGATTGGTTTTAGTATTGTCTTATAGATTGTCAGTTTGGTTTTTGTTGAAACGTTAGATTTGCATGCCAGTCGACTATAGAATAGACCGAAACGTTTGTTTAACTGTCATTTTAGTCCTGAGTTTTGCTTCTAAGTTAGTCTTGAGTATAGATGGAACCCAAGGTAGCGGACAGTCGTTTTGGGATGGGATTACTATTGAGTAATATTGTATGAGAGGCTTTGCTTCGAAGAATGAATCCTTTTGGTGCTTTTGCTTTCATTAAGCTCTGTACGCCAGTGTTTGATCCATTTGGCTGTTTGCAGGGCAAAAAAAATATCGAAATGTTAGACGTATCCCACCTAATTGAAGGGTGCAACTCCTTGGCTCGATATAAAGATCGTGTAGGAATGCCACCTCAGATCCGCGGTTGAGCACTGGAGGGGGTTTCTGTGTCCCCTGATGCAATATTTGGCGGAAACAGGGTTGTTTTAATATAATAATGCTAGATTTGTGTACCTAATGTGTGTTGAGAGTGAATGAATTTATTTCCGTGAATGTGCAGAGTAAGAGGGCTGATGGCAGAATATTGAGTACTTATCGACGGTCATTCAGTTTAGTTATACAATAGGTATAAAGGGTGATGGAGGAATGTCGAGTACTCCACACGAGAGTGAATGGTATGTAAATATGAAAGGATCTATTTAAGAATGAGAGTCCTAGTGTGTTCTAGGATCTGCATGCATTGGGTGCTGAATTGACCTAGCTGTTGAAACCACCCAGAACCCAACCCAGGTCCCATACCGTACTGCCAAACGATAAAACTGTTGTATTCAATCTAAAATGTAATATATAAAAGTTATATACGAGTATAAACATTGTGTTAAATAAATAATATGATGACAATGCTAGGATGCAGGAGTTGCTCCTAGAATTGTCATCAGCACTCTCTCCCACTCTAGAAATTTCATAAGGATTTTCATTTTAATAAACGTTAGTCTTAAGCCAGATTTCCCGAAAGCATATCGACGAGATTTGATTTAGATTCATAAAGTTCTGAATGTATATCAGTAACTTATTTGTAATTTCTTTGAATAAAAGTTTTTAAAAACACGTTCGTCCAAAGAAATTATTTAACTTAAATATATATATAATTTATCTATTTTAGGCCAATGATTTTAACAGACGATGGGCATCTGACGATAAGCAGTGGCTATAATGGTAACATCTCGCTTGTAACACAAGGCGAAGGTGTTATATACTTTAACGACAACGATTTACTAGATATAATTGCACTTGTAAGCAAATTACAATAAAATTAACAATTTTCTACGAACATTGTACAAATATGGCTCGTGATATAGGTGAAAAATGCTACGTTGCACAATTCGTTTGGTAAAATACGTAGTTGGATGGACGTTTTGAAAGGAATGAACCGAGATATTCAGTCTAACAAGAAAAATTTGTTATCTCTTTCCAAATTATTTGGGATCAAAGAAAATGGAACATACAAACCATACATTAAATCATCGGTGGGTAATTTAAACTTTTTGTACTTATACGATGAAAAAAAGAAATTGTAATTTTAAAATGTTCAGTCAAGTATTACTTCGCTATAACCGGAGTTTAGTTTTAGTGCTTGTACAAATCCTTTTTATTTCAGGCGCTGCAAAAACTGGGACTTTCTTGGGCTCGGATTAAATACAAGGTGAATTGCTTAATTTCTTTATAAGTATAAAACTTACTGTAAATGATCAATTTATAACATTTATCATTACGTTTTGAGGGACTATCGTTAAAAGTTAAAAATATGGCGCGGTCAATGCAAAGAAACAATTGCCTGAGAAACCAATGCAAACACGGTGCAACCTGCTTCAGCATTTACAGAAAAGTGCAATGCATCTGTCCAACAAACTGGAAGGTACAAATCATACTTGCAATAATAAACAAGAGCAAAAAAAACTACGTTTTAGAAATATATTTGAATAAGTTTACGTAAAATAGTGCAGTAAACTCGTTACATTTTAACTGCTAAATTAACCTTGCACATGTCGAAATTCAAATAAAAAGGTCAAATGAGCTGCATGTTGGTTTATATTTGTGGAATTTAAGAACTGCCTATAGAATAGTGTAATTGTTGAAAATATCTCAGGGAAAATTTTGCGATGTGGACGTTGACGAATGCGCAGTGTTCAACGGAACAGACCTCGGCTGTCAAAACGGGGCGACTTGTGTAAATACGGCAGGTTCGTACAAATGCAACTGTGTAGATGGCTGGTACGGTCTACACTGTACTACAAAAGAGAACGACTGCGCGAAAGCGAAATCTGAAGAGTTGTGTGGTCACGGGATATGCGTTCAGGATGGACATGGACCCTCGTGTATTTGCGACCAGGTAAATGGGTGGAATTTAAGCATCTTCGTTCAGTGGAGTACAAAAACGACAAAAAAATTCGTTAGGGTTGGACAGTGCCTTCCAGCGCAATCGGTGATGGCAAGAAACTTCTGAGCTGCACGGAAGATGTCAACGAATGCAATGCAACGGTTCTACCCTGCTCTCATGATCCATTGGTACCTTGTATAAACACTCCTGGAAGTTTTGAATGCGGATCATGCCCACCAGGTAACACACCTAATTGCTTTTCATTGTAAATTCATGCAAACAACGTTAATTAATCTTTTTATGTAAGGTTTTGGTTGAAATGTAAAAGCTAGTGCCATGAGCGGGATCCAGTGGCATTAGCTTATTCAGTTCAACCAAAACCTTGCATAAAAAGATTAATTAATTGAAAGAAGTAATTTGGTCAATAGATCACTAAATATAATGGGTTGTTTTATAGGTTACATCGGTAACGGACGTCAGTGCGCTGACGTCGATGAATGCCAAACTGACAACGGAGGGTGCAGCACGAATCCTTTCGTCCAGTGTATCAATACAAGAGTGAGTCAGTTAACCATTACGATGAATGTCATTTCAATCATAAATATTTCAGGGTAATAGTATCTGTTTGACGTGTCCTCCTGGTTATTCCGGAGATGGAAAATCTTGCGAATTTACTAACAATTACTGTGCGAACGACAACGGAGGGTGTCACCGCCTCGCGAATTGTAGTTTTAATGCAGGTAGTTAAAAAGATTAATTTCACTCGTGTATTCATAAATCACCTCAAAACCGAAATAATTACGTGCCACAGGACTAAACATGGTTACTTGTCATTGCCCGAGTGGGTATGTCGGAACGGGTTTGGGGACGAATGGTTGTATCGAAGACAGTTCTGCAGTGGACGGCTGCAGCTCGATGCCTTGTATGAACAACGGGCGTTGCAGCCCATTAGACGGTGGAAATCACACGTGCTTTTGCACCCCGTACTTTTTCGGTAATGAACTGTAACTTTTGACAGTGAATCGGTCTAATCTATTCGTGTTTTGTTCTAAGGCGAAAACTGTGAAAAAGCGCACACTTCGTGCACGACAAATCCATGCCAAAATGGAGGAACATGCGTAGCTACAACTTATTTCCTAAGAGATTTTTGGTGTCGATGTACTCCGGGATATTCAGGGGTACTGTGCGACAAGAGAGACACTGGTGAACAAGCATAAATTATACGATATTCTAAAGTTAGTTCAGGGGTTTTAACCTATCCGACAATTACAGAATGTATTGGACATTTTACTGCGCCTGTTGGTAATTTAACTTGGAGGCCGTCATTTCACGATAGAGACTCAAAGTGGACTTATAAATCTTGCAGTTGGACGATCCAAACTGGAGAATTCCAAGCGTTAAAAGTTATATTTACAGAATTCTCTTTCCCCAGTTCTACACCACCTTGTACGGACTCTTCATCCCAGGCTCTACGACTCAAGGTAACAATCATTCCCTAAAGAATTAACCTATTATACGATACTATATTCGTAGAATTATTGCAGGTTTACGATGGGCTATCAAGAGATTCCAACTTAATCGGTGTCTATTGTGGAAACACTGAACCTCCAAAATTAATCATTTCTTCCCGAAACTCTTTAAGGTTTGATGTCGAAGGTCATCTTCCCTCGTCAGCTTCTCTAAACTTAAATTGGATGTCCATAGAGCGAAGTAATTTGAACATATTGTATGTGAGTTGCGTTTGAAACTAAGATTTTTTATCGTTTTGCAGAATGCGGTTATGACGTACAGGTTAAGGGACGCGGTAACATCATTTCACCCAAATTCCCGGGATACTATCCGAAAAATTCCCAGTGCGAATGGTCTTTATCCGCTCCGCCTGGTAAAAGATTAAAATTAGTTTTTCATCTCTTAGACATCGGAAAAGACGTCAAATGTGGTGACTCTTATGTAGCAGTACGTAAACGCAATCAGAAAGCTTAGTGTTTACATTAAACCGACATTATATTTTAGATATCTGTTGATGAATTTGAAAGCATGTATAAGTTTTGTGGTACTTCAACGCCTGAAGATATGGTCACCCCGGCAAATTCTGCCGAAATCGTGTTCAGGTCAGACAACACTAGTGTGGGCAAGGGTTTCAAGTTGGAGTACAGTGAAATTGAAGGATATCCTGGCTGCGGTGGTATATTGACAGATCGTTCCGGCAGTATATCCCTTCCAGGTTTACAACCATCTTTCGAGTTCATTTTACAGTGCGAATGGAAAATTCAAGTGCCGCCGTATGAAAAGATCAAGATACAATTCAATGATCTAAAGCTCGTTCTGACTTGCCTCTTCGAAGAAATAAAGGTAGTTGTCATCTCTCGCAGTATTTACATGATTATAATGGACATATTAAGAGTGTTCGCTTCTGTTCTACAGATATATGACGGCCCGAGTAAAAAATCAAAACTTATCGATCGAGTGTGTGAAAATGAAGTCCCTCCACCTTTCATGTCCACGTCCAACATACTCACAGTAGTTTACACCTTCGAGAATCTTCATTTTAACAAAACCGGCTTATTTCAAATTTCATACACCACGGGTAATGTTTATGCAGAAATGTCACGATAACAAGATTTTTACGTGTTGTTGTGTTTTAATAGTATGCGAAAAGACTTTAACGGAAGAATCTGGAGTCATTCAGTCACCAAACTATCCAAAACCATACCCGTCGGATATTAACTGCGTCTACAGCATTTCACGTCCGGCAATGACGTCCATAATTCTTTCGATTATAGACGTAGACATGCAGCTCAATGAAGCTTGCGATTTAGAGTCACTGACGGTAAAATGGTTAGCTGTCAAAGAGTTTACATTTTAAAAAAATCTGTTTTCAGATTTACGACGGAAATTCGGTCGAATTCCCAGTCCTTGGAAAATTTTGCGGAAATAGGAGTACAGAAACGTTGACGTCAACGTACAACATGATTTATCTCAAATTCTCAACCAATAACGATTTTTCTCGTGGAAGAGGATTTTACATCAATTATACGACGGTTCAAACTAGTATGTATTTTAAATCAACTTGACTGTACTGCAGTTAGAACGCCAATACAAAAACTTGAGATATCTAAATCATAAATAATCTTTACTTTCTAGATTGTGGTGGTATATTTTCCAAATCGGTAGGATATATCAACAATGACAATTTCCTTAATGTGAAAGAATGCACCTGGTTCATAATAGCAAAGCCTGGTCATGTTATTCACCTGGATTGGCAGGATTATTTGCTACAGAGAACGGATTGTTCGAAACGATATTTAATTTTATATACCAATGTAACTCAAGTGACAAATAATCCTCAATTGGGGGAAAAGTAATACATCCAATTTTTAAATTAATTTTAACAAGAACTTTCTTTTTACTACAATTTGAACTGAATTATTATTTATTTTTTTAATTTAGATATTGCAGACACTCTCCTCCTTCGCTCACGTCCACATCAAATACGATAATTATCAAAACATATTCGTTGGGATCAGATATTTTTAAGTTCAAACTTCTCTACTCAATAGAAAAGGACACAAGTAATGCAATTCCATTTAAAACAATTGTGATCAATCAATAATTTTATTTGATTGTTTTAATAAAACTTTGGTTTTCAGCTTGCGTTAGACGTCTTTCGGCTACGACAGGTACGATCACAAGTCCAAATTACCCTAAGACATATCCTCCCTTTTTAAACTGCGAGTGGAAAATCACTGTGAAGAGCGGAAAACAAATCAGACTAATCATAAAAGAATTTTATCTTGACGACAGCTTCAATTGCGAAGAAGATTACTTAGAAATTAGGTTTTTATCGTAATTGTAATTGGTTTAATAAATCTTACAGTTTAATGGGAATTTTCTATTCTAGGAACGGTGAAACTGCAACGTCTCCTTTAATCGGTCGTTTCTGCAAAATGATACCAAAGGAAATGACTTCACACTACAATCAGCTATACTTGAAGTTCGTGACAAATTACATAAGTTATTCTAAGGGCTTCGTGATTTCGTGGGATGGAGCTTCCAACGGTACGGCTTTTCGATTAAATAGGGTGTCTGTTGAAAGATGACCACCCATCCCCAGTACATTAATTTTGGTCAGATTTTGATCAATCTTTTTTTTTTCATATTCGTTATGAAGACTAGTCTTTGATGTTTCATCAGTTTCAGAAATATGGTTTTGGTTCATTTTTTTACCGATAGTCGATAAGGGATTATTTCGTCGGCAGATTACAATAAACATCACCCCAGTTACATGTTTAGTGAAAAAACGGCAATTTTCTACAAAAACATTTCTTGAATTTCGATAAAAGAAACAGACTATCAGTAAATTATCGGATTATTTTCTTTCGCTTTCGACATATTTTTCGTACATTTTTTCCATTTCAATTTAATTAATTATTAATTTAATTCTATCGTAATATTCTGAATTGTAGGGATAGCTCTCTTCTTAAGTTCATCGATAAAGGAGGTTTGTAGATTACAGATTGTAAATGACCACAAAAGAAAAACTCTAGCGGTTAAGTAAGGGACTTCGGGGGCCACGGTACCGTGACAGGAGCTCCAATCCATCTTTCCTCACAATTCTGTTCAAGAAAATGTCGAATTGATCGGGCATTGTGAGGCATCTTGCAGGAGCCACAAGTTTCATTTTATAGCCAGGACTTCCACAAATCGAAGGTGGCTTTCACCGTCTAAAGTCCCTTCATAAAAATAGAGCCCAATTATTCGGTCGTTCATAATACCTATAAACTAAATTCACTACTTTCGTGGTCCGCTTGACCAATTAATACATGACAATTAATTAAGGTTTTTAGTTGAGATGAAAAAAAGTGAATGGCACGAGAGGGATTCGAACCCACGACCTTCGGCTGAGCTATCGTGACCTCGATCCACTCGGACATCAACTCCCCACCTTATTAGTTTTCCCTCCTTTTGCCATTTTTCCCCCATTAGGTGGGGTTGAGATGGGGAGTTGATGTCCGAGTGGATCGAGGTCACGATAGCTCAAGTGGTAGAGCAGCGGCGTATCTAGCCGAAGGTCGTGGGTTCGAATCCCTCTCGTGCCATTCACTTTTTTTCATCTCAACAAAAAACCTTAATTAATTGACATACCTATAAACATTGATTCCCAGACAGACTGAAAATTTATTTCTCGACCCCTATCTGTTTTATCTTAAAACCAAACTTTGAAAAAACACTTCATGGCTCATTTGGCCAAATGATACATTTTAAAAATCTGGGATTGCCTTCGTCTTTTTTTTTCATTTATGAGGTTATTTCAACTACGAGGTTATTGTGTGCCCATTTGTAAGTATGCTGTGTTGGAATGCAGGCCCGCTGGATTCGAACCCGGGACCTTTACCTTACGGTTGCGACCACCGACGCCCCTCTGAATGCGTTTTATTTTATAAGGAGATAATTTTGTTTTCCTTTAAAATACAGGTTGTTGTAGCTTTAGACATCCTATCGGATGTAAATGTTAATACCTAGTAAAACCGTCATTTCGCCAACTTCTATAAAAATTAAATTATTATACCCAGGCCTACGCAAAAAATTCTTAAAAATGATATAGTTTTGAAATCAGAAATAAAAAATGGAGGGAATCATTTAAAAAAGTTACGTATTATGGCGTTTTTTTACGTCAGAAAACAATAAACGAAAAAGTTATATCTGGTACCGATGAAACATGTAAAAACTAGACTTCATAACGAAAATATTTAAAAAAAAGATTATCGGACCAAAATTAAGGAGTCTGGGGGGGACATCTTTTATTTATTAATTCTGTTTTAGCCTTTAATGGCATATAGAGAGAAAATTGAATTCTTATAGTAACGTATATATATTATGTATATATATATATATATATATATATATATACAGGGTGTATATACATATACAAACTTTGCCAGTTCTACATTCAAAATGGAACCAAAAAGTCCTAATTAACTATCGTCCGAATCTCAACAGTTTTGGAGTTATTCCCATTTTCTGATTTTTTAATATTTCACGACCTTGCATCAAATAAACAATAACTCCAAAACTAAAAGGTTTTGGCCAAATCCGTCGAGACCATTGAAAAGTACGTTAAATTTCCAATTAGATGTGATCCATACTAAACTCGTAAAATTTTGAGAAATAAGCGTTTAGTAGCGAGAACTTTGATAAATATATTTTTTTTCAAATTTGAAAAACATACTATAGTGATTCTAAACTTCTATTTCCAAACCTAGAGACTAGCAAATTTCCGAAAACGTACATCATTTAATATCCTTTTTTGTGGTGTAATTCCTTTTTTAATTACCTTTTTCAAAGATGAAGAAATTGACGAAGGAAAAGGAAAAACCGTGATTGAAGGATTGGTAAGGGGGAAAGATTAATAATAATAAAAAATAAAAACTTAAGGAAATTTTGAATGAATTTATTAAACTTTTTTTTAAATTTTGGTTCGAAATGCTCTCCACCCTCCGCAATGTATTTTCCACGCGATGCCGTTTCATTAAACCCGCAAAACCCGTACATAAGATGTATGTATATCAGTTGTATAATGTATTCTTCATTAGAAAAAATAGCCATAGTGTTAATAAGACATCACATAGATAACCAAAAACGTTTGGAATCTTAAAACTTTTTTATTCAGGAGAATACAATAATCCTTTAATCAAAGTTGCAGTCGTGTGTAAATCAGCAAAACACTTGCTCTAATTCGGTTTTGGGTCCAAATTAAAAAAAAAGTTTAATAATTTCATTCAAAATTTCCTTAAGTATTTCTTTTTAATTTTCCACCTTACCAATCCTTCAACCACGGTTTTTTTCTTTTCCTTGATTAAGTTCTTCATCTTTGAAAAAGTAATTAAAAAAGCAATTCCACCACCAAAAAGGATATTAAATGGAGTACGATTTCTGAAATTTGCTGCTCTCTAGGTTTGGAAATAGTTGTTTAGAATCACCATAGTAAGTTTTTCAACTTTGAAAAAAAAAATTTTTGTTCCGTTTTAAATGTAGAATCTACTGGCAAAGCTTGTAACAAGAGTATCCGAACACCCTGTACAATCTTAGTAATTTTCAATAATACAAATATTTTATTACAATAAACATTTCTATATTGTGAAAATAGCAGTTTTATAATAATTACAGTATTGACAATAATGGCTACATTTATAAGCACAATGATAACCAAACTACCAATTGACGCGATGATATCAAAAGAAGTATAAGTAATCATTTAAATAATAATAATTAATAATAATATTTAATTGTTGACGTAAATTTAGTGGAATGAACTAAAATAATGAATAATCGCACTGACTAATGGTAATGGAAATACACAAAAAAATTACAATATTAATATTTCATGACGATTTAAGTGGCAAGTAAACATAACTAAATGTATAAATTAGTGTAATGTAATTTTTATAAAATAAAGTATTATATGTACACTCTTTACACGTATATAATTGTATGTTAAAGTGTATTGATATTTACAAAGAAGATGGCTGGCTTGCAATCGATAACTTAATACTGTACTTTACAAATTTATTAGTTTTCCAGGAGAGTTTTTTGTATCTTAAGTTAAGATCTTTAGAGCAATTTTAAAGATTCCGTTTAGCTGTTCAGAAGTCCGTATTTCTAATAAATCCGTGCACATTTGGGATTGCGGAGAGGTCGGGCTCAAGATGGGTCTTAAGGTGCTTAAACCTAAGGCATCAAGTCGGAAATTATTTAATGTGTTAAATTGATATTTTTTGACGCCCTGATTGCATATTTAGTTATATAAGTATGAAGATTTTAAGCAAATAATTTTTAAGAATTATAATTTATTATTCGGAGATCGTGAGATGCGGTCTGGTTGTGACGTAGGTTTTAGAAAAACATTTTCTTTATCGTGCCAACGTTTCGATCTTTATTGAGATCATCTTCAGGGATTTACAAACATTGTTTAAATTTAACAAATACATGTAGCATGTGGAAAAAAAGTTAATTTATTCAATGCAAAAAAATATTTTTTATATTCAAAGTATTTCTACTCACTCAAAGAGTTTGTTTTCTGCGAAATTGTGCCATTCTTGTGTGTCGTGTTGAGAATGCCAGTGAGATATTGCTTTATTAAATTCATTTGACATTTGAAAAATGGCAAAAATGAGGAAAAATTCAAAAGGTGGGGTTGAGATGGGAAGTTGGTGTCTGAGAGGATCGAGGTCACGATAGCTCAAGTGGTAGAGCAGCGGCGTGCTAGCCGAAGATCGTGGGTTCGAATCCCGCTCGTGCCATTGACTTTTTTATCTCAACTAAAAACCTTGTAGATGTAGATGTAATTTTTCAGGGTATGGTATACTGCGCCCTTTAAGAGCTATTGTATCCCCCGTTCTTTGCCTAAAGCACATCGGTGAGTCCTATTTCATCAAGAAACTTGATTAATAAGCCCGGTTTCAGTGGTTGAAGCTCTTCTAAGGTCACATTATACATCCCGAAACATTTCCTCCTGCGGGCTAATATAGCTTCGCAGTTTGTTTGTTAGTAAATGTGTTTCTTCTGCCTCCTTGCAGAATCTACATGTGCCATCTTGGATTGTTCCAATTTTACATGTACATACACAGCTTTAAGTGTCCATTTAATCTGCAGTGTCCTGTTAGAATTCGCAGTCTGTTCCTGCTTCCTTTGACACATTCTGTGATTTCTTTCTTACCAAAATTGGTTAGAAGATTCGTGGATTGTCTATGTCCAATGAGTGAATTCCATTGTTCCTTCATTTTCTTTTTGTCCTTCTGTCTGAGACATTCGTTAATAGTGTGGATTCCTATGCCACAGAAGGGTTCGGGTCCTATCAGCGGTGTGGCAGCCCCTTTCCTTGCAAGGTGTTCGCTTTCTCGTTGCCTTCTATTCCCATGTGTCCTGGGACCCAGCAGAGGCTGACTTTATTCTGCATACCTAATATGTTTAATTTGGTTTTGCAGTTCAGCACCATCCTTGAACTAATGATACTTGAGCTTAGTGCTTTGATGACTGCTTGGCTATCTGACATGACATTCTTGTTTTTGTACCCTTTACTTAGATTGAATTGGATACATCTTTCAACTGCATGAATCTCAGCTTGGAAGATACTGGTTTGTTTTCCCATGGGTTTTGAGTATTTGGTTCCGGGTCCAAATACTCCTGCCCCCGTACCTTCTTGTGTTCTAGACCCATCTGTGTACCAGAGGATGGTGCCATTTTTAAACTGCCACTAAAACCCTTAATTAATTGGAAGATATTGCTTTATGTTTATATACGTTGGATTTTGAAGGGGTGGGGAAGGAGGTCGGTATAGAAAGACATTTTTATATGAGGAGTCTGCTTCTTTGATGTGAAAGGAGCCGACGATGGGAAAAACGTTGGAATGGTTCGGCCACATTATCCTTTCAGGATTATATAGATGGGGATAGCTCCAAAGGAAAGCCAAATTATTCAAAAATTAGACTGTTGTGAAAAATGTTTGATATGTGGAATGTGATGATGTTTTATATTCAATTAATTAAGGTTTTGGTTGAGATAAAAAAACTTGTTTTATATGTTACACTATATGTTTTGTGTGATGTGATGTTATCTATATTGAATTTGATTAATGCGACTGCGGCGTAGCTGCGACTGAGTTTACATGTGTCTGTTCTGTAATTGATGCTGTGTTTATCTCTGTTGATGTTTCTATTTTTATTTCATTTCTAAAAAGTTACGTTTATGTTGGTTTTGTTCTGTGCGTAATATTTTTGGATTGTTGAAGTCGAAATTGAGTTGGTGTTCAAAATGGTGGGTAGCCGGTGATGTAGGATTTTGCTTGGGTTTTTTGCAATCATAAATATGTTGCTTTACTCTCTTATCCAGGTATTGGGGTGTAATACCGATGTAAGTTCCCGGACAATTTAAACAATTGATTTTGTAAATTACGTCAGATTTATTTGATACTGGTGTGGGATCTTTAATTTTGAAAAAAAAGTGTGTGAATTGTTTTATAGTTTTTGAATTTCCTCTTTCCTTACTTCCTTCTCCACCCCTTCATAAACATAAAACAGCAATATCTCACTGGCACTCTCAACACGACACACAAGAATAGCACAATTACGCAGAAAACAAACACTTCGAGTCAGTAGAAATACTTTGATTGAATATAAAAAATAATTTTTTGCATTGTATAAATTCACTTTTTTTCAACATCCTACATGTATTTGTTAAATTTAAACAACGTTTGTAAATCCCAGGCTCTGAAGATGATCTCGATAAAGATCGAAACGTTGGCACGATAAAGAAAATGTTTTTCTGAAACCTACATCACACCAGACCGCAACTCACGATTTCTGAATAATTATCGATTAACGGTCACTAATTACCAGACATTTATATTTTTAGGTTGTGGCGGAGTGATGGACGCTTTGTCTGGAAGTATCGTCTCACCGAATTATCCTTATTCGTATGGACACAATGCAGATTGTTATTGGAAGATCGTTGTGCCGGTCGGAAACAAAATCCAGTTGACCATTGTCGATATCGACCTAGAACCACGAGAAAATTGTTTAGACTTTCTGGAAATATTCGATGGGAAAAACAAATTTGCCAAATCCTTCGGTCGGTTTTGCACCAAAGCTCACCTTCAGACTTTCACGTCTACGAGCAATTTCTTGTTCTTGAAATTCTTCTCCGACCATTATTTACAAGGAAACGGCTTCCATGTCACCTATTCCACGGGTATATATCATAGAAATTTAAATTAACCAATATACCAAATTATATCACCCCATTCACAATCACACGACAAAATGTCAAATAACGCACACTGTCGGTAAAAAGTTAATTGTGTATTATATTTATTTCAGTTTGCAATACTGTACTAAAGGGACACAGAGGATCAATCGAATCTCCAGGTTTTCATTCACTTGGATATTTTTATGAATGCCAATGGATTATAGATGCCCCCTTAGGAAATCGAATCCAAATTGCTATCTCACATTTTACTATGAACAACTTCCTGCGAGGCGATAACTGTTCGGACAATTATCTACAGGTGAGAAGTATCCTCAACGCGTAAGAAAAAAACATAAAATTATATATTTTCAAATTCAGATACAAGAGAGGGACGAAAATGGGAAAATCACAACTTTGTTGGATAAACGTTGTAGGAGTGAAACAATTCCAGAAATTACATCGAACCAGACTCGAGTATTAATTAATTATAAAACTACACTTTTCACATCAGAAAACGGTTTTCGACTCGACTGGGAAGTTGTCGGTAAGTCCATCTACAATATTTAAAATTTTCCGGACTTGGAAGTCCCATGGTGTTTTTTTTCTTAGGCTGCGGAGGCGTCTTCAAGGACAAGATGGAGGGTGAATTTTCTTCACCTGGTTACCCAAATAAATACAACAATTCAATGGAATGTGAATGGCATATTTCAGTGCCCTTAAAAAACAATATTCAGTTGCAGATTTATGATATCCAATTAGAAACCACTTTCGATTGTGAAAATGATCATTTGACAGTAAGTGTACAATTAAATAATGTTTTGTAACATTTAATGTTAATACTCTATTAATTGTACACAGTTTTCGAAATGAAAAATTTGTGTCCCAGGCGGGATTCGAACCCACGACTTTCGGCTAATTACGCCACTGCTCTACCACTTGAGTTACCGTGACTTCGTTCGCCCATGCCACAAACTCATTTCGACTCCCCGTTTTATTCCAATCGTAAGCCAATCGCGGCTTCATATAAGTTAGTATTAACCTAGAATCACAGCTGTGGATCGTACACAGTCCCGCTAATGTAGTACAATCGATAATAAAATGTGTTTCTATATGAAGCCGCGATTTGCTTACAATTGGAATAAAACGGAGAGCCGAAATGAGAAGTTTGTGACAAGGGCGATTGAAGTCACGGTAACTCAAGTGGAAGAACAGTAGCGTAATTAGCCGAAAGTCGGGGGTTCGAATCCCGCCTGGGACACAAATTTTCATTTTGAAAAGATTGTGTATAATTAATTGAGTATTTATATAATTAAGTATAAGGTGATAAAATAATTAAAAAGTTAGTATTTAATGTTAATGTTTTATAAACTTTTTTTTGAAATCCACAGTAAATCAAACATTTCTAATTTTGAATACATGTTTTAACAAAAGTGTCTGAAAGTGTTTTGTTTTTAATGATTTTCTTTGATAGATTTATGGCGGGAAAGATGATTCAGCTCCGAAATTAGCGACGTTGTGTCACCCCGCACCTGGAAATACACCTTATCTTGTTACCACGACCGGCAATAATGCTTTTGTGAGATTCGTTAGTGATTTCTCAAAAACAGCCAAAGGCTTCCTAGCATCGTTTGCGGTTTTTCCTGATGGTACGTTTTCATCATATACTGGAGTTAATGATTTTTTAATACAAGAACGTATTGTTAATTCATAGGATGTGGAGGAGAATTCTCCGGGTACAAGGGAATTGTACAATCACAAAATTACCCTCAAAATTATGATCCTAAAAGTGATTGCGAATACGTAATTCGTATCGACAATGGGCTGAAAATCAATCTTACTTTCACTGACTTTAACATTAAATCCAATGAAAATTGCGCAGATGCTTACGTTGAAGTAAGTTAACATTCTCTCTCACTCTCTCTCTCTCTCTCTCTCTCTCTCTCTCTCTCTCTCTCTCTCTCTCTCTGGCTCTCTCTTAAAATTTGAAATATGTCGCTATGATTTTTTTTAAATTATAACGTTAACGACAATCGTGAGTAAAAGACCAAACGAGTCTGCATAAATTGTATGTATAATGTACAACATAACTCATGTTAAGAGGTATTGGGTTGTCCGGAAAATAATGCAGGATTTTGGTATTAAACAAAAAAAAAGAAACTAGTTACTTTAAAGCAATGTTCTTTAATCAAAATAATTTCCCATACTCTCAATACATTTCTCCCAACGTGTTGGTAACTTATTAATTCCGTCTGAGTAGAATTCAGAATTTTTAGAATTGATAAAGTCAATNTCAGTTAATAACAGAGTTATATTCATAATAATTCTGTCTTTAAAAAACGGAGACTTCGTACACGTCTGTGACTGCAAAATTTAGCTAAATATGCCTGGCATACAGATATGAATTAATTACAAAGTTCGATTATTAATTAGCACTTTTTTTATTTTTATGTTTTATTTTACATATTACTTTCGTTTACTAAGTTCGTTACTTAGCTTCATGTATTTCTACCAGAGCGTACTTATTTGCTATTATTTAAAAAATATATAAATAAATTACCAAACAAATGTTCAATTATATTTACTTCAATTTTACACAAAAGACTTATTTTTAGTACTATTCTGATGGAGTAACACCTAAAAGATGTTGGGTTTTTAACTTGTCTTAAAATTTGAGTAGATGCCATGTCGGGGCATAAATTGAATGCATTTATGCATGCGATTCGACATGAGCCGGGGCTTTGCCGAGGCCGTGATCGGCCATTTCGAGCCTAGATTAATGAGCGTTTTCAATTTTAGTCCTTCCTCCTGCGGCCTAGAAATAATTTTTTCTCAAAATTCCTATCAAATGAACGTTTATTTCTAAGCACATAAATAATCTTTTTATTTTAACGGCTTGTTTATACAATAATTCGACATTTTTTTAACATAGTTCCTCGATCTTCTTATACTAATATCATTATTTCGTTAACGTAGTGAAACTAATGTTTTCTTTATATTTGTTAGGATAAAGGAACCCGGGGGGCAAGAAGAAGTCCTTTTAAAAGAGCAATTATCTTTAAGGCCACCTTGTAAATAACATAATTGCTAACGTGATTCTTGTAGTTAGATGGTTTTTAAAATGTTAAAAAAAGCCGAAAAAAAAGTTTTAACCAATCCTTTTTAAGGGTAATTTAACAAAAAAACAAAACCTTTTTTATTATTTTACGCTCATATTGCAAAATACAATTTTATTTTCTGACGTTACAGAAGTAACTATTCACTTGAAAGAACTGGAGGTGTTTAACAGGTACACATGTGTCAATAGATTGCTCTGTAACTAAAAAAATTTATTTCGTCAAGTACAATAAAGAAATAATATGAATTTTGAACAGTTCACTACTATAAACACTTCATAACTTCTTCTCTCTCTCGCTCTCTCTCTCTCTCTCTCTCTCTCTCTCTCTCTCTCTCTCTCTCTCTCTCTCTCTCTCTTTCTTGTTTAAGATAAATTGCAACCTATATATTCTAAAATGTATTCGGAGGCGAATACGGATTCCAATGCGATCTCATGGCTCCTTCCAGAACTTCTTAGTTTCAGTAAAAGTTTGTTTTGCACTATCAGTTAATAATAGAGTTATATTCATAATAGTTCTGTCTTTAAAAAACGGAGACATCGTACACGTCTGTGACGGCAAAATTTAGCTAAATATGCCTGGCATACAGATATGAATTAATTAAAAGTTCGGTTATTTTTTAATTTTTAATGTTTAAACGCTTTATTGTATATATTACTTTAGTTCGTTACTTAACTTCATGTATTTCTACCAGAGCGTACTTATTTGCTATTACTTAAAAAATATATAAATAAATTTCCAAAGAAATGTTTAATAATATTTATTTCATTCTTGCACAAAAGACTTATTTTTAATAATATTCTCATGTAGTAACACCTAAAAGATGTTAACTTGTCTTAAAATTTGAGTTCAAAATTGTGTGAAAATCTCGAGATCAAAACAAAAAATGAAAGACAAACAATACGAAATTACGGTAATTAATGTACAGATGGGTTTTCAATAAAGCGCCTACAAACCTGTCTATAGGCTAACTTGCAATACACATCTGTTCGCCGTTTAAGCGTACTGATATATTCACGGCGTTTTTTTCTTTTTCTTTTTTTACTGTGAATTTTATTGTAACTTAAAAACATTAAGACGCTTCTTTAGAATATATCATCTGAGAAAGAAAGGGAGAGAAAGAGAGTGTGTTTTCTGTGTGTTGTGTGAGAAATAGAGAAAGGGAGAGAGATAGAAAGATAGAGAGAGAGAGAGAGAGCGTGCGAGAGAGAGAGAAGATGAGAGAGCCTGAGTGAATTTAAAATGGAAAATTAATGGAAAGCGTTTGATTTATAGTTACACCAAATTAACACAAAAGAAACTCAGAAAATAAAACTGATGGAGAATAAAGAGCGATATTGATTTATTTAAACACGCAATGTTAGGTCTCAAAATAGTGCAAGTGATATACAGATTACGTGAGACAGAGAGGGAGAGAGAGATAAAGAAAGAAAGAGTGAGTGAGGGAGAGTAAAGAAAGGTAACAGACAAAGAAAGAGAGATCGAGAGAGAAATTAAAGAGCTACGTAGAGAGATAATAAAAGTACACAGCATACTCAGCAAGGTGAGAGAGTGAGATAGTGAGTGAGTAAGGGTTGGACTTTTGTAGTCCAATTTTCGCAACACTCTTTCCTTCTCTATCTGTCCTCTCCTCTCTCTATCTCTCTTTCTCTCTCTCACACTCTCTCACTGACACTCTCACTCTTTCTACCTTACATATCTATTAGTATGAATGTAACTATTATCTTTCAATTATTTTGTAGCTTTATGACGAGGAATACGAACCACTAGGAAAGTTCTGTGGAAGTCAAATACCACCGTCGACAATCTTCCCGTCCAATCTTGCCTATATAAGGCTTAAAAGCGATGGTCAATTATCTTCAAAAGGCTTCTCAGCTAATTATGATACTGTACGGTTTTCATTTGTCGTCGCTATCTTACAATAGTAGATTAACCAATATTCTCTCTAGATTTGTGGTAAAACAATAGAATTAAAAGACATGTATTCACAAACCCTGGAATCCGATTTTCTTCTTACCAATTCCTTTATGCAATCAGTATCAAACTGCACATGGACAATCGTATCTTATGATCCCAGTAATAAAATAATTTTAAGTGAAGTACTGGCTTTCGACAAAAATTAACTATCGTTTTTTCCGTGCTAGGCAAGCATGTGACACTGTTGTTTTCATCTCTTCAACTGGACCCGTATGAAAACTCAAAATCCAAAGCATACATCGCTGTGTATGCTGGTTATAATACATCCGTTACACCATTCAGGAACATAACTGGAAACAAGATACCTCCATCAATAAAAGTTCCGGGTCCCGTAGCGACAATCATCTACCACCAGAAGTATGGAACATCGTTCGGTTTGGATTATACTCTCACCGAAAATGGTAAATATTCTTAAAAACATACTGCCTTCGTTCAGCTTCTATATAACGTTCTTTGACCAAAGACAATCAGAAGGTTCGTTTTAATTTCTTTTTATGCCAAGTAGTTAAAAATAAGTTGCTAGATGTTATAAAATTAAGAATTAGTGAACCCAAACTGCATTGTAGCTGTAAAACAAGATTAATCATTTTCAGCATGTGGAATATATATGCATGCAGAAGAAGGTAGAATAACGTCACCGAATTATCCTGATAATTATCCACCCAATACTGAATGTGTCTGGACTATATATCTCTCTCCAGGTAACCATGAAACGGTTGATTTGCTTTTTCTCCTTTAAGGTTGCGCTTTTTTTTCGAATATTCTATATTTCAGGAAACAGAGTTTTTCTTTATTTCACCGAGTTTGATATTAGACATACCGAACACTGCAACGAAGACTTCTTGGAAATCCGAGAAGCCCGCAGCAATAAGTTAGTCGGTGTTTTCTGCAATGACACTTTACCAGAAACAATCGAGTCGAACGTAACACTCTGGATCATCTTCAAAAGCTCAGAAAGCGGGGTTGGCAAAGGGTTCGTGCTAGATTTTGAATTAAGTAAGTTTTGTTTCCTACAAAAAAAAAGTCATACTTTATCATGCTGTTTCCTATTTGCAGAGATTGGAGGAACGTTCAAAGGCCCTGCTGGGACAATTTCAAGCCCTGACTATCCCGCATTGCACGGTTTAACAAGTAAAGTTTACACTTGGCTAATTTCAGCTTCTCCAGGATCGTTACTTCGCATAACGATTGAAGATTATGACATAATAACTTCTTATGATGATGACTGTGAAGAAAACGGCGGTCTACAGGTAAATACGAACATCCTGTGATGAACAATATCAATTTTTTGATGATAAGAAGATATACATACTAATGCACAATGATGATCTCTGCTTTTACCTTTGCCGTTTCCACTTGAGGGTATTTCACGATACCCGTTAAAGATGTATGTCTGAGCTTAACAATTTATTACCAGTGGCTACTTTTGTTTTTCACCCATTAGTTTGATCTATTTTTATTGTTTACAAAGTGCTCACTATAATGATTTGTTTACATTAGTTTATTATATACTAATAACTGACAACTCAAATCACTAAGATTTTTGAGGTTGCTTTTTGTTTAAAGTGCTTCCCCACAGACAATTTTGAAAAATTTGTAACTTCTGGATATTTACAGTTGTGGCAGGCTTCTATCCTATTACCTTACAGAAGACTTTTACAGATGAAACCCGACGTCCTGCTTGGTTGACTATAACCACCTTTGATTTTGAAAGGTTTTCGTTCAAATTGTACAAGTCGCAATAAGCTTCGAAGATCTTGTTGTTGTGCGGCAATGCAGCCGGGTTGTCACACATTAATAACGATATTTTTATAATGACATCTCAACCACTTACTCCAAACTCTAGTCTCTCATGCAAGTCAAATATGAATAAGGAAAATAGCAAAGGACATAGGGCGTAACCTTGTCCCACACCGGACTTCACTTCGAGCAAATCCGTCAACCCCTTTCCTTCTCACAGCAGAGACTGACCAGTCGAAGATCGATTTCAGTGCCCTTAGAAATTTATATGAGGAACATAAATTGCTGTTTTACTATCAAAATGCCCTGCGCTGTACGTTTAATCTTGTGGTGAAAAAACATGTTTTATTATTTCAATTAAGTCAGAAGTTTTGCATTAGAAAGATTTTATATTAAATTTAAATTTGTAAATTAATTTTAAAATTTATGATAGCTATACCAGCGAAACAGAAATCTGGAAAACTAATTGTCAAGTTCAAATTAATTATAATGTTGAGGTTGCTTTTTCATTAAAGTTCTTCCCCACAGACAATTCTGAAGATGTTGTAACTCCTGGATATTTACAATTGTTACAGACCTCTGTACAGAACCTTACAGAAGCATTTTTCAGATGAAACCCGACGTCCTGCTTTGCTGACTATAACCACCTTTGATTTTGAAAGGTTACGTCCAAATTGTACAAGTCGGGATAAGCTTCAAAGATCTTGATGTTGCGCTGCAATGCAGCCGGGTTGTCACATTACTGACGATATCACCCGCATATAATAATATTTTTATAATGATAATATAAAAGGTAATAATATAAAAAACCACGAACTCCAAACTCTAGTCTCTCATGCAAGTCAAATATGAATAAGGAGAATAGCAAAGAACATAGGGCGCAACCTTGCCTCACACCAGACTTCACTTAGAAGAAATACTTCAATCCATCCTTCTCACGGCAGAGAGCAGTCGAAGATCGATTTCAGTGCCCTCAGAAATTTAAATGAGGACCATAAATTGTTGAGTTTTATTATCAATGCTCTGAGGTCTACGTTTAATCTTGTGATAAAAAAAAACATATTTTATTATTTCAATTAAGTCAGAAGTTTTGTATTCGAAAAATTCTATATATTAAATTTAAATTTGTAAATTAATTTTAAGATTTATGATGGCTATACCAGTGAAACAGAAATTTGGAAAGCTATTTGTCAAGTCGAATCTCCATTTACTTCTAGAAATAGCGCCGTTTTCATACAAATGAGAAATATATCACCTAGCAAGTTCCTCATTTCTTGGGAAGAAATCGGAAATACTTCATTAAGCGATAGTAATAATTTGATTTATTTAGAACAACTGCATGAACCGTTTTATAACAACTACTTGGTGTACTTAGATGCTTGCAATTCGACTATATTCATAAGTGGACACCAAGGAGGAAACAGCAGTTACAATCTGTCCAGTCCAGGCTTTCCAGACCGATACTCCACCGACCTTCATTGCACATGGTTCATAAAAACCGACATTGAGAATCACGTTGTTATTGACTTCAAACTTGTTGACTTACATAATTTCTATGAATGCTATGACAATATTAAAGTCTACGATCGTAAGTAATAATGGAAAATAACCTTGGATTTTCAGCTTGTCACTTCAGACTTAAACCTATGTTTTAAACAGTGGACAGAAATAAACCACCAAAGACCATTTGCAGACACACAGACACTAAAACTATCACTGGTGGGCGTACGCTTAAAGTAACATTTGACTCTTCTGAAATGACAGGTGGAATAGGGTTTTTAGCTACAGTGAGAGTTGGTAAGATGAAAAGAGACAAGTTTTTCGACGTCAACGCTTATACGTTTTTATGTTTACAGAATGCGGAGGCAGTATAAGCGAACCGGACGGAATTATAAAACTGCCCGCTGTGCGAAACGCCTCTCTGGATTGTCAGTGGATCATAAACGCCAAACCGGGTCAAAAAGTGAAAATAGAATTCAGAAAATTTGAATTCCCCGCATCTAATTCTTGCATTAGTTCTTATGTTATGGTAATGTTGATGTAAACTTGTAAGTTTGCCTCTGGCCACTAATCTTTTAATTATAGTTGAGAAATGGTAAATATCCTGAATCTCCATATCTTGGACTGGGCAAGTACTGCGGGAAAACGAAACCTCCTGAGTTGCAATCGTCCGGAAACAGGGTTTTCATACGTTTCAAGCAGGAATCAAATGAGGTATTCGGGATTTTACATGTCGAAATGGAATATTTTTCCTAAATGCTAGAAACTTCCAGGAGATTGAGATATTTTATCAAGCGATTTCCCCGAATTGTAAACAGAAACTTTATCTGTCACGCCAAGATGTGCAGTCTATTAACATCAGCACTCCAAATTATCCTTCCCTGGTGCCTCCCCATTCTATATGCTCTTGGGTCATTATTACCAATGCCGACGACAGTCTTCATTTTCAATTATCTACCAAATTGTTATTTCCAACTGACAATCAGTAAATATAATATTTTATAAACGATTTTCTGGTCAATCCTACCTACATTGGCTTGTTTCAGATGTGAAAAACATTATTTGGAAGTTCGCGAAGGAAGTTCTGAACGAGGGCATTTAATCCATAAATTTTGCAGTCATTCGGCTTCCTTTTTCAACACAGAAGGAAACGCTTTGTTTGTCAAATATTTCGCCGATATTCCGGATTCTACAGTCGGTTTTAGTGCCACGGTTTCTTTGTGTAAGACTTGCGTCTTTTTAGTATGTCCTCTTGTGTTAACCAGTTTAATCGTGTTTCAGCCAAATGCGGTGGGACCATAATTGATCATGACATGACAATTACATCTCCTCGTTTCCCAAAAAGTTACGAACCCGATACAAAGTGCGAGTGGATTTTTCGTAATCGTGAATATGGAGGTTTTCAAGTTTACTTCGACCAATTTAAAATAGCAAATAAACAGGAGGAGTGCAATAACAGCACTTCACATGACATTTTAAGCATTACGGAAATCGATACAGGTATTCATTTTTTAATTTCGTTCAATTTTTATTGAAATTCAGGTTGCATTTCACATTGCATTACCTTGTCAGGAATGTGAAACACGATGTAAAAGTGAAAAAACGTCAGATTTGTTTTTTCTGTGTTCATCGGTGGTTTTCAATAAAATATGCCTCGTATTAAGAATAAATAACAATTTTTGTTAATTTATCAATTTATCAACGTGGACCGCATGATAAATCCCCATCTGTAGGCCCCGCGATAGTGGGTTCGATTCTCACTCTAGCCCTATTTTCACCCTTTCCTCACCCAAAAAAAAAAATACGCATCGCATATGACATCACGTTCCTTGGCTAACTTGCAAAGTTCATGAGACCATTAAAAAAATCTTTGAAAAAATGCATGTCGAAGAAAGGATTGGAGCCAAGAAAGAAGACCATATAGCCGAAGCTTCCTGAGATATCCTAAAGTTAACCCTGTCGAAATCCTTGGTCGTGTCAGTGTAAATAGCATGATCTATGCGGTGGGAAATTTTATTAATAAAATCGTTGTAAAGAAGCAAGTTTATTGAAGTGGATAGATAATATACACAAGGTTCCATCAGTGGAGCAATTTGTGTACAATTATTTATTTACATATTTAATTATTTTTCTCATTCATCTAGTTATTTATCTAAATATATGTTTTGATTTATTTACATATTTTATATCTATTTCAAAAATATTGTAACTCCTGGATATTTAAAGTCCTTACAGACCTTTATACGATTACCTTACGGAAGCATTTTTTTCAGATGAAACCCTACATCCTGCTTGGTTGACTATAACCACCTTTGATTTTGAAAGGTTGTGGTTCAAATTGTACAAGTCGGGATAAGCTTCGAAGATCTTGATGTTGTGCTGCAATGCAGCCGGGTTGTCACACATTATCCGCATATAATATTTTTATAATATCTCAACCACTCACTCCAAACTCTAGTCTCTCATGCAAGTCAAATATGAATAAGGAAAATAGCAAAGGACATAGGGCGCAACCTTGTCTCACACAAGACTTCACTTCGAAGAAATCCGTCAACCCCTCTTTCCTTCTAAAAGCAGAGACTAGCCAGTCAAAGATCTATTCCCCTTACTGTAATACTATATTTCATATTTATGTATTTATATCATTCATAGCCACTCGCGTTTCTTTTTACTGTTTTCATGTTTCGGTAAATTGTTACAATTATTTATTTATAAGTAGTTTTTAACAAATTTTTCCCACTGCATTACAACAAATTCATTAGAGACAAATTCATAAATGGTAATAAATTTCAGCCTGTGAGTTACATGCATATTGACACTAGCCACATTCCCTATACATAACCGCTTGCACTTTAATTGTATTTTACATCTAAGTAAACAAACTTCAAACTAAAACAATTCAGTTATTTTCTAAACTGTATTTTATATGCTTTCTCAACCTCGGTTAACAATTCACGATTTAAAATATAACGAAATGCATTATTTATTTATTATATTTATGTTCAACAAAACACCTTAAAAGAAAATTATCATTTCAGGGAAACAGACGTTTTTCTGTAATGCCTACTTCGATAAGTACAGTGCCTTTTTTTCCGAGTCGCCAGAAATCAAAATAGTTTTTACTACACAAAAGAATACGTATGCACTCGAGGATTTGGGATTTTCTTTGTCTGTATATAGGAAACAAGCCAGTATGTCGAACAGTTGTGAATTTTCATTGACCATTAAATAACACGATTTTTACAGCTATAGGGGAGAGGAAGAATGAAATAACGAGCCCTGGTTATCCAAATGGTATCACTACTATTTCCGGCCATCATGATATTTGGATTTATTACGATAACAGAATAACTTTGATGATTATTGATTTTGATTGGCCCTTTTCTAATTCAACGGAAAATTACGTTTATGTGCGTATATGTTGAAATGGATTAAATCGATTTCTTTCATTCCTGCATTACAATTACCTTTTTCAGTTTTACAATGAGAAAAACATTTTAATTACTAAATTGAACGGATTTCAACCAAATGGGACGATAGTGGAAACTACTAGTGGTTCCATGAAAGTAGTTTTTCGCTGTAATGAATGTGAGGGTCATCGTGGTTTTAAAGCGTCAATCATTTATACAAATCCGGCAAGTAAGTATGATCTCGTTAATCTTTGCACATTACTACACCTTAAATGTGTTAAATCCTATGTACCTAAATGTATGTAAAACTATTATCATTAATCTGCTAAGCTCGCTTAGTAGGGTGTTTAAAAAGTTAGTTGATAAGCGTATAGGTTCCTTTATAAACCTAAACTATCTGTCTTCCGAGCAGTTCGGCTTTCGTCGCAGCGCACAAACGCATGTAGACTAGTAGGTCCACATAACCTATAATAGTAGATCCACATAACCTATAATAGCAGGACCACATAACCTATAATAGTATGTCCACATAACCTATACTAGGAGGTCCACATAACCTATACTAGTAGGTCCACATAACCTATACTAGGAGGTCCACATAACCTATACTAGTATGTCCACATAACCTATACTAGGAGGTCCACATAACCTATACTAGCATGTCCACCACATAACCTATACTAGTAGGTCCACATAACCTATACTAGTAGGTCCACATACCTATAATAGTAGGTCCACATAACCTATAATAGCAGGACCACATAACCTATAATAGTAGGTCCACATAACCTATACTAGTAGGTCCACATAACCTATACTAGTAGGTCCACATACCTATAATAGTAGGTCCACATAACCTATAATAGCAGGACCACATAACCTATAATAGTAGGTCCACATAACCTATACTAGGAGGTCCACATAACCTATACTAGTAGGTCCACATAACCTATACTAGGAGGTCCACATAACCTATTCTAGTAGGTCCACATAACTATAATTTCAACTTAAAAAGCGAACAGGGGCAATATTTTTAGGCTTACAAGGCAATTCTCCAAGGCTTTTGATTATGTATAGCACAATGGCTTTATCTATAAGGCTAATTTTCCAAGGTATCTGATAAAAAGTGTCATGATCTATCTCAAAAACCGCCGTTTTAAAGTTTATGTTGAAGTATACTTTCCTAAAGGTAGATGGGGGATGAAGCCATGAATACAGAAACAACATTTATTTTCTTGTCGAGCTTTCGGCAGAATATAACGCCTTCATCAGGACTTTGTATTAACAAATTAACATAAGTAAATTTACAATTATACAATTTTTAAATTTTCCTTAATTACTAACTCGAAAAAAAATCGTTATATTATATGAACAGGTCGAATGAATACTGTCGCGTTAGGAATATTTATTACCTTCGTTTATCGAAGGTGGGCTCTACCCGCTATCCGTTATCTACACACACGTACCTGTTCATATAATATAACGATTTTTTTCGAGTTAATAATTAAGGAAAATTTAAAAATTGTATAATTGTAAATTTACTTATGTTAATTTGTTAATACAGAGTCCTGATGAAGGCAATATATTCTGCCGAAAGCTCGACAAGAAAATAAATGTTGTTTCTGTCTTCATGGCCTCATCCCCAATCTACCTTTAGGAAAGTATATTTAAACTGAGAAGGCTGATCAAACACCAAAGAAAATATTTATGTTGAAGGTGCCGTATCAGATGCGTACACGTCGTCAGCAGGAGTACCCCAAGGATATGTCCTAGGACTTACTATATTTCTTATATAAGAGCAACATTCTTGTTTTAAATAAAGTCTATAAGGCGCTATATGCAGACGATATTGCTCTTGTCACATAATGGCGCACGCGTATTATTTCTAAAAGGATAAATGCAGCTCTAATTCAACTAGGTAGGTAACGTTTTGAAATGAGAAGACCAGAATTACTTTTTTGTCGCCGGATATAACGGTTCGAAAAAAAAGCCACTCGTCTCGAATGATCGTCCAGTGTCTGTTTCCCAGCCACCTCCTTCGTTCTATGACATAGTGTATGTAAATCATTATCAGTATTAGAAGTACCTAACTCTTTTTCATTCACGAACACTCTGGATCAAGATATGGTCTTGAAGAAAAAAGCAAATTCTTACTGCCAAACTTTCGACCTATTTTAAAAACGGCAAAAAAATCTTAAATATATTTACCCATTGGCATATTTAAGATGTTTACAGGCGATCTCAAAATTCCTTGATGACCGACTCGTTCCTAACACATGGACTGTGACCAGTGTTCTTGATAGAACATTATGACATTATACGCAGTTATTGTGAAGTATATTCGAACGAAATAATAGTCCAAAAGCTGATTGCGAACTTAGAAGAAATTCCCGAGGCATCGACGGGACTCGAACCCACGACCGCGGTACCCCAGGGGAAAAATAATCCATTTAATGTCTCTATTTCAGAATGCGGTGGAAGATTAAACGGTCTTAACGGGTCGATGGCGTTTTCATATCCTAATTTGCATTCATTCTTTTGTAATTGGAATTTACAAATTGCTGAGAATATGACTTACAGCGTCAACATTGCTGGGAATCTTGTGAAAACTTACGATCAATGCGAACAGGACACGCCAACATTTGACTTGACTACGGAAGGTTCAAAACTGTAATTATTCTTGAGTGATGAGTAATGAGAATTTTCAAACCTTATTTTTTTCAGACCAGAAATTCTGCAGAAGTAAGGAACATCATAATTACACCTTTTATTTCACTACCGGTGATGTTCATATACAGGTGCCAATTATAAATTGGTAAATGTAATCTTAAGATGCCCAGTGTTAATGTTATAAATTGACAGGCTTTTGGAAGTCAACCCAGTGCAGATCAAAGCTTAAATTTCACGCTGAATTGGACTTCGTATGCATGCGGTGGTCTTATTACTTCATCGAATATCCTGCTCAGTCCGGGTTTTCCAAATAATTACAAACCTAATATAGACTGCCTGTGGAAGTTCGAAATAAACGACTGGAACCCTTTGAAAGCAAGTTCACACCCCAATCGTATTTTCAGTCAATTAATTACTTGTAATAAATTTCAATTAATTAATCTTTATGTAAGGTTTTGGTTGAGATAAAAAAGTCAGTGTCACGAGCGGGATTCGAACCCACGACCTTTGGCTAAATACGCCGCTACTCTACCACTTGAGCTATCGTGACTTCGATCCCCTCGGGCACTAACTTCCCATCTCCACCCAACCTTTCACGTTTTCTCTCCTTTTTGCCATTTTTCAAATGTCGTGTAATCTATTTGATACTCGGCGACAAATGAAATGGCCACGGAGAGCTTTAGTGAAGATGTACTTCTTTTAACTTATTAAATTTGAACATGAAATCTAATGACTTTTAATAAACTTATAACTTTCTTGGTTAATGCTCACTGAATTTCAGGGTTGTTATTAATAAATGAATGTTTTTAGATTAGATTTAATAATTTTACTTTAGAGGACGACTGTGATCATGACTATCTTGAAATTACAAAAGGTCAAGATTACTCGAGGGTTTTGGTGGGTAGAGAAAAATACTGTGGATCAATTGTCCCAGCCGATTTGATAGCAGGCATGCAATTCGTTCTTTTCCATTTGCACACTGATTCCAAAAACGAGTTTCAAGGATTTAATATCTCCCTTGTCACGCTTCCTCAATGTAAGTAGGAAAATGAAATATACATGCAATATATACGGTGATGTATTATGATTTTTTTTTTAAGATTGTGGAAGTTTTGAAAGTGGGTATAACGGGGTTATAAATTCCGAAAATTACCCGAACCAGTATAAAAATGATGCAGAATGCGAATTCGTCATCCATGTTCAAGATGGTTACCATATTGGAATTAAATTCTCCGAGAGGATCCAAATTGAGAAAAGTGACAATTGCACCAACGATTATCTTGAAGTGAAATCACTGACGTCAATTGATTATCTATAATTTAACAAAACTAATTTATCATGTACCTTTCCAGTTTTTTGACAGAGTTGCTGGAACATGGATCTCCATTGCTAAAATATGTGGAAGAGAATCAGTTCCCCCTTTGAATTCAACATCTAACCAAATGAAAATTTTGTTTAGAACTAATCACAATGTTACTGGAGCAGGATTTAGGGTATTTTTATATATGTATTTCTCCAATACGATGCTGCACTTTTTTCTGTCAAATTAACCCTTTTTAATTTCAAATCAACCATTTTTACCTTCTAACTAAGCCTTTTCAATTTCAAACTGAAATTTTTTACATTTCAATTATCTCATTTTACTTTCAAATTATTATTTTTGTCCTTCCATATGTAAATTAATTACAATGAAAATTTAAAATTGCGTAGACTCTTTTTAACGCTCTAAACAAAGAGTTAAGTTGTAATTAGAGGGTGAAGAATGGTTAAATTGAAGCTTAACAAGATTAACCTAAAGTTAAAAAGAGTTAATTTACAAATAAAAATGATGAATTTGAAATTAAATAAGGCGCTAATTTGAAGCGTAAAACGGTTCAGTTGAACAAGGTTCATGTGGTGCAAAAAAAAGAGTTAATTGGCATAAAAAAAAACTATACAATAGTTGGGCTCGTAAAAATAATCACGTTTAATAGACAAAATAAATAATAAAACATAAAATAATTACGGTTAATTTTTAATTAAAAATGGTTAATTTTAAGTTTAAAAAGTAAATTGGAAGCTAAAAATCGTTAAATTGAAGTTAAAAAGAATAATTTAAAGTTATAAAGGATTATTTTATAATAAAAAAGGTTAATTTGAAATTAGAAAAGGCCAATTTGCATTTTATAAAGTGTCATTGGAAATTAAGAAGGGTTAATGTGGTGTGAAAAAAGGGTTAATTTGACGTTAAGAAGCTAGCTAAAAATAGTTGGGCTTGTAAAAACCTTATGAAAATTAATTACAATTAAAAATTAAAATTTTAAAATTATGCAAGGTTAAAAGTATATAAAATTAAATGAACTAATAAAAACAAATCATTTTTCTTTTAACTTGAGATTTTTTAATAAATTATAAAATTACTAGAATCTTATGATTGAAAGACCATATGAAAATTAATTATAATTAAAATTATAAATTGTAAAAAATAATAATTATGTAAAATTAAATATTAAAATAAAGGATTCTTCTTTTTAACGCTTTAACGAAAAGGTTAATTTGGAATTTAAAAGAGTTAATTCAAAGTTAAAAAAGGGTTAAATTGAAGTTTAAAAGAATTAGTTTAAAATAAAAAAAGTTTTATCTTGAAATTAAAAAAGGGTTAATTTTAGGCTAAAAAGGGTGATGTGAAAAAAATGGTTAATTTGACGGAAAAAAGTTATAAAATAATTGAGCTTAACAAACCATATGAAAATTAATTAAAATTAAAAACTACACAAAATACAATAAAGGCTTCTTCTTTAATTTGAGATATATATAATATTTCAGTTTGATTATGAAATTTTTTAATAAAAATCCATTATACTAAATTTTTAATTATTTTATCAGCTTCTATTTAATTATATAAATACTCAATTAATTATACACAATTTTTTCGAAATGCCACTTTTACTTGAGTGAAATTTCTCTCGGCGAACCAGTAATTTTGATCTACCAATTGCCATATTCAGTGATGGGTTTGTTGTCCCGCCCTGCTTATTCCCAGAGCCAACGCTGAACATGGCGAAATGTGTCTGACACATCAAACCAGCTAGGATCTATGAAATGACAACTGATTTTCTTATCATAGCTGTACTGGAACACCAATTGCGGTGGGGTTTTTGAGGCGAGTAAAACCCCAAAATATATCAATTCTCCCGGGTATCCTATTAAATACGCAGGACCGTTTGTTTGCAACTACACTATAGTAGCTGAAACGGAAATTATAAAAGGCCATTTTCTCGATTTTAAACTTCAAGAAGGTAATGACAATTAAAATTAATTTTTTTTATACTCGAACTTCTTATTTGTACTTTTTTTAATTTAGAAACGCAGTCAATATGTGACTCTGATTACATAGAAATTATCAGTTGGACATACAACCGGAACAGTTTTACTAGGACTGTGAGTAAAAAGTATTGCGGTACAAAACCCCCAGAAGAAATCGAATCCATTCGTTCAATCACAATAATGTTTGTCGTCGACCGAAATAACGATTTTACAGGCTTTCAGTTAGAGTATTTCGTTGATGGTAGTTCAAAAATTTAATAATCATAGTGAATTTTTTTTTAAAGGCGCTTAATTTAAAAATTTCATATTTAAATTATAGAATGTGGTGGTAAAGTGGATGAACCGACGGAAATAACATTTAGCATCCCACCAACTCCGGATACGAGAACCTGCACGTGGTTTGTTACCGCGCCTAAAAACCGAATAGTCCAAATAAGGTATGTTATTAATTTTTCATGCTGATTAAATCAATCTAATGAGAATAGAATAAAAAAATGGTCCATCGACTTTTCAGCGTACGGATCTTACGTACTATCTGTTTGCGTCAAAAATTTCAACTTTTCAACAGTACTCTTGCGTTTAATAAGAAAGATCCTGTCAAAAGTTTGTGTGGATACACAAGTAGAAAGTATCATCCTATCAGCATGAAAACTAATGAAGCTGTAATATATTTTTTCTCGATGTTCTCGGTCAGTGGAAACAGTTTTTCAATTGATGTTTTCTTTAGCTATGGTGAGTTTTGGCATTGCGAAATGTGCACATGTCTATGTAATTTTTTTAATATTAATTAGTGGAAATTATATTCTAGAATGTGGAGGAACAATCACACTTAACAAAAATGAAACGGTTTCTTTTGCAATACCTAAAGACGATCGTGCCGCTTTTGCCTGTTTGTGGGAAGTGATCGCGCCTGAAGATAAAACGATAATCATAAAATTCACGGACGTCACAATGCCAACACCTTGTTCGATTAATTTACATGTAACTAAAAGCCTAATATTGAATTTGTGTTTAAATTTTGCATGCAAATATATGGTACACTCAAAAAAGTCGCAAAGCCCTGAAATTTTCGTATTTTACGAGAACATCTGGTTGTACACCAAAACTAAAAACGAAGCCGTATCAACCCTTGGGGATGAAACCGAAATTGGCGCATAGACCATATGCGGCAGTAATTAGCTACCTGAACATTAGGCAACTTACAAAGATTGGCAAACTAACTTGTATCACTAGGGCAATGAAAACAACACCGCCAAACACTAAACATGGTGGAACAATGGTGCTCACAATGGGGACGTAAGGCAAACCCTTAAAAAAACTACACTACTTTTATTTACTAAGAAAATAAACATCAATGCAATGCCTATGCTTCTGTATAATGAATACATGTAATGAAATGATGCAATAAAAAAAACTAGATTAAATACGAAGGGATGGTCATTGAAAGAAATAACTGAAACCTTCGTCTACAACACATCGTAACAGATAGCAAAATTTCGACCTCAAGAAGAACTCTAGTGAAATTTTGGGGACTTAAACGGAAAATGGTCCATTGGCTATGTAAGAGAGGGGGCCACAAGGCCTACTGCACCTCGATCTAAATAGATCTATTGCGCTGCTCTGTTAATTATAACTCACGGCCAGCTACAGGCTATTAACCAGCCTCCACAGTTTTGCCAGCGGTTTCTTGGTTTAGGATCCTGCTTGTGGTTTTTCTTGCCCTAGTTGCAAGAATCTGCACCTACAGAGACCTTCACAAAAATATAAAATGTATTGTGCGGTCTTCTCCTCTTCCTTGCATTATCTGCACAGTGTTTCTTCTGTCTGTACTCCTATCTGGTGCATGTGCTTTCTTAAGTGGCAGGGCCCCAATAAATAACACATCTTCATTTTAAGAATGAAGATAAGGGGGTTAGGGGATAGGGATAAGAGAGGCGGCCATAAGGCCTACTGCACCTCGACCTAAATAGATCTATTGCGCTCCTCTGTTAATTATAACTCACTGGCCAGCTCCAGGCTATTAACCAGCCTCCACAGCTTTGCCAGCAGTTCCTTGGTGTAGGATGTTGCTTATGGTTTTTCTTGTCCTAGTTGCAAGAACCTGCACTTACATAGACCTTCACAAAAACATAAAATGTGTTCTGCGGTCTCCTCCTCTTCCTGGCAGTATCTGCACAGTGGTTCTTCTGTCTGTACTTCTATCCTGTGCATGTGCTTTCTTAAGTGGCAGTGCCCCATCAGGAGTCCAACCAGAATCCTGGGGTTGTGGTTGCCTTCCAGTAATTCCTTTCTATGTTTTGCGGATGACCCCACTATGAATCATTTCACGTGCCTCGTGCCTGTGGTATTGTTCTACCAGGTTTTGGACTCATTAAGGATCCATTATAAGATGTATCTTCTTTTGTGGCAGGCTGCTAGGCCGCAGTAGTGTTCAGGGCCCATAGGGTCCATACTGGCTCCTGTTTGGGCCAACATGTCAACCTTCTCATTGCCTCTATGCCCCAAATGTCCAGGGTAGGCAGCAAACAAATTGACAAATTTATGCATCACTAGGGGCAATGAACTCTGTCAATTGAATCAGAAACACTGTTAAATCAACCTCCAATGGAAATATTTATATAAGGAAAAACAAGAAAAAGCTCATTTAGGCTCCGAAAACAATCAAGATAGTACTTAGTGTGAGTAGGAACTATATTTTTAAAAAGGATTGAACACACTCACTCCATCATTTATCATTTCTAGGACATGTTCTTTCATCTCTTTTTACTCTAGGCATAATCGACACTACTAATCAACTGGACCTTTTTTTAATTTTCAGATTTTTTGTTGCGTATATGGGCTTCCTTTTGCAAGTAGTAGTTTTGCTTGCTGTATGCTTGGTATATTTTCCCAGTATTTTTGTTTTTAATGACCTGAGAATCCTGTTCTTGCTGCCTCATTAAGTACATAATTCCGTCATGTACTGAAATCCTCCTTAGAGTTATATTATTTGTATATCCCAGTTTTTAGGCAATTCCAATCGAGTATCTGTACAAGTTGATCTCGTAAGCTTGAAGAGTTTTTAGAGCTTCCTGATTATCTGATAGAAGTACAATTGTTGCATCGTTGAGATTTTTTTTATTATTCTTAAGTGTGCATGTCTCTATGTCTTGAAGAGTGGAGTGCATGGCATTGTGGTGCTCATAGTTTTATGCCCATGCCGATATCATGTCCAATCTTCATGACGTAAGTAAAGTAAGTAAAGAAAGTAATTCCTGTCTTATAGGAGGGCTTAACGTCCCACTGCCTGTAGGGTATCATGGATGAGGGTCAAACCACTTCACAGTACTTCTTTCATACCATTTTCAAATAAAAACCATGGGCTGTGTTGCAATTCGTGGCAAACATGAGTCAGGTGACCAAACCACTCAACCACCACGCTCCTCCTTCCAGCTCTCTGTACACCATATGTATCCTGGTTTTTAAACTATAATTGAATATTATACATCTATTGAGCTCTCTCTCTATCTCTCTCTCTCTCTCTCTCTCTCTCTCTCTCTCTCTCTCTCATAGGTTATAGGTACCAATTTTGGTATGGCCATGGTTAGTTGAATGCTTTCTTTTCACTGTTCGAAGACTACTTCTTCATTTGCTGCCACCATTTATTTAGGGTGACGCTTGAGGGTATGTTCTATTACAGCCGTGGGTGTGGTTTTAAAAGAATTAATTACAATACACATTAATCTTTAGATTTTTGTAATTTCCCTTTGATTGTTTTCTTCTAATTTTAGCCGCCTTATTTGGATTAGATTAGATTATGTACAGTATTGGTTTGTTTGTTTTTTGACCCTCGGGGTGCCGGTGTTTTTGAAAAAAAAACATTTGTAAGTATGTCAGGTTCGAATGCAGGGCCGCTGGGTTCAAACTCGGGACCTTTACCTCACAGTGATTAGCGCAATGTCAATGAACCGTTGCGGCCACCGACGCCCCCAGTATTGGTTATTGTACATCTCCATTCTTTTTTATCTATAGTTCCTCGTTAAGTTTAAAGCTTTTTACCAGACCCCAAAGCTTTTTCCAGGGCTCCCGTGTGTATCCTTCAGGCCCTGATTTTTCTTCTCCCAGGATTAGGAATCTCAGCCTACATAGCTTGCATATTATATCAGATGAATATGGTAAGACATAACCATAAGGTCCTTTTTTTTAATTCATCATTTCTAACCATAAGGTTATCTTGGGATTCAGCCCTCGAGTACTACAGAGCCTTTAACACATCCATTGGGTCTGTTATACTCCGTTGCAAGATATCTTAAGATGTGTATTCCATGTTAACTTTCTGTCGAGAACTCTTCCTACATGATTTCTTTGGAATGAATTTGGAATTCTAAGTTCTGGAATTCTTTTAAATTTTTAGTTTTTGAGTTTAGTTGGATGTCTAATACAATTGTGAATGTATGCTACAGGTAAACGATGGCGGACCTGATGATGATGATATTTATATGGACTGTCTGGAGAATGAGTTGCAAATCTCGTCGACAGAGAGTAGGATCACATTCGAGGCATTTTCACACGACCCGTTGTCAAACGTGTCATTCAATGTACATCTACAACTTTACACTTGTAATAAAATCGAATTGTACATATTTTATATGAGTCTCTTATCAAACTGATAGTTTCAATAATAAACTGTAGCTCCTTGTGGAAAGCGTGTATTGGAGGTGACGAACGATATCAAAGTTCTGACTTCGCCCAACTATCCCGGACATTATCCTCCAGGTTTAAATTGTGTCTGGTTGTTGGAAAGTAACTCGCCATTCATGGTTTTACATTTTGAAGATGTGGACATTTTTGACAACAAGTGCATGGATTACCTAAACGTTGATGACGTTCGACAAGTATGTGTTCTACAGGCTGTTTATACAGAAACAATTAAATTGTAACATTTTTTTAGGGCTTCAATAGACCAATGGAATTTATCGGTATTTCTATGTACCTCCAATCAAAAGCGGTAATTACACCAAATTTACATATAAATTTTATCTATTTAAATTATCTTCAATTTTATACATATGAGGAATAGTTTACAATGAAATATACTCGAAAACTCCGGGGTAGTGCGAATGGAAGGACTTACCTCCAACTATCTATCTACCTAAGAATATTGAGTACTCAGAGATAGTGAATGTAGTGTGCGAATGTAAATTATTAACATGAATGGAGGGGCTTACCCTCAATTAACCACAGTACTATCGAGATTTTTTTTAAATATTTTTTTTCGAGTCGAGTGAATGAATGTAAGAATGTAATTTATCGGCGCGGATGTAAGGATTATCCCCAATTACTTGAGGAATATCGAGTACTCTGAGGAAGTGTATTTATTAGCATGAAAGGTGGCTTATCCCCAATTATTCCGAGGAATATCGAGTACTCTGAGGAAGTGTATTTATTAGCATGAATGGTGGCTTATCCCCAATTACTCCGAGGAATATCGAGTACTCTGAGGAAGTGTATTTATTAGCACGAATGGTGGCTTATCCCCAATTACTCCGAGGAATATTGAGTACTCTGAGGAAGTGTATTTATTAGCATGAATGGTGGCTTATCCCCAATTACTCCGACGAATACGGTGTACTCTGGGGTAGAGCGAATGAATTGTGGTGTGTGAATGTAAATTATTAGCGTGAATGGAGGAGCCCAATTATCGGGTATTCTGAACGGGTAGTGTGAACAATAACGTGTGAATACAATTTATTAGCAAGAATTTGGGGCTTATCCCCAATTTCCTCTAGAAACAATATTCCTCGATATATAATCGATTCTACTCTGGAGTACAGTGAATGTGTTATTGTATTTATTAACGCGAATTTGGGGCTCAATTACCATACAAAATATTGAGTACTCTGATGAAGTGTGAATGAATTTTGCTGTGAGCACGTCTTTTTAGTACGAATGGAGGCGCTCTTCCCCCAATATCGTATAGTTTGGGATAGTGTGAACAAATTCTGGTGGGTGAATGTAATTTATTAGTGCGAATTTGGGGCTTACCCCCAATCATCCATTCACCCCAAAAAATATGGAGAGTCTGATTGACAAGCCTCTCAGGTACAGATATGCTGGCAATATTTAAAGAAAAAAGGGAGTCATTTACCAATATGTAAACAATAAAATTATTGGCTTGAGCAATATTAAAAGAATTTAGAAGGAGTAAAACAAGAGAAAGACAGGAAAAGAATTGAGGGCAGGGATGCCAAACTATACAAAAATGTTTTTAAAAAATTTTAAATTGACAAATTTGGCATAAAGCAATTTTATAAAAGAATTTCACAAATTAAAATCTAACTAATTGTGTCTTTTTAAGCCTGATGGATTCAGAATTTGTAAGAACATGTCCAGCTTTGATTACTACCCTAATGAACGTACAGTAACTGTCAAGTTCATAAGTGGCCAGCAAGTGTCGAATCACCATGGTTTTAAACTTACTTATACAGCCCAGTGTAAGTATTAAAATGTGCCAATTCCTTTCTTATTACAATACTTAGCTTGAAAGTGATTTTTTTAATTTTCCAGCATGTACCCGCAACTATACAAACAATTATGGGTCTGTTAACCTGCGCACTGTATCAAAATGCCATCTGGTAATTCAGCCGAAGGAACCAAATCGTACTATTTCAATATATATCAACTTGGTCCAATTTTCATTTAAGGGTGACTGTGCTTTGAATGCGTTAAAGGTCAGTATTGTTACTATGGTGTAAACTTATATAATTATTATTGACATTTAAAGATATACGATGGACTCGAGCTATCAAACGAAAAGATATTAACAGAAAGGTGCAATGATGCATTGCTAGATCCAGTATTTTCAACGGGCCCGGTTGTCACGATAGAATTCAATGTGAATGAACCTGGTGGAATTTTGGAGTTCATATACACAACTACAGACAAAGGTAGCAAATGTTATAGGCACCATTTTGTCACTTCTTTCAACTGTATTTTTTTAAGGTCGTGGCTGTGGAGGGACACTTATGGGATTACAAGGAGTTTTTACAAGTCCACTCTATCCCAACACTTACCGCGAGAATAGAACTTGCGTATGGAATATTGAAACTCATGACAAATACAAAATAGTTTTAGAATTCAAAGGTTGGTTGAGCCTTCGGTCTACGGAAGAAACCAGATAATAAGAACACATCTAATTTTTAGAATTGGACATGGGTAGTCGTGAAACCTGCAGTAGCAATTATGTCGAGGTGTACAATGTTGCAAACTCGGGTGACAGGAAAAAAATTCGAACATTCTGTGGAGAGGTTTGTAGTTCGAAATGTATAAGATCATGAGATATTTTATTACCATTTTTTCAGGACCAGCCAGCTATTATTTGGGGATCCAGTAAGAGAATGGAGGTGGTCTTCAGGACAACATATCAAAACGAGGGCCAGGGATTCAATGCTTTCTATAGTATGCGGTAATGAGGTAACTGTTTAAAATTGGTTAAAATTTTTTAAAAAATTTGTTACAGGATCTGAAAAGGAAATGCCTTTCAGTAGAGCGACCGTAGACCAAAGTTAAATTGAAATTAATATCATTAATAATATTATTAAATAAAGGTTAATTTGTGAAAAATTGTACATATAGGAATACAATTAAAATGTTTTTCATTTGAACTTTTTATGCCACACCTTCCTTCTATTTCCTCAATAAATTTTTAGTAACTTAAGTATCTTTCAATAAAAGTGTGTACAGGACACTCTATTATTCAAAAATTAAAAAAAAAATGTATGACTCAAACAGAACAATTTAATTTGAAAACTGTTTGACCCGAAGCTTGCAATGAGAGTCTGCTAACAGAAGTATCATCAATTTAAAGTACTTGGTGATGGACCATCTTTGACATAAGCATACAAAACTGGTCTTTGACATATAAAGTTACGCAGGTGATATACATTATCATTAAAGACCGTAATTGATCATAAAGCCTTGACAATAACATTCAAATGTTAAATCTTACAGCTTTACCCATGCAAAACCAAATAAAACATTCGAAAGAAACCATCTACATACCTGAAATCCTGAAAAGTATCCCCTATGCAAAGGAACTGTACCATTTCCAGGCTAACGCTTTGCTGGAGAAACTTATATTTTTAATTTTTAAAGAGGGTGCTTTTAGATTAAGCTTCCTTCACTTTGTGAAAGGAATCAGGATTGTGTTCCAGTTCACACCCATACTCATATTCTTTCACATTACATTTGAGATGAAACATTTTCATCATTTTTGCTAGGCCATCAGCATAACCTATGGTAAGGTAGAGTGATGATAGTAAGCCCCCTTGGGGGCAACCTTGTATTATCATTTATTGATACCCCAATACGGCTGCTATTTCTCAACTTATTAATAATGATATTATAATATAATTTAAGGCAAGGCAAGAGGAAGAGAACAAACTCAAACATTTCCCCCTTTTCATTTTTCACACCTAGTTTTTAGATTGGCAAAGTCTGCCGCTATAACGTCTCCCTAAGGTATGGCGATATGGTGGATTGAAAAAAAATCTTATATAATTACATATATCATCATTAATCACATACAAAAATTGATAGAGATATGTAACTTTAAAGATTTTGTTAGAAAAAATTTAATAAAATTTAGATATTTTATTTTATTATAGACAGAAAAGAAAGCTCATTGTAAATTGTCCTGCAACTTTTTTTTAACAAAATTAAACGTGCAAATTCTGTGAAAAATTGCTTCTCATAAATAATAAAAGAAAAAGTCATTTCGAAAATTGAGTTGTTCTTCAAAATGTCAATTTCAAGGAGAATTAAGTTACAAGCTAACTTTTTGTTTCAACGAAGGCCGAAGTTCTAATTGATAGGCAAATGACCCTTGCACTAAGTTGGTAAAGTGTTAACTGAATTATCTGTAAATCAATAGGACCGAGGCACCCTGTTACCTTGTAACATTTAAAATGCTAATTTTAAACAAGAGAAATCCCTTTAAAAGAGTGAAAACTGGAAATATAACATTATAAATACCTGCAGTACAGATATATTATCGTGAGGAAGATAAAAACAATGCCATTCTTTAGCATGCTCTGTTATTTCTTAATCTGTCTTAATTCTAGAGCCAATCAACTCAGCAGGGTCATTTTCACAAGTTTAATTCTAGTGCCAATCATCCAAGCAGAGTCGTTTCCATTAAAAACAAGTGCAATTTAAATTTTTTTTTTTATTTTCTCATCAACTATGAGGTTTATGAGCTTAATTATAGCGCCAATCATCTTGTCATTTCCATTAAGAACTAGTATAAATTTAAAAAAAACTTTTTCTGCATTTATCTCATCAACTATGAGGTTAACGAGCTAAATTCTAACTCCAACTGACAATCGACTCAGTAGGATCATTCCATGAAAAACAAGTTCAAGTCCATCAATTTTTTTTTTTTTTTTTTTGGGGGGGGGTAACATTTATCTTGTAAAAGGTTTAAGTGCTTAATAAACTTATGTATTACCTAAAATTAAATGACAGAAAGAGGGAAAATTGATTGGATTGTTCAGTTAGTCTAAAAGATATTGTATGTGCAATACAGAGATTTTGAGTCAGTAACCGTTGAGATGGAGTAAGATGCAGACTGTGTAATCTCCGTAAAAAAAAGATTATTTATTTTATATACATAAACATTATATAAACAGGATAAACAGAAAATAATTTAAAAATGTGTACAGCCAAGCATAATTTATTAAAATCACAAAGTTTGGTAACTGAGCTTGTATTGCAGTGCCTAAAAAGCCTTGTAAGTTACGAAAACATTACTAAACATTATTTGAACAACATTTTACCTATGGAAAAATGACATAAAAATTAGTGCAAAAATAGCTAAACCTTTCAAAAAAAATTTAACTTTGAAACCTGGTAGATTTACAGCTATATTATAGAAGTCAGTCAGTGCAGTTTTTGTACAAAATTCTAAAATGTAACAATGAAATTGGTTTTTACTTTAGTTCATATTTCATTTTTTTATGTTGATGCAGTCTTAAGATTATAATATTGATAAATTAATTATTATTAATTAATTATTTTAAAAAATAAAGAGGTACTAGTTAAATATTTTAAATTAGCATAAAATGTAAGATAAAATTTTTAGGTGGTTTTGGTTTTGGTTTTGGTTTTATCCTCCTCATTAGTATTAATAAACAAAAGAGGTAACATTCCGAGAAGACATCCAATTGTCACACCAACAACTCTACCCTGAAAAAATAAAAACGTTGTTAATAAATACTAAAACTGTTGTATAAATAAAAAGCAAAGTCAGCTAATATTTATTTTATTATTTACGTTTATTTACCAGATTGGATGCCATTTTACTGCAGGACATAGCGAGTTGAATCGGGCAAAGGTCTGGCGGCTTGAAACCGATTTTAAGAGCAGCCAGCTCCACATAGTATGCAGACCCGATACCGAGGACATCTGACAACGTGTTGCCCAGGGCAGCCGCTGCCATCGTAGACATGACCAAAAGAGAGCCGAGTTTGAATTCAATGTAGTCGCCCTAATTTGAAAGACTAGAATGTTTACAAATTTAACGGATTTTTATTGGACTTTTTATTTTCGTCTTTGTCAACTGTTTTAATACTCACACATATTATCATAACAAAATTGTCTAAAAATCCAAAGCCAACAAACGGAATCGCATTGTGGACCAAAACTGAAGAAAATAAAATAAACATGAACACAACAAAAAACGTAAATATCTCACATTATCAATTAAAATGTTAAAAATGAAAGAAAATATGCATTTAAAATTATGCCTACCTTGAAATAGTTGCGGAGTTGTTGGTTGGGTAACATTTTGAGCTGTAAGAAGAAAATAGAAATTAAAGTTTAATTAAATATGATTGATAAATATAAGACGAATTAAAACAAAACAAAAAATAAGATTATATCAGATAAATTACAACACATTGGTATCAGCTAATCTTTAAATTTTCTAGGTCAACAGACTACTTACGATTTTCTTCTATAATCGCAGCATTAAAATAAAACTATTTACTTTAAACTGAAGAGCAACCAATTTTTTTGTCAAAAAAATAAAATAAAACATACCACATTTTTTTGAAAGCCAGTCTTCAGGCAATGGACAGTAAGACCCAGTCGGATCCACATCACCAAGGTTTGTGCACTTAGTCGGCCTCCCAAATTTGGATCTCCAACGAAAACCTGCAAGCTGGCCTGAAAACAAAAAAAAAATTATACATCAAAAATTATATAAGACTATACGACTAAATGTAACGAAAAGGAGGCTAAGGCTGTGACTTCCTAACCACCACGATCAAGCACTCTGATACTAAAAATGCAATAAAATATATGATTAAAAGAAAGTAGCAGCATCAGTGGGCTGGATCGGCAAAGGTGGCCTTCAGATGATCTGTAAAAAAGGGATCATCCTCATCCAATTAAAAATACCCCCATGGGAGGTTAATGGACTTACTTTTGGGCCAAAGCCCACGTATGTGTCCTCGATATAGAGAAATGTTGCTCAATGTGTCTCACTTAAATGAAGGGTGGCATTCCTAAGTGCTCTTTATACAAAGCCAAGGAACCCAATAAAAAATTGTGCTTGGGCATGGGGTATTTGGGTCCCCTGTTCCCATTTTTAGAAGATTTTGTTTTATTGTATCTGGTACAGTAGGTATCTCATTTTGTGTTTTCTTTTTGTGTTATTGAGAGGGAATGTATTTATTAGAGTGAGAGAAGAAAGGTTGCTTGATGTGTCCCACATAATTAAAGAATGTAACTCCTTGGTATTATATAGAGTGTAAGTAGGAATGCCACCCAATATGAAAATAGTGCTTGAGCATGGCAGCAAACAAATGGGTTCCTTGGTCCAACTTTTTGAGGTTATTGTATGTGGTACTTGGTACATTTTTCATTTTCTGTTTCATTTTTGGGAATATTGAGAGGGAATGTATTTATTAGAGTGAGAGAAAAAAGGTTGCTTGATGTGCCCCACATAATTGAAGAGTTTAACTCCTTGGTATTATATAAAGAGCGAGTAGGAATGCCACCCAATATGAAAATATTGCTTAAGCATTGTCAGAAAATATGTGGTTCCCTTGTTCTGGTCTTTAGAGGAAACAGGGTTATTTTATTGTATGTGGTACTCAGTAGAATGTAGATAAGGAAGGTTTTGATGTGTCCCACCTAACTGAAGGGTATCATTCCTTGGCTCCATATAGTGAGTGTGTAGGAATGCCACTCAATATGAGAATTCTGCTTGGGCACAGCAGCCAGTATTTGAGTCCTCTATTCTGAATTTTGGTCAAGATTGGACAGGACATTAAAAAGGGTTGTTTTAATATGGATAGTCCCTTAGTGTATGTCGAGTGAATGTATTTACTAGCATGAAAGTATGTAGTACTAGACCGTCGATAGCGGAATATTGATACTCATGTCAATATTTTAGTTATATAATGGACGGAAGATAATGAAAAAGAATGTATTTAAGAGTCAATGAGATTGTGAGTGGGTTCGAGTTTAGAAACTGATGAGCTGAGGGCTGAAATGATCTAACTTTTAGAAAAAATTACCTAGGCTCTGCAGCCCAACTCGATAGCCGGATGGTAAGACCAAGGTCTGACTCTAGACCGCCAACACCCAGAGTGGGTGATTCTCGAGGCCTACCAGTAATTTATTATAAATTAGAAAAGCTAGAATTTCCGACGGAATGGAAAAAGTGTTAGGCTCGTGTGTGCAGATTTGAGCTTATATAAATTAGTAATCAGTAATCATTATACGAATAAATAAAGATTCAAACAGTATGCTAATATTGAGCGGAAATGAGCAAACATAAACCCAGAAGAAATCTGATGATGTAATGTAACCAATGACACAAACAAACTGAATTGGACTCATGCAACAACCAATTATGATCAAACTACTCATATGCATGTAAGACTAATGATTTTGATTGAGCGTACATGCAACACAGATGTCATACATTGGGTTGAAATGTTACAAATTGAAACAACTTTGTTCCTAAAGATGTCATACCTCTGTACTCTTCTTTTCTCAATTCAGCTTCGAATTCTTTTAAAGCGAATTGAAGAATTGTGCGTTCTTTCTCGGTCAGCTTCATAACCAGTGTTTTAGCTGTGGCATTAGTCAGAGGAGGAGCGTTATTCTTGAGCCTTTCGCTCGGGAAAAGCCTGCTGCTCAGATGGTACCTCTTGACGTTCCTCTCAGCATACACTCTGCTGAGCACATCCCTGATGCCAAAGCCTTTAAACGCGATTCTGCAGCTCATCGTTGAAATAAATCGTTGTCAATACTTTCGATAAGCTTACATGACTTCTTTTATGGGAGGCGTCAGTTAGGTGAAACCGAGGGGCGATTGTTTTGAATGGCTCATTCCGTTATTTTTGTGAACAGTTATTCCAAACTTTTGTTTATCCGTTTAGAAAGGTGTGCCCCTCATCTAACCTGGCCTTTTGAAACACTTTACTATTGAATTTCTATATTTGCGCCAGTATTTAAATTTTCTATTCTAAAAAAAAAAAACATTTTCTTTTGTAATATTCGATAAAAATTACATCTGACTGGGCTGTTATTAGACATAAAACCTCTTGCACGTCTTGGAGCAAGCGATGATCATGTATAGTGCTTCCCTACCATTTGATGAAAATTATTTTTTAAGAAATGAAAATGTATTTTTGTTTAATAAAAGAACTTTCATCACACAGTAAATTACTGTTTTATACTGGGTCTAACTGCAACTTTATGATTGCTTAAATCTATTATTACACAACCCTCAACCCAAAACCTAGTGGAGTTACACAACACTCCAGTTTCATAGAAGGGCCATATGGAAAATTTACAAAGGAATACCTGAAGATAACCTCAACAGAACCAGGATTGTAGTTGGACTCCTGACAGGGCAGTGCAACCTAAGAAGGCATATGCACCAGATAGGAGTAAAAACACAGTGCAGACACTGCCAGGAAGAAGAGAACCCGCAGAACACATTCTATGTTGTGATGATCTTTGTAGGTGTAGATTCTTGCTAACTAGGAGGGGAAAAGCTGCAAGCAAGATCGTACACTAAGAAGTTGGAGGTTGACTAACAACCTGAAGCAATGGGTTATAAAAAATTGAGGAGCACAATAGACCACCTCAGGTTGAGGTGCAAAAGACCTTGTGGCCACCTCATTTATCCTTATCCTTGTCCTCAAGAGACAAAAGTTTCAAAATAGTTCCAGCAGTGTATCTAATCTTAACACAGTGTATATTTATTTGTTAATAAAGCTTTTATCGAACGTGGATAGTTCCATAATCCTTTGGAATAGTCTTGTCTTCAGATTTCTTGACAGACTGCTTTACCAAATTCTTTTAATTAGGTTATAATTAATAGTACTAAAGTGTTTCAGTTTGGTTCTCACATTGCTTAAAATAAAAATACTCATAGTTTCTATTTTTACTCCACCATGCTTTAAAATGAATTATCAAAACTGTTCAGTTAGTTATATTTGCTATCTTTGCTGCAGTTTTGTTTGTTATACAGTAATTTCAAAGGTGGATTAATTTGAGTGCAAGCACTTTTGTCAAATTTGCAGTGTTTTTCCCAAACCGCACTGACAATATCATGTCAATATGTATTGAAAATGGCTTCTATTGCAAGGCATCTGATTTTTAAACAGCATGCGCATCCGGATCACAATGTACAATTGAGTGATGTCAATGTTGTGAAGCTGGGGACAGTTAAGTATTGCTTATTGACCAGAGGACAGGTATAGTGATGAATTTAGAGCTGGAAGAAGAGCAGTTGAGCCTAGAACTATTGAGCTGAGAGGTCATAAGAGCTCATAAGTTCAGCTATAAAAACAAAAGACCTAGTACAAGAGTTATGCTTACAGTTAAGCTGAGAGTCCAGTAGTGCTGGGAAAACATTCATCTGTGAGATGTACAAAGTTGGAACAACCGTTCGGCTGTGAGGACAGAAGAGCTAGGATGACAGTTAACCTAGAAGGATAGTTGAGCTGTGAAGCAGAAGAGCTGAGAAAACATTCAGCTATGAGATGGAGAAAGTTGGAACGAGTACAGTTCAGTGGTGGGGAAACAAGAAGCTAGGAAGGCCATTAAGCCAGGAGGATAGTTGAACTTTGAAGTCAGAAGTGCTGGAAAAACACTCAGCTGGGAAGAAGATTGAGCTGTGAGGTCTTGAAATCTGTGAGATCAGAAGAGCTAGGATGATAGTTAAGCTGAGAAAATAGTTGAAATTTGAGGTCAGAAGAGTAGGTAAAACATTCAGCGATGAGAGCTATGAGGTGCAGAAAGTTGGAACAATAGTTCAGCTGTCACGAAACAAGAAGCAAGGAGGGCCGTTAAGTTGGGAAGAAGGTTGAGCTGTGAAGACAGAAGAGTTATAATGACAGTTAACCTGGGAGGATAGTTGAGGTTTGAAGACAGGGGAATTGGGAAAACATTCAGCAGTGAAGAAAGTTAAGCTGTGAGGTCTAGTAATCTGTGAGATCAGATCTAGAATGTCAGTTAAGCTGAGAAGATAGTTGAGCTTTGAGGTGAGAAAAGCTGGTAAAACATTCAGCTATGAGGTGTAGAAACTGGGATACAGATCTAGGAAGACAGGTAAGCTGTGATGAGAGTTGAGCTATAAGGCCAGTCAGAAGAGCTGGAAAACATTCAGCTGTGATAGTTGAGCTGTGAAGCCCAGAAAGCTCATACGAGATGTGAGGACAGAAGATCTAGGAGGAGTTTACCTGGTAATACCTTTAGCTGAAAGAGCAGTTAAAAAAATCATCTCTCCAGATAGAGAAGAGACCTAGAGTAATAGTTATAAATTATTTTGCATTTTTATTAATATAATCTTGTACTACTACTTAAAGGTCTACATCACTTTTGAACCAGCATCATTTTCACTATTTATTTTATTAAGTTCAACATTTAATTAATTTCATCACACCAAATAATTATTTTCTATTGACTAATTTTTATGAGATTCATAAAATAAATTTTTAATAAATATCAGTTGTTCATAGAGAATAAATTGTCTGCTGAAGCACTCCCTTTCAAATTACAATGCTTTTTAGCATTTTCATTCTTTGCCTGGATTTTGCACTGAAACTGGTTCAAAATCAAATCAATCGCTTCAAATTTAGTCATAGCCGGAGACCAAGTAGCAGCAAGTTGTGAATGTCCCGTTTTATCAATGAATTTTGATCCACAGCCACACGCCCCTTCGCAGCTGCACTGCACAATTTTCCAGAGATCTTTCGAATGATTGACCCTCCTGGGAAACAAGTTCCAGAGTATATGAAAGTCATAGAGCTGCTTTATACCAGAAACTATTGATGGGCCTTCACCGCTGCTTTCCGCCGATGTTGAACTTGTTTTGTTTCCAGATGAGCCCGGCTGTGGGTCATCATGAGAAAAAGTATTTTTCCCTTTTGTCCTATTCACCATAAGGGAAGTACCTATAAAACAACAATAATGTTTTAGTTTTAAGAATGTTTATAATATAATTTAAATTTCTTACTTTCAGTCACTTTATCCTTGTGTGATTTACAGGAATATGGGGGTGGTGGGGAATCTGGAGCTTTGGATTTTGGTAATTTAACTTCCAAACTAGAGCAAAAAGGATTATAAAAATAATAAAATATATGTATATGCCATGATCGAAAACATTTTCAGTGATTCGTTTCTGTGTTAAGTTGATTATATAATTACGCTACATGTACAAAATTACCGTTGACACTTTTGACAAGAATTGCTCGCATTCCTTCTAGGATTTTTTTCTTGATTTGTTATATCATCATAACTCGGAGGTGCCTCATATGTGGGAGGATCATCAGGAATTTCCACTTCGACTTCTTCACCGTCATCTAAAAATATTTATTTTTTTATTTTCTGTCTTTGAAAAATTAATCTGATTTTATGAATCTTACTGAACAGATCGCTGATAGTTTGAAGACGGCTGTGCCGTTCGCGCTGATGCCTTGCTCGTACGCCCATCCGGTATAACAAAATCACAAGACCTCCAATCAAGAATGCAAGGCCTTAAAACGCAGTATAACACTTTATTTGTATTCATGATAAAATTTTCATTTTAATTGTATTACTTAACGTAAATATTAATGCTGCCACTTTAAAGTCAATGTAGCGGTCACCTCTTGGAAAATAGTAATTTGGGATGTGAGCGTACAAAGTCCGATCTGATGGTTCTGCCTGCCACTCTGTAATACAACATCATACAAAATGCAAAAACTTTTAATCAAAAATGTAAAATCACCTTTTGAACAGATATCAGGTTCATCACTATTGTCTCCACAATGATCAAACCCGTCGCAATAAAGCTGTCGACCGATACATTTTTTGTTTTTGCAAAGAAATTCAGGCCCCATGTAGCACACTAAATCATTTGCGTAGATCAGACGATGCATTTCTTTGATTTTTTTTCAATAAAATACCTTTCTGAGAAAATGTTGCGTACGAAATTGCCAAATGAGAAGTATTTGTAAAAGTTGCCTGTAGAGAAATATAAAATCCTGAAGCACCTAAAGCAGTGTGCTCCACGCTTTGTCTATTTGTTTGATCTGATGTTATTATGTCAATCAATTTTCCGCTTGAAGTTTGTCCCTCGTAAATTTTCAGTTGCGCGCTAGCTAAAATTACATGAGCGGACATTTTTTTTTTTTTTAATATTATTCTCCAGACGTAAATACATACGGAAATTTTTAAATGTGAGGACCTTTAAAAAAAGGCTGAGCTTGCTCGCTAAAAAGTTCTTATATGGCTTTATGATCCAAACACAGTCAAAACTCTTTTCCTCTTTGCCCTCAACCATGTTTAACATGGTAATACCACCACCAACATTTTCAATTTCTCCTCCACAATCTAAAAAATGTATAATTTTGTATTTGATTTGGTTCAAACAAGAAATATACGAGTGTTCATACCTGTAACTGGAATTAAGGAGTTAACATCTGGTTTCCCTAAAAGAAACAAAATTTAATTTATTTTAAGAAATCCATTATTTCAGGTTCAAATTTTTTTTAATATCAATGTTCCTTTATTGCCATAAACAAAATTCAAAATTAAAACCAAAAATTTTGAAATTTAACTACTTAAAACTAATCAATTGGCAAATAATAGTGCTTTTACCCACCTGTGACATAATAAAAATTTGCTTTGTAACCCAAGCCGGTCGCTCGGTTGCCAAAAAATTTAACAAGGAGTGAAGGCCCAGAGCTCACGATGACTGGTGGCCTCGGCATTGTGCCATACCTTACCCGGATAGCACGCCCAGTCCACTCATAAAACTTAACACGCAAGATCATGTTAATGAGTATTAGATTAAACAATAAGATTTTTTTACCTGAAAAGACGACTCTTCTGATACAAGAAAATCGGTGAATAACAACTTGATCCTGCAAACTTGATCCTTTCGTTCACAACTGATTACATATTCCACTTCTATGTCTCTAGGAAAGTATGATGGGAAATACGGTGATTTTATTACACCGCCGTATGTGATGTTATGTTTGCCTGGTAAACCCTGATAATAGTTGACATTTCCTAAAGCGCAATATAAGCATTTAGTATCAATCATGTAATAAACTTTTTAAAAAACTTACTTTCAGCTTTATACTCGATTCTAAAAGTATGCATGCTGAAATTGAGAGAATTTCCCAAATTCAGAGTCAAGTACCTTGTTTCAGATCTGAACGTTTGTACATTGTCGGAAAACGATGTATTTTTAATTTGATAGGTTCGAATTAACATATTGTGTTCTCGAACCTGGACTACATTTTGCATACAATCTTTACCACCTTCATTCGACACTTCAGTAAGATTTTTGATCTTTAATACAATAACACAGATCCGGCAGGCAACAATTTGAACCTCACAGTGTACACTCCTGCCCCTTTCTTCCTAAAAAAAAATTCGAATTTAGTTAATTTTAACTTTTTCGATTCCAGTAATGATTTATTTACCACGGCGTCAGTCTGCGGCAGATTTTCATGTGATATGTAACCTTTGGCACCCATGTCGAGATAAATGTGTGGGGACAGGCCATCATGGCAAAACTCTTTGTTCGTTACCAACAGAAAATGAGAGAGCCCAAGCAAAATCAAAGCCAGAGGATATTCTTAAAAAAATTAATACATTGTCTCCATTACAACATACAAGCACGTTTTCATGCTAGAATCTTTTATTAGCATGCAAATTTTCAATACATGCAAAAACAAAAATATTATCAGTTAAAGTTACATTTTAAACATAAAACAATTAAATAAACATCACACTTTTTTTTTTTTAATATCAAATTGTGTTAAATATCTTTTAGCTCTGATAAAACAGAAGGAAAAACATGTTTTCCCAAATATATAAAAAAAAAAATTTAACTTAAGAATCTTGTTGAAGAAATGTCATCTTATCTTATTTAAACTTTAACTGAGATAGTACTTCAATTTTTTTATACAACCTCTAAAGTTTATTACTGTAACTTAAAACAATATTTTTAAAGTTATAGAAACCATATTTTCAAATGGCAAGCTTATAAGAAAATGTATAATGTTAAGGATTAACTATTTATTTTAAATTAACCAAATTGGTGAAACAGTCAATAATAATATGACAAATAATTACTTACTGGCATGTTTCATTGTATTAGCACTATTTAATGTTATGGATGAATCCTTAAAACATACCTTTGGCTAAGAGGTAGGGAAACTTGTAAGGCTTAATGTTAAAGCATATTTAATTTTATTTAGCCACTGAAGCAATGAACAGTTTGGCCGTATTTTTTCTTTTGCTAATAATAACACATTTCATTCATATTTTTATTTATTATACAAATGGCAAATAATCATCACCTTGATAATGTACTGATTACTTTTTATTTACCGCATTGCCATTTATAAATATAAAATTTAATTATACTACAGATTAAACTTGAAATGGCCCAGTATATTGGCAACTTTCTCAAATGAGAAAATTGATGGGAGGAAAATTGTTTCTTTAAAAAATCTCACTTGTACTTTTTCTAGGGTCACTGGAATTTTAATCAATACAGAACCCAGCATCAATTTCAACTGATGTTGTGTTGTTATATTTTTGTATCAAAAAATAATTAAAACAGATTTCATTTGAATGTTTGTAATCTACATATCTCCTTTGTGAATAAAAAAAGGTATCACTTATGCCTGCTAAACAAATTAGTTTATAACATCAATGTTTTTGACCAGCAAATTTTTATATTTAGGATGGGTAGTGTATGTAGCTATGACTATCAATTGACAAGCTTCCAGCCTAGGATATAATACCACCTTCCACAACTTGGATATAATATTGATATATAAATTATAATAGAAATAATCGTAAATAAGACTTAAGAGTGTTCATATGTCTAGTTTTGATGAGAACCCACCACTGAAGATAGCGAAATACCAAAATTGGTAGACCAGGAAGATCAAACGACCAAACAGCACATTAATAATAGTATGAGACATTTAAAAGAAATAATTGGTTTTAAATAAAATAGTCATAAAAAAAGAACTGCAAGCGTCCACCCATATTGTATTAGACATACTAACAGATACAAAGGAAATAAGAGGCCCAGATTTTATAGGCAAACATTCGTCTATTTGTCTGATACCTGCTAATGGATTTTCTGTAAATTTTTTTTTCTCATTGAGTACAGTGTTCTTTTGAGCATATCCTGCCCAATATAACTGTTAGAGTTTTTAGTGGGTGTTTTCTGTTATGTAGGATTTGCTCTTTTCAAAATTGGGTTGTTTTTACTAGTGGTATTTTTGTTTGCCTCATGCCTGGTACAAGTACCCAGTGTTTGTTGTGTTTTTAATTACCCAAGATCAAGTTCTTAATTTGAAGGAAAATGGGTAGATTTTGTCCTATGTGTTGTTCCATGGCTCCCTCTAGCTAGAATGCCTGCTGCCTCATTGCCTAAAATTTCCTCGTGGTCTGGAACCCACTATAGCATCAGGCTGTTCAAAAATCCCAGTTTTTTGTTTTTAGGATAGTCAGGCAGTTCCAGACACATTTTGAGTTAATCTCATAGACTCAAAGAGCGTTTAGGGCTGCTTGCTATCTGGAAATATTATTGTTGCACCCATGAGTGTTTACTATTTATTTTATGTGCTAGCAGTTGATGATATAAGTACTGCCTTGTTGCCTGAAACCCTCTCATGACCTGAAATCCACTTTAGTGCTTATTTTCCCTCCAGGCAGTTCCAGACAAGTATTGAGTTGGATTGTAAGCTTGAACAGCCTTAAGAGTTTTGCTGTCTGTAAGTATTATTACTGTTGCACCCTTGAAATGTTTATTATTTGTTTTATGTGAGAATGTTCTTGGTAGCAGTTTAGCTTGAAAAAACCCCAGATTTTTTTAGGGTATTCAGGCAGTTCCAGAATGCCTTGCAGGCTAGAAGAGTCTTTATAGGTGCCTAGCTCTAAGATTTCTAATACTGTATTATTATTGTTGCACACATTGCGTAGGACTATTACTACAGAAAGGGCAGGAAGAATTAATGCCATCTCTGGTGAGAATCTTTAGGGCCTCCCTAGTCTGGAGATACATACCCACTGCATAGAGTAAGGTGAAGGATCCATTAGACAATGAATTAATAATAAGCCCACTCAATGGGAATGTGCCACGGGACAGAGGCATGCAAACAAGTATATCAAAGGACCATCGCAGAAACTAACGGCAGAACTACAATCTAGGATGTTCTAGGACTAGAATAATAGTTGGACTCCTAACTGGACACTGCAGATTCGAGAAGCATATGTATAGACAGGCAGAAACAAGCCTGTACATACTGCCAAGAAGAAGAAGAAACAGCGTGATACGTCCTCTGTTGCTGCAAAGACCTATGTGGGCTCAGATTCCTAATCCTGAGAGAAGAAAAGCCAGGGCCTGAAGGATACACACGGGAGCCCTTGAAAAAGCTTTGGAATCTGGTAAAAATCCTCAAGCTTAATGAGGAGTTCTATATTTGCCGTGGTGCACAGGTCGTAAAGAGGCCGGCTCCTTTATAATCTATCTATCCACCAACCCTGTTATTTGTTATTTATTTGCACATGGTTCTATGGCTTGAGATGTAGTTGTAGCGAGGCTGAGGGCCATGCGGTGTTCACAGTTATGCCACTTTTTGCACATATTGGTACTGTTGCCCGTCTTTGAGCCATCAGTATACCATAAAAGAGCTTTATTCCAGATCGTTTTGCAGAGAGGAAATTTTTTTTAAAGATTTTAAATAAATGAAAAATTTCTTTCAGCAATTAATACAAATTCCATATGTCATGAGATTAAACAAAAAATAATACACATATGTAATTTCCTCAATTCTTAAATGGCTCTTAAATTGAATATCTATAAGGGGTTAACTATTGGACTATGAAAAAAAATCATACCGTTTGAAAAATAGGTTTTACTTTGGATCAACTCGAAATTATAGTCGGTAAGAGTCTAGCAATGTAAGGGAACATGTGTTATATTAATAAAAAATACAAAAACTAACAAAAAAAAAAAAACAATAAGAAATGTAGTTTGAATATTTTTGTTTTGAAAATATATTTCGCCCATTCAAGACATATTCGTAAAAAGGCTCAACTTTCAAGACAAGAGACTAAATCGATTTTTGTACATTGTCCGCGTATTGTATACTCGGTAAAGTAGGTTTTTTCGAAATTTTTCCCATCGAAATTGTTTTCTTAAAGCGAGAGGGTTTTTTTTCTAAGCTAATCGTTCAAAAATACAGCTGTCATATGGAATTAAAGTAATGTTGTGTTAGTAGTGATGAAATAGGGTTCGGCCTTCATTTTTAATAACGTCATTGTGTGTTATCAAAAGGTACGTGTTCTCGATTCTTCAGTTTCTCATCAGTTCACTATTAGATTTTGAATTAATATTTCATAAAATAAAATAACAAAGACGGTTCTTATAATATAAAAACTATTTATTTTACAGAAATAAAGGGATAACTGTCAGTGTTAAAGAAATTGATTTTAAGAAACCATGGCGTCGACCATACACTCCTTTTTCAGGACCTTCAACTCAAAACTGTAAGCAATTTTTAATTATATTAACAATAATATATTAAAATTTTTATTCAGTCTTATTAGTTTTCACTGTTTGGTGTGTTTTTCTGGTGAAAGTTCCGTGTTGCATCACCATCTTTTTTCTGCGTTTTCTTGTTTAGTCATTGTGCAGTTTTGACTCATGTTCCGTGAATTTTCCATCAGAAAATTTTCTCAAAAAGAAACCAGACATATTAAACTAAATTGATGAAGGATGTGGTATTTTAAGACCTGCATATTAATTGGGACAGTGACAGTACAGTTACGATTACCTTATAATCATTTACTGAATTTATTTTAAAAGAACACATACGGCTTTAAGTAAACAGTAAAATAATAATAACATCAAAAAATATACAAACCAATGACAATAATATGTGTTTTAAAATATTAATTATCGACAGAGACGCTCTCATGTATCAAGAGCACCGTCAGTGGGTGGTCCCCGGAGGATCTGACTCGTAGAAGAATGGTCATCTTCATACGGTTAAGAATAGGCTATGTGAGGTTCACACACCTTTTGGCCTAAACCCGCATTTGTGCCAGAAGTGTAGAGAAAGGTTGCTCAAAGATTTACAATGTTGTGCGAATTCTTGAAACAAACCACTGTCCTCCAGTAGTAGGGACAAACTTTGAGTAGTTGTAATCAATCAATTCGTTACTAACAAGCTTTTGTTTTACTATAAAAATTTTTATAGGAAAACAAAATGCTAAATTGTACACACTCAAAGTGCAAACACGGCACAAGTTAAAAAGCGAACACATTAGAATATTTATGTAAGAATGTACTTCATCACCCATAAGTTTATTTTTAATTATATTATTTCAAAAAAATATAAATACATTAAAGATGTTTCTTCTCTAATGTTTATTATCTCAAATTCATTTGCTATATTTCTTAATTATTGCATTAAGTACATTTTAATAAAAGTCACTTTTTGAAAAAACTTATAATATTAAAAATAGGTAGAAAATCATATTGATATTGTTTAAAAAATTAATATAAACTCATTAAAAATTAAGATTTACAGATATGAGGAACCATATCTCTGTATTGGTCTCAAAACAAAACAAGATATATTGAACTCAATTGATGAAGGATGTGGTATTTTAAGACCATGACCTGCATATTAATTGGGACAGTGTCAGTACAGTTATGATGATTACCTTATAATCATTTACTGAAATATATTTATTTTAAAGGTACACATAGGGCTTTAAATAATCATAGTAAAATAAATAATAAAATATACAAGCCAATGACAATAATATATGCTTTAAAATATTAATTATCGACTGAGAAGCTAAATCAAGCTATCAAGAGCACTGTCAATGGAGGGGGGGTCCTCAGAGGATCTGACTCGTAGAAGAATGGACATCTTCATCCGATTAAGAATAGGCCATGTGAGATTCACTCACAGACACCTTTTGGCCTAAACCCGCGTTTGTGTCCAAAGTATAGGGAAAGGTTGCTCGAAGATTTTCTCAAAACTAGATACATATATTGAACTCAGTTTGTGGTATTTTATGACCTGCATATTAATTGGGACAGTGACAGTACAATTTTGATGATTATCTTATAATCTTTTACTGAAATATGTTTATTTTAAAGGTACAAATAGGGCTTTAAGCCCCCTTAAATGTACACATTTTAGAAATAAATTTAGTTTTATAAACATAGTAAAATAATAACAGCAAAAAATATACAGAACAATAATGAAATAATATTTGCTTCAAAAGATTAATTATCAACAGAGAAGATCTGACTCGTAGAAGAATGGTCAACTTCTCCTGATTAAGAATAGGCGAGGTTGACACACAGACACTTTTGGGCCAAAGCCCAGAGTCCAGCGTGCAGAGAAAGGTTGCTCGATGTGTCCACCTAATTGAAGGGTACATTTCTTTGGCTCCATATAGAGAGCGTATAGGAATGCCACCCTATTTGAGAATTTTGCTTGATGATGGCAATGAGTATTTGGTCTCCTGTTCCAATACTCGGAGGGTTCTATTGTATATAGTAATAATTGTTGTAAACCTAGCTTGAGTTAAGACTGAATATATTTATTAGCTCTATTAATTATTCTTTTTATCAAAGGTCTTGGTTGAGATGAAAAAGGTTATGTCACAAATTGGATTCAAACCCACGACCTTCGGCTAAATATGGTTCATGAGTTCGAATCCCACTCGTGACACTAACTTTTTAATCTCGACCAAGACCTTAGATAAAAAGAATAATTAATATGGTCAATTATGACCACTAAACATATATGTATTAGTATTTATTAGAGTGAAAGTACTTATTAGCGTGAATACATGATGTGAGAGTCGATAGCAGAATATTGAGTACTTCGCCGCCCTAATTGAATGCATAGTGTGTAAATAGAAGTGAATGTATTTAAGAATGGACTTGAGTACGAATGGGTTTGGAACTGCATGCGTTGGTTGTTGTTCACCTCAGTGGCTGGACGGATTAGACTGATCTTCAGAGTCTATGAAACTTTTTTTTGCTTAGAAGAAACAGGGTTGTTTTATTGTACATTGATACCTTTGTGTTCCCTAGTGTGTGTTGAGAGTGAATGTATTTATTAGCATGAATGTGTAGAGGGTCGATGGCAAAATATTGAGTACTCCATCTACCCTCAATTAAGTTATTAGAAATAAAGTGAGTATGTTATTCGCTTTGTTTAAAATTTATGCCACTCAATTTTGAACGTTGAAAAAAGGGAAAACTCAATTACGTTGGTTATATAATAAGGTGGTGGAGGAATGATAAGAAAAATTCTAAAAAAATGAGAAGATAGATTACTGATTACAGATTTATATAAGCTCAAATTTGCACACAGAGTACAGAGTTGAGCTTATCACTTGTCATTTCCACCAGCTATTCCAGTTTTTGTAATATACAATAAAGCAGATCTTGAGGTGTAGATAGTCTTATCAGACCGCGGTTTTATCTATCTATCCACTGAGGTTCTGCTCTCTAATCTCTACAGCTAGATCATTTCACGCCCCAATGCAATCAGTTTTTTCCTATTTACATACTATTAACAAAAGTATGGCGGTGTAGTACTCAATATTCCTCCTTAACCCTTCTCACATACTAAATAATTAATCTAATTGAGGGTCGAGGGGATTTGCAATATTCCACTATCAGCCCATCATCAAATACATGATATCTACTTAGCATATATCTCGAATGAAACGACCCATCATGACTCCTGAAAAGATTAATTTCAATATATCCTTGATGTAGCTGAAAGCTACTGCAAGAATTTTTCACAATTATCCTGTCGGGCGTCGGTGGCCGCAGTGTTTTAGGCATTGACACGGCGCTCACCACTGTAAGGTAAAGGTCTGGGTTTGAATCTAGCGGCCCTGCATTCAAACCCTACATACTTACAAATGTTTCAAAAACACCGGCACCCTAAGTGTTTATATAATCTGTGCTGTTACGAACCCTCGTAAAAAAAAAAATTATCCTGTTACATAAGCCCTCATGTTAGAAACCTTTCATCTCACACTCTCCCAGATGTGACTTCATATTCCTTGATTAAAGCATCACAGGCCTCAAGACCTCCTAAGTGACAAATGTTATGTACTTATCTCCTTTTTGTTTTCACCATTTGGATAGTTTTATTTATATTGCTATTTTAGGTTTGCTTAATAGGAGTACTTTTTATCCAACATATTTCATTGTAACTATTGAAAATTTTTTACTTGAAAATAAATTAATAAATTTAGGCAAAATGTAAAAAAAAAAAAAAAGTGTGAGTGTAACATACTTTATGTAGTGATATATTAAAAAAAATGTACAGCACTTAGAAAATAATTCAATTAAGAGTATGTTCTTGCCTTTGGTCATAATTTAACTTTATAATTCATTTTGATTATTAAAATTGTAAATTTAAAACCCCTCCATCAATTTTGAACAATACCTTATCCTTGAGATAGTTACACACTGCTCAAGTCCATGAAATTATGTAAAATTCAAAAAGATTTCCCATAATTTGAATTAATGTGGTCTAAATTCCGTTAATTGCCTCTTATAATTTTACAGTCTTGGTTAGCAATCTAAATCAATTTCAAAACAAATATTTAAAAAAAAATTAATGCATATATTTTTTTTTAGGGAGCAGCCGGTTAGGCAGCATCTCAAGAATGTATACGCTTGTTTAACTATGGCTATGATGTCAGCTGCCACTGGGGCATACGTCGACCTTTACACTAGTTTCTTATCCAATAACATTCTACCTTTTTTCGCCACTTTAGGATTTTTACTCGCTCTTTATTATACAAAAGATAATGGAAAAAACCAACTACTCCGTTTGTCATTCCTTCTCGGATTTTCATTTTTCTCAGGTAAAGTGGAAATAAACGTGTTGTTAGAAATGCCAGCTAATTTAATGTTTTCTGTCAGGTTTGAGTATTGGATCGTTACTGGAACAAGTCATCATGATCGACCCGAGCATAGTCCCAACTGCTTTCTTGAGCACTTCTCTGATTTTCGTCTCATTCAGTCTTTCGGCGATTATGGCTAAAAGAGGCTACTGGCTTTTCCTGGGCGGAATCATTTCATCCATACTTTCGGCTCTGATCATCTTCTCTCTCGCCACTGTCTTTTTCAGATCAGCCATGTTGTTTCAAGTAACTATCTAATTTAATACGGTTTAATTTTCTTTTATCTTGTATATCACTTGTAATGTTTAAAGGTTCATCTCTACATCGGCTTTTTGCTCATGTGCGCTTTCGTCCTGTATGACACCCAACTGATTATTGAAAAACGTCTCCATGGGGATAAAGATTTTATTGCACACTCGGTTGAGCTGTTTATCGACTTTATTGGAATTTTCAGGCGCCTCCTTGTTATCCTTGCCCAGAAAGTAAGTTTTTTTTAAAAAGAAAATAATAAATAGCTTCTAACCCAAAATTTTATCTTTTAGGAAAACAACAAACGTGACAGCAAGAGGAGATAAGATATTACTTTATTTTCTTACTTTTTTTTTTTTACAAATGTGTGTACAATACTTTGATTGAAAATATTAAATATAATATGTAACTGAATGTGAAAAGATATTTCGTGTTTTTCAATATATATTAACCTAATCGACAATGTATTGTAATTTCTATATATGTATGTTAACGGTGAAGGAATTATTTGACCTTTAGAAATAAATGGAAAAAAAAGTGGTAGTTTTAAGTTTATTGAAAAACAACGAGATTTGTAAGTTTTATGAGAAAGATCGTTTGAGTATTTACGATCTCTTAATTTGCAAAATGTGTTTTCTTGCAGTTAAAATGAATAAGAAATCAATTTAGTGTAATAAAAGTTCATTTTTAAAAGTGAATATATGATTATTATAAATCCTTTGTTCATGGTACAATTTTTAAGTAGGATAAAGCATCTTTTTTAAAAGGTGTTTACTTAAGATTTGTTTAATTCATACAAAAGCCTAATTCTTTTACAATTGTCATACTTTGGGCATAACAGCTAATTCACCATTAAAAACATATGGTGTGAAGAGAAAAAAAATTTAATTTGTAAATAACTTGTAATTTTGTGACATTCTGTTAAAAAGTTTTGATTGAATTTTCCAGTTTTGAAGGTTGATATATGAAATACATAAAACAAAAATGTATATTACTGAAATTTAGTTGATCAAATGCCAATAAAACATTGTACCGTGTTGAAAATCGTTTTAATTAATTTAAAAAAAAATACTTCAAGCTGCTGCTTGTTATTGATGATGTGACATCACCTGTAGCCATAAGCCGTTAGTTCCAAACAATGTAATACATGATAATGTAAAGTCGTCTTTGTAAGAAAAAAGCGATTAAATCATTTGCCAATAAAGAAGCAGTCATTTCATTACAGTAGTCACATCACATCCCAACACAAAATCATTACCCATACAATATTGGTGGTCATACATGAAATTTCTCAGCCTAGACACATCAAACTTCTTATTTATGAAGTTCACAACAAATTGAATCAAAGATTGATCAATAATCACTCATGTTTGGCATCCCGTTTCAGTTCAGGATTTCTCCTAATTCAAATGTTTGTTCCAGGGTTTCAGATTTTTTTTAACAAGCAAGTTAGTAGTAAGCACAGGTCACACAAAAATCACACATGGACCCCTTCTAATGGGGTGAGGCGATAAGAGCCTTTTGTGGAAAACTTATCATGGTAGACTGTAAAGGCTAAGTCTAGAAAGTAATACGACCCGAATGACCTAAGCACACCAGTAGTCATAGGTCACTGATCCAATATTTTATTTTTTTATGAGGGTTCGCAACAGCAGAGGTCATATCAACCCTCATTGTTGAAAAATTCCATTTGTATGTCAGGTTCAAGTAAAGCGGCACTGCATTCGAACCCGGGCACTTAAACTGTTGCGGCCATTGATCCAATACCAGAGGAAGGAGAATATTGATTTGTACCTTCGTATATGTTATATTTGTTAATATTTTTCTTTCCAAAAGGTAGATTGGGGATGAGGTCAGGAAGACAGAAACATTTATTTCTTGTCGAGCTTTCGGCAGAATATATTGCCTTCAATAGGACTTTGAATAAATCGTTATCTTATATGAACAGGTACATGTGTACCGGCACGGATAGCCGGTAGAATGGTTCTTTTGGAAAGAAAAATATTGCTTGCTGAGAAGGGTGATCAATCACCAAAGGTTATATTTGTTGGAATGAATGTATTTATTTGCATGAAAGGAGCAATTACCCTTACTTTGCGGTAGTGTGAATAAAATGTGGTGTGTGTGTAATTTATTAGTGTGAATGGCAAGGTGAGGTAAACTCCACTTTACTAGGGAAGCATGAGGATGTAATTTATTAGCATGAATGTTGGGGCTTAACCCAAATTACATCGAGGAATATGTATGTGATGTATTGTGAATGCATTAAAAAAAAATTATTTTGTAATTTGTATAATTTGATATTGCTGTATTTCTACTACATTGGCTTTAGGTCTAGTACGTTTTATATAGTTAGTAGCTATGTCCATCAAGTAGCATAGTTGTCTATACCTTAAACCTTTCTGCCCTTTTTTCTTCACGTTCTCTTTCCATCTATGGTCCTTCCCATTTATTTTTCTGTATGGTATAAATGGTTCTATCGACAGTGAGACAGAACATGATCCAATTTTTGTTTGTAAATTGTTTATGCAAATTATACATATATTTTGCATGTGTCAGATAGACAATACCAAGTGAGAATACAGACCAGGATGATTAGCTACAAATTGGTAAGATATAAATAAATAATAGTCGGAGTTTAGTGTTTGCTTGTAACTGAGCAAAAACAGCAATCGAGTGTATAAATATAATTGAAACTTCTGCACCTGGACTGTCATGACACGGTGATGTTTTAAGCCTAAGCAAAGTTCAAACAGCTCTCGCTTTTTACAAAGGAAAAGTTTCCATCTTTTTCTAAAAATTAAGGTCTTTGCCCACTAGAACATATCATACTAGGACCGTAACCATACCGATACATGCAAACAAATATTCTTTACATCAATTGGTATTAGAATATACCTACTACACCGTTCCGTCACCGGCCATCACCGTAGCATGCCATGCACGTTGAGTCAACAATCGGCTGCCGAGAATATTTTGCAGGTGTCGGCCCGCCATTGTGAGCATCTGGCCTTACTGTGTTGCTGTCTTGTTCCACACAAGTTCTTTGCATTTGACGAAGAGATTTGTGTTTGTGCTTTACTGTATTGTGAGTGTTTGTGTTGTAATAAAAATGGAGGATGAACAACTAATAGAATAGTTGTTACTCGATTTTGTAGAGAAATCGTGAATCAAGTAGCTTCTAGTGTTTTTTTGGTTTTCCTCTTCCTCGTCCAAAATAATGGCTAATTCTCGTACAGATAATTTTCTAATAGCCATACTTTATTTAACAAAATTCACTCCTTATGCGAAAACAAGTTCACAAACGACGCAATTTTTAAAAAAGAAATGTACGACAGCAAAAGCAGTTACAAAACGTTTTTACATACGTGTTTCATACGGGTATAGGACACAGTTCATCCGTTGCAGTGGGCATAGTAGTGACCGGAGTGTTTTTTTTCGTGCCTGACACGATCCTAGTATGTTACATTCTAGTGGGCAAAGACCTTTAACTGTTCCGTTTTGGTAGGTTGGCAATACTTGCACATCTTTAACTGATTAAGTACTTTTATTAATCTTACACTTTTACATATAGATTAAACTTATTCAATTATAAATCCTATCTAGAAGTTTAATAAGTGCATGCATATATATATATAAAAAATACAAAAGTCGGTTGGATGACTAAAATAATACTCAAGTGTGTATATTATCTTTAATTTTAGCAAAAAGGTGATTGAAATTATACAAATGTAGAACCTGTTTTGAGTTCTCTTTTACATGCTGGTTTCAGTATGTTGACAGTAATCACTTATTGTTTTAAAGATAAAATCAATAATTTAATTTTCATTTCATATTAAGAGGATCTCTAAGGGATATTTCCATTTTTTTTACTTTTAATTTTTCGTAAATGGAATCTTCACGTTCAATTAAATATCTTTACAAAGAGAATTTTCAAATTTGTTAGTCTCGTTCATCAGCTGGAACGCTTTATATTACATCAAAACAGGAATGTACATACGATTTTTAAATAAATAATACTTAACATGTTCGAGTCAGTTTTGAAACTCAAAATACATTTTTTCTCTAACGTTCTTAGGTAGACCAAAAAAACTAAGAGAATAAAAAAAATAATCAAAAACCCCAAACACAGTTAATAATAAAATTTTTTTTAAAAATTAGGTACACAACTTAAACAATTTTTTGACAATGCTTAAAACTAAAAAGTGGTGGTTGAAAAAGGCTTGGACTGTCAGTACGGCCTGCTCCTGTCTCGTCCTCGGCCACTGGAACAGAAGTAAATTTATAAATTCTATCATAATTAATTATTTTTAAGTAAATTAATTAATGTCATAAAAAAATAATAAAAGCTTGAATTTTTATTAGCAATGTCAATTTAAAATAAAATAAAATACTGTAAATTGAAATAACATACAAATTTTACGTTCCGTTGTTACAGTATTTTTATATAAGTTAATTTAATGTAAAAAAGCTTATTTACTTCAAAGAAACTATATTTATCAAAGGAGAACAAAATAAAAGATACTTGCTTAGAAGTTTAATTTTTATTCCATATACACGAACCAGAAACATTATGGAATCTTTACGGTCTTGTCTTTGAAAAAAAGTGTTTGAAAGAAAAGCTGAGAAAGTCAGACTTAATACTGTCCACTGTACGTACATCTAATATGCATAAAATTGTAAGATATTTTTAACTGTTATAAATTATTTGAATTGCTTACCCTCCACCTCCTCGCATTGGTCCTCCACGACCCCTGCCCCTGTCCATTCCACCACCTCTTCCTCCTCCGTAACCACCTCCACCGCCACCTCCGAAACCGCCTCGGCCTCCTCGCCCACCTCGATCCATACCACCACCTCCTCCTCCTCCTCCTCTTCTAAGTGCTGAAAAAAAAAATTGTATAAAGAAAAATAATAAATTAAAATGAAAGGAAAATAATAAATTGAAATGATGGAATTAATTATACATACGTCCATCTCCACTGCTACTGCCACCACCTCCGCCGCTCCCACCGCCACCTCCATGGGGTTTGTCTTCGTTGCAGCGATTGCACTGTTGCCTCCAGGCAAAGTTCGTGTTGCCACAATCAGGATTGGCACATTTCCAGTCCCCTTCTCTACCACTTCCTCCGCCACCACCGCCGCTTCCTCTCATTCCACCTCCACCTCCTCGTGGGCCTCCTCCTCGGCCACCGCCGCCACCGCTTCCTCTGTGGCTGTCTCCACTATAACCGCCACCGCCACCACCTCCGCTACCACTGCCTCCACCACGACCACCTCTTCCGCCTCCTCGACCACCCATATGGTTGTCTCGCTTTGTGGCCATTTGAACCTTTATTGTTGATCCATTAAATTCCTTGTCTGGGGGTAAAAAAAGATATTTTAATATTATGTAAATTTTACTCCTTTAAACTCAAACACAGCAGAATTTTTAATGTGGAAAAATTATTAAACTTAATTATACTCAAAATTAAAATTACTTTACAATAAGTTTAGAATGTAAAGAAAATTATCTACAAATTTACTCCCCCCCCCCAAAAAAAAAAGTATTTTATTTGTAGTTATTCAGTGCCCTGCACAATTGTCCTCACTAATACTAAATTTAATTCTGACGATAGTTATAAAGGATTTTTTCTAAAATATTCAAGAAAATGTATTTTGGATTTATCTTCAAACTTGTTCTGGTTGTTCACGTTTTTTTTTTTTTTTTTTTTTTTTTTTTAACAGCCAGTTTAATGTACCACACAGCTCTCACACGATACTGTGGAGGAACAGGTTAACGGACAAAAACTGTGCTGGAGAGTCAGGGGAGGGGAAAAATGAAGTTAAGACGATTTTAAATCAGATTGATATTAGGGACAGGTAGGGAAATAAATAAGAATTTTCAAACAAGCTAAACCATAAGATTCCATTTTCCTTTCAGTATGAAACTTCATGTTGGTACTACAATGAGCATTACAAAGACTAAAATAACCTATATACCCACATTAAAAAAAAAAAAAAAAAAAATTAAAATCAATTAGTAAAATTTTATTAAAATAGCATAATTAGGCATTTTCTAAGATGTACTTACTGTCAAACCACTTAATCGCAGACCTTGCCGCATTGGAGTCATCATAGGTGACAGTGGCTTCACCTTTTGGCTGGCCTGTTGCCTTGTCATTGTACATCCAAATTTTTGGCTTGCCGCTTCGTTTATCAGTCTTAAATAAAATGGGGAAAAAGGAAAGTTATAATTTCAATTGTAATGTAATATAATGCAAATTGAAATTAATATACCTTGATGACACCGATCGCGCCAAAATGCTCCTGGATATCACCTTCCGAGGTGTTTGGATTCATGCCCGACACAAAAATAGTATCCTCTTGGACAATGTAATCATTACCTCCACCGCCATATCCACCTATTTGTGACAAAAAGCAATCAGTATTTTCTGTATGTGAAGGTGGTTAAAGATAAAAATCAAAAAATTAAAATTAATAAGACACAAATAGAGAAAGAAAATCTAAAGTTAACTAAAAACCAAACTACTACTTGCAGTTAACGTCACCATAAAGAAGAGAAACATCTAAACTTAATTTCAAATCCCTGATAATGCTTTTTTTAAAATGTTATTCAAATAAATCGACTCGATAATAAGAAACCAAACCACTTTCATTTTCAAAGAAAAAGTCACATAACATCCTAATAAACGAACTCATTTATTTAATTTACTTACCAACAGCAAATGCGCAATATATTACAGAACACTTTTTTTAAATTATTAAACTACCCTTAAAACCTAAATAAATAAATTTTTTGACCTAATTCACAGTCCCAATTGTTAACTCATACTACCTACTTCAACAAACAATAATCCTTCCAAGTTAATATATAAGTTTAAAATTTGTTATTACACAATTTTTTAATTAATAATTTAAAAAAAATATATATATACAAAAAAATTATCTAAGTCTTTACAATGGAACACCTTAACTAATGACATAAAACCACTGATTTTTTAAAAAATTGTGTAAAAAATACGCCCTCCTCAATGTCGAAATTATTTATTTTGGTTTCTCTTTTGTAATAACACAATAAACCTTTTATTTTGACTATGTCAGAAGAACCTTGTTCACTTTTTATTTTTTTCATTTATTCCACGCCGTTACCTTTACAAACTACCTACTACCATGGGGTTTTATTTATAATTTTCCTTTATTTTAAATAATTCAGGTATAGATATTTTAAATTTGACCATGAACTTTTTTTATGTTACACCAAAACTGTTTCAACCTGTCACCTCGCCGTCCAAACGGATGGTACAAATATTTCACCTCTCGATAATACCCTCCAAGTTTAACAGGTATGCAATCGTACTTTTTTTTAAAATATAGTAATTACATTTCCTCCCTAAATAAAATGGTGCAAACCTGATCCTAAACCTTTACAACGAAGCGGTGGTTGTATAACTACCAGTTTTGCAAACAATTTTTTTTTTAAATTAAAAAATAAACTAAATAATAAGTTAAAGAGGTTCACACAGAAATTACAAAGTGAAAACTGACAATATTGAATGGAAGATTTTATGAATAATAAATCTTAAATAAAGATTTTTAAAACAAAAGAAAAAGTACTGATACTTTTGCTTTTACCTATTTTTTTATATATATTTTTTTATTGTAAGCATTTTATAAACCTAACAAAATTCTTCCATTCAAATTTGACTTTTTAAAAAGAATACAACTGATTTGGTAATTACATTTTTTAAACCATTTTTAAAAATTATTCTTAAATAGCACTAGCTTTATTTTTTATATAATATAAATATTGTTTTAGCCATATTAATTCTTTAGATCTGTCTTCACAGAATCAATTTGAATCCTGGGATCTTTAGAGATTATAAAATTTTATATTCTCTATAAACACTTTTTTAAAATGATTTCAAAGGTCCCTGAATTCACTATAATCAAAAATGATAACAGCCTTTTATTTAAAAAAAAATATAAATAAATAAATAAAATAAAAATAAAATAATTTATAAAAAATGGTTTGCAAAATGTAAAAAGAAAAAAAATTAAGAAAATGTTTGTATAATTGAATAGCACCGTTTTTTTCCGGTGCATTTACCTTTATTATAACCACCTCGACCCCCACTGCTAAAACAGAGAAAAAACTTGTGAGAAGTTGGTAGTGATATTCCATTTTCTTCACAATTGATGAGTCCTCTTCCTCTTCGGTCCAGTCAAGTCAGTTAAATGAAGAAGTAACGTCTGTACTGAGTTTAAGTCACTTTATGAACCCCGTATTAAAAACCTTTCTTTATGTACCATTTTTTGCAACAAATAAACTTTTAAAAAAGCAATAAAACCAATAACAATCTTTGCATTTTTAAAAAACCCTGGTGAAGATTAATAAGTTCGCTTTAAAATGTGCAGCTGTGTATAAAGGAATAATAAAAATACATTGCAAAAATAAATTATAACACATTATCTACCCCCTAAATGCTTTTCCGTTATAATAAACAACTTAGAAAATTGTTTTTTAGGATCTACACTTGACAACTACTTATCACTCATTAAAAAAATATTTAATAATGTTCAGATAATGACAATGATTATGTTTAATTTTGTTTCATAGTTATAAATAATCTGCTATTATTATTAACTTTTTTGGTTGGCATTCATTTCTGCCTAGAAATATGTATGATTTTGTAAATATTACAAATAATGAACTTTGTTTAAGCGTTAACAAAAATGATATTAAAATATGAAATTATGGTTGTACTGAGGGGTCTTACCAAGAAAGAAATAATACACGCGTTGAAAAATTTATGACATTTTTTAACAAAGGTAGAGGACCGTGGTGGCTGAGTGGTTAGGGTGTCAGATTCATGACATGCTAGCAATTCAGAGTTCAAATCCTGGCAGAGCCTATAGCTTTTGATTTGTTAATGATACAAAAATGGTGATTAGGCTGACTTGTATTTGCCTCACTAACAATTCAGGGTTTGAATCCTGGCAAGCTAGTGGCTTTTTAATTGATAATGATATGAAAAATATATGGTAAAGTGGTTTGACCCCTTGGGGGCCCCGCGATTGGGCATTAAGCCATCCAATACGTCAGGAATTACTTCACTATTTTTACTTTGTAGTGAAGGTAGAAAAATAAGGTCCATGATAACTAAAACATTAACTAGAAGTTGTGTTAAATATTATCAATTTTTGTTAAGTTCTTTTTGAACTAGCTGAATCCCATTATTTCTTAAACATGCTTCTAAAATCTCGTCAATGACTGTAATTAACATTTAAAAATTGTCTAAAATGGTAAAAACTGTTAATAACATTTTATCAAATAAAATATAATAAATTCAATATAAAAAAATAGAAATAAATTTAAAAAAATGAAAGTTAAGCGAACTTATTAACTTCTCATCAACATGTCAGATCGTAAAATTGCCTAAAACTTAACCAATTTGTACACACATTTACAAATATTTACACCATCAAATTTACATATCTTGCATTTTGTTTGACGTTCGATAACACTAGTTTTGAAAATTAAAAACCACCATTAGCCCAAATTGCAATGCCATTACCTATTGTAACGCATAAAAAATACCCATTTTTGGAGATACGGTATTATTATTTTTTAAACCTTGATTTTGTTTTGTTCCGTCTTTCACTTACCATTACAGTCAAGTCTTACATAAAAATTGCACACCTGTTAAAACACTTCAGAAATAACTCCAAAAATTACTTCAATGGATTGTACTACTGTTCAAGCAAAACAGTTCAAACAAAATTATATTAGACATGGAGAAATTGTGTGGGTTTGTCGGTATGTTTTAAAGCAGCTAGTTTTAACGCTATAAATGAATACATGCCAACTTCAAATTAAAATTCTGTAACAGGTTTCCATTTTGTTACTGTTTTAAGAAAAGCTATGCTTATTTGTCATACAGAAGCGTAAAGATAAATATAAAACAGTTTCGCAATTTACACCTTTTTTAAAAAACATACAGTATGAGACACAAGTCATAACATATTTTCTCTAAATTAATTTTGTAACTTTAAAAAATTCTGTCTTGTTTACTCATAAATAATATATAAATTTTTTAATAAGGTTAGCTATGACATAATTTACAGATCGGTTGCATAATAAATGTTGATGCCTTTTGCTAATATAAATATATTTTCGTCAGACACCATTTCATGGATTGCTTTTATGTCTCTTGCACCAATAACCTATGTTCAATAACTAGGCGGAAAGAACCATTCAGGTTTTGGTTATTTTAAATTAGAAAAAAAAAATCACCCATTACTTTCTATTAAATCTCAGTATGAATGATCTGTTTCGTTTTCATTTTATCTTTCTGCTATTGTTTAGCAGCATGAATGTTAAATATGCTTGCTTAAGTTTTTTTCTTGTGGGATCAAACATCACACGTGTCTCATAAATTGTATACTATTATGCAAAAACTGTCAGGTTTTATCTCATCGATGTTCAGTTTGTCACATTTTTTATTTTTGTGTATTCCCGGTTCAGGTGATGTAAATGTATGATTTGATTTATCTATTGTAGGGTTTATAAAGTTTGATCTGAAATCATTGATCAAACCGTTATTCACCCGACTTTTAAAAATAATATAACCTACTTTTCACATCTGTTACTACTAGCCTTTGCCAAAATTGTAAAATTGAATGTTTAATTATAAGGAATTTTGTTTATAGAAAGTTTAAAATTGGTTGTTAACTATTCTTCAATACACACCCAATAACACCATTCAACGGTTGAAATACTTCTTAAAATTTGCATTTATTTTTGTTTTGTTTTTATTGTTTCAAATTAGTAAAGTTAAGACATTCCAAGACTAGAAAAGATGAAATCTAACCAACAAATTGTAAAAATTTCACTATTATTTTCAAAAACCAATTACAAAAAGTACAGTGGTTGCCACATAAACCAAGATAAAATTAACTGATTAATCAAAAAACAAATTAAACAAAAATCGATACTGGATGAAGGTACGGCTCAAAGAATAAAGCAAATCTAGTTGTTACTTCCAAGCTTTTGACCTATTTTAAGGTCATCAGGGCGAAACAATCTTAAATATGTTTACAGATTGTCACATTTAAGTTTTTTTTACAAGCAATCTCAAATTTCCTTGAAAAACAACTCAGTCCTAACATTGCCAAAAAGAAAGCACAGCAAGTAGTAACTGAATTTTCTTTTTTCTTCAAGATCATTCCTTGATCCAGTGTTCGTGAGTGAAAAAGTGGTCGATACTTCTAACACTGAAAACCTAACAAACTGAGGGGATAATTGTTGGATAAACTTTTTTTTAAACATGTTATTCCTCACAGCAATCAAGTTATGTAGTATGTACACTTACATAAACCAAAATCACTTATTCATTGAAAAAAGTCTGTGATATGCGTTCATTTTTGAGGAAATACATTCTTTTACATTTTTAATCTTATTTTACGGGGGTTTGCAACAGCAGGTCATCTTAACACCAGGGGTGCCAGTGGTTGTAAGGATAAAAAAGCCCATTGTAAGTTTGGGTTCAAATTCAGGACGCACTGTCATTCAAAACTTAGACGGACAGTGATGAGTTGCCGGATAGCCCCCTCCCCAACAACAGAGGTCATATCAACCCCTGGAGTGTTCGTGTTTCTGAGGGAAGAAGAGAAAAAAAGCCCCAATTTAAGTAAGTACGGTTCGAATTCAGGACATGCTGTGATTCAAATCCGGGACTCTTTACCTTACCAAGTGCCATGACAAAGCCTTAACTCTTGTGGCCACCGATGCCCCGACTCTTATTAAATTGGTTTCAAAGTAGGGTGGGTGAGGGAGTTCATCATATGCTAGTACTTTCTCATGAGTCAAAAACCAATCCAATCTTTTATTTTTATGGTAGGGCATCATAATTTAAACTCAGAAAACTGCTCACTGACCCATACAGAAAGATAAACAAAAACCTTCCACCCCAAACATCCTATTAAATCCTAAGAATGTCAGTTAATCTATAGAAAACAATAAAATTTGTAAACGTAATTGTGCCTTTGAAAATAATTCCAAGAAAAGCTGTTACGCGAAAAATGATACCGTGTGCATAAAAGGAAGGAACAGTCCTACCACAAGTCCTGTCGCCCTCAACAGAAGAAAAAATCTAAATTAAAAGATAAACTAAAAACTAACACCAAATTATCCGGTGAAAAATACAGGAAAGACATATTTGGTCGACTTGCAAATAATCAATAAAACTGGTGACGGACTATGCAGCAACCACTGTATTATTTGAACTAATTACAACAATTAATTTGCAAAAGAAATCCTGAAATGAGTAGTTCGATTCTAAAAGAACTTAATTAAAATATGCAGAATTACAAACCCACCTTTTAATTTAATAGACACGACAATTATGGCAAAAGCAAAGTTTCAATGTGGTCTATCTTAAAAAAGCCTGATAAATTTCACCCACAACCCATTTGCAACTTCAAATACCATGTCATGAATTTAAGAAATTAAAAAAGCTCTAATTTATTATTACAAAAAAATACTCATACCGACAACCCAATAATGCAACATAAAAATTAACAATATAAAAATATGCTTACACATACTCATAAAACACCTTGTCCTATTTCTGTGAAGCAAATCCAATTAATAAATTAAATACCTAGATGAATAGCTTTAAATAATTGTTTAAACTTAGTAAATCAATTTTTATCTGTTTTCTTCTAGAAACCCATAAAATATAATAAAAAACCGTTCAACCATAACCGTTTTTGTAGTCACATTTGCACAGCACTGAGTCAATTAAGTATTGTAGTAAAGAAATCAACTTACTTATAACCTCCTCCATCTCGACCACCACCACCGTAGCCTCCTCCGTCCCGGCTGCCATAGCCACCACTTCCGCCGCCACCGCCTCCTCCGCTGCCAGAGTACCCACCCTGCTGGCTGCCTCCATAGTTGCCTCCGCCGTACCCACCGGACTGTTGGCCGTAGTTCTGGTACTGGCCTCCGCTCATGCTATTCGAGTCATAATTGGCTTGTGACCCGTATCCTCCAGGAGGAGCAGTGGGCGGCGGCTGGCTGTAGTTGGGAGTTGGGGCTGCACCGCCTGCAAAACACCATTCACCATTGAACACTTAATGTTTAAAAAAAAATGGTTTTGAATTATTTCAAAAAGAATCAAAGCAAGTGAAAATTAATTAAAAATTTACCAAGGAACCACTAACCAAATTTGTCTCATCATTATAGAGCTATATAAGCTGACAAATTTTTTTAAATGTATTTAGTTTATTTATTTATTTTTTTTTTAATGATCAGGGTCATTTTTTCCACCCTGTTGATTGCCTTGGTTTCATTTAAAAATTAATAAAACCTCTGATTTTATCCAAAGTCAGCATTATTACATTACAACTGATGGAAAAAACAAAGCCTTCCCTTTCAGCTTACATCAATGACATTTAGATTTTATGTATATTCTGAATCCAAAATGCTGACTTGGTTTTTGTAATTTTTTAAATTTTTTATTGAAGGAAAATTTTAAAATGAAGAGAAGCCAAGATTTTTTTTTTACAATGGATACCAGGGACTGGAGGAGTTCCCTCCTGAGCACTGCAGCTGAGCTGTACAGCTTATTGTACTTTATCCCTGGCTCCACATTTTTTTTTTTTTTGGGGGGGGAGGGGGCCTCGCAACACAAATGTGAACTTGAGCCCCCGTTGTACCGGTGTTCTTCCATTGAAGAAACTCATTTTTGAAGGGGGTTGGGACCAAATTCAGGGTCGCTGAGATCCGATCCCGCCCCTTCCGTGTCAATTTCTTTCTATTGCGGCCACCGGTCCCCTTAGGCGACAGTGGGGATCGAACCCACGACCGCGGGATCTACTAGCTGAGAGTCTGACGCCTTAACCACTCGGCTACCACGGCCCCCTTCCTAGACTTTATTTTGAGTCCAAATTAAAAAAATTTTGTCAGCAGAATAAAAGGGCTTATTACACATCAGCAAAGATTTATAGATTGTGATAGAAAATACTTTGAATAATTTTTATTTATTTTATAAAAATTAAAAATAGTTTTGACTGTCTCTTCAAAACCTGTATTATTTTTACACCACCCAAATAAAAGCACTTGTTTACTGTGTGTAAAGGGGTTTAGACAGATACATATTGCAGTGTTGTGGTAGCGGTCACAAAGTGGATTAGCCTTCACTATACAACATAGGTCACACCTTCTACGGTACAAGACTTGTCTGTACAGACAAGGCAATAACTAGCAAATCCCGATCTGAGTTCTAGAAACGCAACTTGGTAGAGGTGCGGTGGTGTACATGACCTGGTTAATAGTGCAAAATTGTCCCAGCTGTGTATAACCACCAGTTTATAGTGTCTTACCCTGCTGTAAAGCTGGGCGCACACTAGGTCAGTGAGGTGGTGTGGCACAGTGCAGGTTGAAATTGTGAAGGTCCACACACTATGTAGGAACCACTCTCGGCCCCGTTGGAATTTTCCCCCTCCATCTGACTAGCGCTACGGTTTAGTGTTGATTTTGCATTTGCAGGAGTGATAATACTTGTATTCATAATAAATAGTAGTCATGAAAATATTTTTCAGGTTGCGGTTGCAGAGTTGGAAAATGAGGAAGAAAATGAAAAACATTGGTACATGTAATAAATACCAAATGACTTACATTTGGAGAATGTCACCATTATTTTAAGGAAATGATCTTGTTTTCAAACTTATGTTGAAAAATGCTACTACTATTCCAAAAATCAGGGTAAACAAAGCAACATGGCTTCGTCTTTACAAATATGGCGTCCGAGGGCAGCCGAATATACCCCAACAATTCAACCATTTCCAACCACCTCGGCGCACACAAGGCCAGTAGGACGGTGCGGCATGGCCCCCAGCTTCCAAAAGTCAGGCAACTTCTCCATCTTGGCTCCGTGCCGCCCTACCGACCTAGTGTGTGCCCAGCTTAATACAACATGAATTCACAATCCTGTGGCCATAGCATGAAAATTAATATATTTTCCATACATTTGTTTGGGAAATTTCACCGCTTGAAGTAAAGAACAAAATAACTTACTTGAAGATTCAGGGCTAAATTTCAATTATGTTAGGGCTACTATGCAATAATGTTAGTGTTTATAAATATAAAATTGATTTTGTAAGTTAAACCTTGAATACAGATAACATACAATAAATAAAAGATTTGTTAATTTAATAAGAAACTAAATTAATAAAATATTAATTACCTGGGGCTTGCCCTTGCGGATAGGACTGCTGGCTTTGATCGCCATAACCTTGCTGCTGCCATTGATTTGGAGGCGGCTGGCTGTATGAAGGCTCATAGGTGGGCGTTGGAGGGTAGCTGGAAGTCACGGCAGCACCGCCCTGGGTGTAGCCGTAATTTCCGTATCCGCCCCCGTAATTGCTGTACTCTGAAAATAACGACACGTTACTCGGCGGTCGGGTGGGCCCGGCGTCCCTACACGATTTTGACGAAATATTGAACAATATACGACAAATTCTACAATAAGGAGGACGAATAGGCCGGTTTTTCGATACTGGTATTTGAGTAAGGGTTCAGTTCTTATTGCTACTTACGATTATCCGCCATCTCGAGTAGGACGCCAAACTTGGTGAACGGGAGTGGCGATACGGTTCGATACAAGTACAAAGGGAAAACAACCAAAATGGCCGGAGCCGACTGATGCCAGATGGTGCAACCGGATATTCCACATCAATGCCTTTAAAATATCCAAAATATACCTTAAACCATAATCCCTTATTAAAATTACACCAATTTAAAAAAAAATACAAATAAACGTCTTAGTTTTCTATTCTCCTTTTGTCAATCATCAATCAGAGAAAACTATATTAAAAAAGTCGATCATGTGATCAATAAGATCAATATAAAAACACGAATTGTTAAATTAAGGGCTTTTTTAATATCAAAATTCAAAAAGAAAAAATACGAATACCTTTTGATACTTTTTTATTATAATAATAAACGACTGTCCAATTTAATAAGACTTTTTACGACATGTGTTTATTGCTGGGAGTTGCCTGCTGTGAATGCGATAACGCGGTATTGCTCATAAGCCTTATACCCTTCTTAAGATTTTGAGGCCGCCTAACCTCGTATTTTTTATTCTTTAGGGTTTTTTTACGTATCGAGGGTAAAATTTAAGTTGACACTTTGACAGTCGTCACCGATCCTTTAGACCGTCATGAGGTTCTTTTCTCGAAAACGGGTCGACATTATCACCCGGTTGAAAGTAAAGGTATGCCAGTATCTCCACCTTCTAATGGTCAATTTGTAATATTTTTTTTTACTCCAGCCGATCAGTTGTGAAAGAGCCGACAGCGAATTTTTAAAGAGGATCAAAAAGACTCTTTACTTCGACAATGAGCATCTGGTTGATAATTTCAGCCTACCAGTATCCGGTATTTTTTTTTTTAACTACCCCATGGACAACCGAACATTTATTTTTTTATTCTAGAATTGGCCATAGAGTTGTACTCAGAGGTGAAAAAGTCGTCGATAAGTATGGAAAGACTGAACCTGTTAGATGTCGATGACATCTGCTGTAGCACGGGTGTCTCGCCTTGTGCTTTCATACTGGCGATGATATACCTCGAGAAGTTAAAGGCCTGCAATTCGAGTTATATTGAGAAGACTCCACCTCCAGACCTGTTTCTTGTCTTATTGGTAAGTACAAAATATTTGTATAAAGAAATTCCGGGAGGACCGTGGTAGACGAGTGGTTAACATGAGAGACTCGACTCATAGACTCCTGCGGTTGTGGGTTTTTTCATGATACCCTTCCCCCCCAATACGAATCATAATATCATATCACTAATAATCATCTGAGACTTGGCTAATATGCATACATCATAAGGCCATTAAAAAAAATTCATCAACTTGGAGAATATACAGGGTGTCATATCAACTTCTATAGAACACCCATATAATTTGAAAATGATTAAGTTTGTTTGAGGAGTGGTCAAGAATGAGGAGGTAAAAACACCTTTGTCATTTTTTTGCCAACGCTTCGACCTTTATTCGGGTTATCTTCTGAGCATAAAGTGGCATATGACACCGCAAGAATAGCACCACACTTCATGCCCTGAAGATGACCTGAATAAAGGTTGAAACGACTATAAAAATAAATAAATAAAAGATGTTTTTCTAAACTACATCATTTAATTTCAAAACGATTAAATTTGTTTTAAAAAAATTGTTTCTTAGTGATCTATTGTTTCATAATTGGTTGAGGTCATGAGGAGCGGTCAAGAATGAGATAGTGTAGAAAAACACCTTTGTCATTTTTTTGCCAACGCTTTGACCTTTATTCGGGTTATCTTCTGTGCATAAAGTGGCATATGACACCGCAAGAATAGCACCACACTTTCTGCCCTGAAGATGACCTGAATAAAGGTTGAAAAGTCAATAAAAAATAATTTAAAAAATAATTAAAGATGTTTTTCTAAACTAAGTCATTCTTGACCGCAACTCACGATTTAAACAAATTTAGTAAAAAATGGTCTCATACAAATCCCAAGTTAATTTTGGCTAGGAATCGCGTGATGGTGACAGATTTAACATAACTTTCTCATCTAATGATTATTTGGAGATCGTGAAATGCGAACTGGTGTGATGTAGGTTTAGAAAAACATTTTCTTTATCATGCCAACATTTGGATCTTTATTGAGATCATCTTCAGGGCTCAAAGTGTTTGTTTTCTGTGTAGATGTGTCATTACAATGTGTCGTGTTGAGAGTTTCTCATCTAACTGGGAAATGACACTAACTTTGTTATGCTAAATGAGAATCCCGTATTTTTATTGTACAATTTGATTCTAAAGCTTGTTTTATGCCACTTTTACTGAAAGGAAAATTTTGATAGGTACGACCATTTCTGATTTAATCCCCGATTTTTTGAGGGGCATTGAAGAATTAAGTCCATCTCCAAGATTTGAAACAACACATTGTTGTGGCTTGGAAAGAAACCTGCCTAGAAATAATAGAAAAGACCACAAATGTAGAATTCCTGAAATTATCAGATCTCCGTGCCTCAAATGCAGGAAGCATATTTGAGCATTGATTATAAACATAAATTTTAATAAATGGTCAAATCTTGTGGTGGATACATAATAACAGCCGAGTTATTAAAAAAAAATGGACGGGTTAAAAAAAGAAAAAAAATTGTACTTTTTTTTTCTTCAAAAACCAATATAAGCTAAGTGTAAAAGCAACCCCATGATCCCTATCCTATTGTGAGATGTTTCCTATCTTAAATCCTAATGCTAATCGTTTTTTAAATAAACAGGAGGGCCTTTACCTTTATTATATGTTACTAATCCTTTTATACTCATTGCATTAAACATTTTTGAAATCTGTTTCATCCTTTTCAGAGCCAACTTGTTATTTACATTTTTTTTCTCTTGTTTTCTTTGATCAAGCAATAAATTTGAGTAAAAAATTGCCTCGGCAGACGCATCAGCCAGTGATGGACATAGTGTCTGTTACATACCCCAAGTGTTGAGTGTACCACGCTGTATCACCCACGATGGTCTACCTCGGTTTTCTTTTAGAAGAAATTTTTAATGTATATTCTTCCCTCTGTTGAACCTCCCTACTTATAATGTTATTAACTGTAGTGTCTAATGTTTCAGTTAGTGGCGACGAAATTTCTGTTTGAGAGCGGAAGACTTATCTTAAACTGTCATTGGGCAGAGAGAGTTGGGCTGTCTCTCAAAGCTGTGAACGATTTAGAAAAACAATTCCTCAACGCCATAGTAATACTAATAAATAAAAATTTTCAAATTGAAACTCTGAAACTTATTTTTCTAGAATTGGGAAGTGTTTGTTCAGAAATCAGTTTTTCATGATATGCTACGAACAATTGAAAAAACAGTTGCGATGAAAGAAGGTAAAAAGCGTGGCTGGTTTAGCTACACGGACCTAGAACTCTTAATAGACTCTATCGACACTCTCTCGCTAGCTCAGACATTTTTTACTGTAAGAAAAAACACTTTATTGCAATATTTTATTTTGATTTGTGCTCATTTTAAATTTATTTTCAGGTATTAGTCGTCTGTTCTGCTAGTTATGCTGCGGGAATGTTTGCAGTTGTAGGATCGATGATGTTGGTGACGCAAATACCTCCGAATATCGCCTTTTACAGTAATGCAATTTTCAATCTTAATGTACAACCAAATATGACTGTTTTAGAGAAAGTACCGGTATTTGTCTCTGAAACGCTCACAAGAAATGATATTAATGGTATTTACATTTTATTCGTGTTAAATTTTTCCAAAACTGTTACATATGTACTCACTATTTTAATTTTTTTATTTTTTTTTTAGATTCTTATGAAGATTTTATTTGTGATTCTTTAGACTTTCAAGCACGACTTAGCTCCGATGCGGTTATGGAAAATAATGTCAATGGTGCTTAATTTTTATATTTTATTCAGTGGATGGTATAAAAAAATGTCCGTTTTCTGAATGTTTATGGAATTTACTGATTTATATGTACATACACACATGTCTAGAGTTGAACCTATTACTTCTCACAGTCCACCGACAATTCCAGCTTTTGTAATTTACTATAAATTACAAACAGGCCTCAAAAATCATGCATCCTGGGGGCCGGTTGTTGTCTGTCGGGTGCAGGCCTTGGCCATGTTCATCCAGCGTACTGAGGTTGGGTTCCAAGGGGGTTTTCAATAGCAACATCTAGGTCATTTCAGCCCCAACAGTCAATTCCATTCCTCCACCCTTTTCACCTATTATATTACCTAATTGAGGATGACTCAATATTCCACCATTGACCCTTGCACATTACACATTCTCGCTAATATATTCACTCTCAACAAAAAGAACTCAACACAAGCTAGGTACAGAAAATTACGAGCAATATATACAATAAAACAACCCTGTTTCCTCCATGAATCAGAAAAGGGGGGGAGGAAGAGATTTTATATTTTCAGAGAGAAGACTGAGAATTTTATATTTTCTAATCAAAATGAAGGCAATTGAATAAAATAAAAAAAATGGGTTGTCTTAATTTAAATTTAATTTCAGCTTTTGAAACGGTCATTTTATGTATCTAATTTGTACGTCTTCATATATTTTTATTTAATAATTTGTGTTTTATTTCATTTCCATTCACAGGCCCTTACAGGTGTTTTGCTTGTAATTCTCTAGAATGTCAGGCGAATGTTACTCCGGAACCAGTTGTGATAAATAATTTTAATGGTAATGTAATTATTATTATTATTTATTTCTTTATGCAGTATAACTTCAAATTTTATTTTGTCCTTAGGCTCCTACAAGGATTTTATTTGTGATTCTTTAGACTGTAATAATCTCCAAGATGTATTCATGTCCGAAATAAGTACGAACGATTCGGAAACTCACATAGACGAAAATGGATTTTCAAATGAGTTTAGCAAGTTGTTCCTTCGAATACGAGATGACTTCCTCTCCCCTCTACCTTTACACTACTTTAATTATCTACCAACTATGACGAAACGTTTAACCACACTTCATTGGTTGGGATAATAAAAGCCGATGAGAAGAGCGAACATAATATCTTTGTTAATATTGTCTTTCATACCATATTCTAATGTGTCGAATGGATAATTTTATATTTAATATCATTTTATAGAAGTTTATATTTTTAAACATTTATCTATTTATAAGCTAACGCGGTATGAACAATTTTTTTCGGAACAAAACGCTATTTATGTTATTCAACACTAAAAGAGGAATTATATTTACAACTCACGAATGAAGTTAAATAAACTTTTCATTTATACTTTGTTTTTTATTTTTTAAATTGCCTTTCCTCAGCATTTGTCACACAGGTGGGACAACATTATGCCAATACTGGTAGAAAAAGAGACATTATAACGGGCGCAAAGGAGGCACGAGAAGTATCAGCATTATCAGAAATGAGACTAGCATTGGGGGCTTTCTAAGGTCTAAAAATTGTCTGAATAAACAGCTTAGGCTAGGAAATTTCTATAATCCACTTTATATGGTGCACTTCATTTTTATAAATAAAATGTGAAATTGAATTAGATTTTAAATTTACCATCATCAAAACTAAAAACCAAAAAAAGCAGTTGATTAACCTAAGTTTTGTAATATTTCCCTTGTTAGTGTCAATCTGGAGGTCTTCATTTTCTTTTTAATTTTCAAATTTATTTTTAATTTATTAATCGGCAGACGGACCCTCCATGCTGTAATTTTACTTTAAATTATATATTATGTAATGTTATAACTTTTCTTTTTTTGCAATAAAGTAAATTATTATATTAATTTGCTTAAAAAGTGTAGATTCATATTCTATAATTCATATGGTATCATAATTTTGAACTTGGTTTAAATGGTGTGTAAGCATAGTGTAAAGGTAAGATCAGCCAAAGGCTTAGTTGTGTGTAGCATTTTGTTACAGTGGCATGATGGAAAAATGTTCATGCTGGTCTGCAGAAGTGTTTTCTTCTGTCTGCCTTGCTGGAACATGTGAATTGGACATTGGAAGATCGAAGAAGGCTCCTTACAGATGAGGTGAGAGTTGGCCTCAAATCTTAAAATGGGTGTAATTCAATATGGAGACTCAGGAGAAAGGTACCATGCTGTATGGTTCCTCAGGTGGTATTTGTTGGGTCGATGGTAGGTCGTTGATGTGCTGATTTCCATGGACGCCTACACTGAATGGGTTGTTGTATGAGGAAGATCTCTAACTTCAGAGACATAATCGAAGAACGTGTAGTGTCATTTGCCACCCACATCGGTGAGAAATACTAATGCAGGATAATGCCAGACCCCATAGAGCGTGTATTGTGGATGAGGTTGGAATTGAGTGCTCGATGTGGCATATTAACAACAATTGTACACATTTCAACCACATTTGGGACCAACTTAAGCGATGAGTTCAACAGCGAATCCCAGGTCCTAACACCCTAGAATAGTTGGAAACAGCTGTTCTTGATGAATGGAATTCCTCAGGATTTTACCAGAAATATTTTCCAAATAATGCAAAAGTGTTTAACCAACAAACCAACATCGACATGATTCATGCCAGAAGTTAAGGGTACAAAAAAGTTTTTTTACATTTTATTTATTTATTTTTGTTCTTTACTCAATAATTGTTTTTTCAGAATTAAGTAATAATAAACATTTTCTTTTTAAATGTCTTATTTGTACAACCAAACCTATTTTTGGTACGCAAAATATAAATAAACTTACAATATTAACATACAATAAAATTTAAAATTTGCATTAATTTTGTCCATAAGTGTATATATATTCATATATTAATTTTTTGACAGTATTTTTTTTTTAATATGCTTTTTATTTCTACGAATATAACAATGATTATTAGTAAAGCATAATACAGGCATGGATCACAATCCGTCTGCCGGAGGTCATTGTTAAGAGAAAAAGAATAAAAAAATAAGAATTTTTACACTAGTACACCATCAAAAAAGATTAAACATAATAGTAAAACTACTTCTCATAGAAAACAAACTGAGGGGAAAAGTAAAGGGGCAAAAAATCGGATATAATAAAGACATATATTATATAAAGGAATATATAATATATATTTTTTCTTTGTGTTTCAATTACAATGTATTATAAATTGTATTTATAAATATATTACAAATAATATAAATATCTTATTTATAAAAATGTAGTAATAAATTTTCTTTTTTTAATTTAAACCTAAGCAAATACATTTAGAAATACATTTCAGTAGTTTTTTTGTCAGAAACATCATACTGCCTTCCATCAATGTGAGGGGATTTATTCATGGAAAAACTGGGAACTATACTAGAGTTGGGGAAATCCTAAATTTTGTGGAGCCCTGATTTGCACGGTCCTTTCAATTTATAAATCCAATCTCATGGGAGTACAACACTAAAAATAACAGATCAATTTTTATATATTATATGCCAAGAGAGTTAAAACAGGAAATATAAAAAAACTGATGTTTTCAAGGTGGTTGCAAGAGGGCCAAATCCTGGAAATATAATTGCAAAAAAAAACTGATCTATTTTCTTCCATTTTTTATTCCTGGACTAACAGTCAAGAAAAATACTGTTTGCTTACAATTAGAATAAAATCAGGTAGTTGAAATGAGAAGTTTGTGGCATGGGCGATCGAAGTCATGGTAGCTCAAGTGGTTAGAGCAGCGGCATGTTGAGCCGAAAGTCGTGGGTTCGAATCCCGCCTGTGCACAAATTTTTCATTTTGAAAAAAATTGTGTATAATTGAGTATTTATATAGTCAAGAAAAATATTAAAAACAATAACAACAAACAAAAGGAGGGAAAATTCGAAAGGAGGAGTTGGGATGGGAAGTTAGTGTCTTAGTGGATTGAAATCACGATAGCTCAATTGGTAGAGCAGCGGTGTATTTAGCCGAAGGTCATGGGTTCGAATCCCGCTAGTGACGCTGACTTTTTTTATCTAAACCAATACCTTATATAAAGATTAATTAATTAAAAACAATCTTTAAGCGCATTAAATAAAAATTTACCACAAAAATTAAACTGATTGAATATGTCATATTGTATGCTTTTGTCAAGTTTAGTTTTCAAATCATATGGAAAACACATTTTGTTTTTATCCTCCACTTAAACAACAAAGCAAAATAGATATACAATTCAAGACATTTTTAGCCCCTAAATTTCAAATTTAACAATGACAAAGAATCTTAAAAATTTAGTCGATTCTGCAGTAAGTACGCTTGAGATTTTAAAATATATTTTTCTACTGTCAAAAAAATTCGAAAGTCAAATTGAACTAAAATATTTTCTCTTGATTTCTGTTAGTTCAAGGGAGGGAAAACAATAGGATATGAACTAGACATCTGGATAGAAAGCAAAAAACATAACATTGTGGTGAGATCTGCAAGCTAATCAATCTGTAGCTACATCATTGCTGATTATCCTGATCTATTCTCAAAGGTTTTGCATATTCAATATTTTTTACTATCATCAGTGGTTAGCCTGAAAACTTTTGAATAAATAATATGCAAGACAAACACTGAATTTTGGTGAAATATGTCTGACAGATACAACCAACCCGAATAAACAGAAAATATTGTTATAGCAAATGCTTTATCTGAAGCAATGGCTTTTGATGGGATCGAATGTGTACTTAGCTTGATCATATTGACCTGATTTGTGTATGTTTTGCCATGTTCAGGACATGTTTGACAAAATAATGTACGGCAAAACATGTCTAACAGTTAAAACTAGCAAAGATGAAGCTACAGTCCTATTCTCTTGCAGACCTGTCGACAATGTTGGCAATACATATACTTTTTTTAATCAGAAAAAATAATAAACAATTTTTTTTAAACTTATGAGTATTTTATAATTTAAAAAATACAAATTTATTTTCAGAATTTTGTGTTTGCAAATCAGAAAATTTTCTTTAGCAACACAGCTGCTCAAAACTGGAAAACCCAGCCAGCACAGATGTCTTCCATTACTGAAAACGTTGGGAGAGTAAAAATGGTAATTATATTCTCAAAACTCTACAAGTAAATTTAAAAAAAAAAATGGTAGACATGCATTTAGAATTTGCTATTCACACACAAAAAATTTACATAGCACTTCAAGCTATGTACTTTCGGACTGGATCTGTGACGGCTAAAAAAATCAAACTTTAGGATCCAATTAAACAGTCAAAAATCTTCCACACAATGCTCCTATCTTTGTTAGTAACAATCAGCTCAGACCTCCAAATTCCTTATGTTGCAGACCTAGCGCCAAATTCTGATACATCAAATTTATGAGTATTATTATTATTATTATTTACTGATGTGACTCACATTCATGCTTAACACACCACTTATGTTGTTTCCTTGTATCTGCTTATTGCATATAAATTCTATTAAATATAAACTAGATAAATATAGATAAAATTCTATTAAACCTTAGAACTTTATTGAAAGAAAATTTGTATTAATTTTTTTTCTTTTGCAGCAAGAAATTGGTGAGTTTACTTGGGATAGACTTCCCCATCTTGCAACCCAGGTGGAGATATACAACCATACTCCTTACTATCAATTCCAGGAGGTGAAGGGCAATTACAATATCCAGGACCTCAATTATTCCATATTTAAAAAAGCTAGTGTTAACCACAAAGAAATTGCAGAAAAGACTAAAGATCATACATTAAACATAAGGAGCTATTACAGAAACAGGTGGATACAAGAACATAAGGAAAAAAGAAAAGACAATATCACAAAGCAAGCAGTCAAAATATCACCAAAAGGGCTGGCTGTGGTGAACAGATCATGGCAGGCTCCTCACGAAGCATCGATATACAGAAAACTAGTAAGCAAGCAATTTTTTGATGAAGAAAGTAAAGGCTACGAGGGTTCGAACAAGTTGGACGATTTGTCCGAATCCAAGAAAGAACACTCGAGACCGGATCAATTAAATAAAAACCTGTGCAATAACATGGCCAAACAAAACTTGGAATTTTCAAAACTGAATTCACAAAATCATTATTACCAATGGATTAAGTCAGTGTCAACCCAGGGCAGTCTGTTTCCAGTTACACAGATGATGAATTGTACTCATCCTAAAGAAGAAAAAGACATATCAGACACGTTGGGCTCTAAGAGCATATCTAATCCACAGTATGATGTGGTAATAATTACTAATCCAAAAAATACGACTCTAAATACAAAAGAACTTGGTGAAGATGCCATGAATACAACTTCGGTACAACTGGAGAAGGAAACGTCTATTGAAAAAAATGTTATAAGCATAAACTAGGGGCCAAAAGTTACAATTAAACCAAACATAAAATGTTAGCCTTGGCTAATCCACACATAATTGTAACCGATGTACTTCTAAACTGTACATACCGCTTACTTGTGCAATAAACATTTTATTCAGTTTCAATATCAGATAATTAAGTTTTTTTACTTCACATTCTAACTTGTAAACTTTAAACTTTTAATGAAAATAACTCTTACTTGTTTTTTGTTTGTCTGATTGATGATGATATATTAATAACATTAATAAATTAAAATCATCATTTGCTTGCTAGTAGCTAATGATATTGTCTTTTTTACGAATTGATGGTGTGAGGCGTAACATATTCTTAACATTTTATCTAAATAATAAATTATCTTTGAATGTACCAAAATCAAAAATAGCATTTTGCATTTTGCCTAAACGTAAACAGTTTAGAAATTTATATTATGAAAATAAACTCGTTGAATATATCAATGTTTTCAACTGTTTTGAGGTTCCTTTTGGGGTCTGGGAAACAATTCTCTTAAGTAGAGGAACTCGTGCACTAGGCATTCTAAAGAAATCTTAAAATATGTGGAAAGTGAAACTTTTTACCAACAAAAGTTAACTTTCTCGATTCAGTAATAATCGCTCTGCACTCTAGGCTGCTGAACTGTATGAGGGCCTCTGACAAATCGCAGATACACTTTTTTTAGCACTTGTTTCTCATCCCTCACAACACGTCTGACCGCTTTATTTGAATTGACTTAATGAGCAGAATACTGGGTCCTGAAAATAAGAAATTTGGTCAAAAGTTTGTTTAATTACAGCCTTATCAGGAACAGGTTTTTTACTAACCATAAAAGCACAGATTGCCAAAATTACAAAATATCTTGGTCAAATTGTTTTAAGCTGGTATTTTGTCAATTCTGATATTCTTGAGAGAGAAAAAGAGAGAGAGAGAGAGAGAGAGAGAGAGAGAGAGAGAGAGAGAGAGAGATTTGCAAAAAATAGAAAAATCTGTTGTATTTTCAGAATATTGAAAGAGTATTGATTCCTTATATCGTCAGCAGCAAGATTGGACGAGAACTGGTGTATTCAGCATGGTATGGATGTTGGCTCAGCAGCATGTTTAAACAAAAAAATCAACTTTTAATAAATCATTATTCAATTTTGATCGTTTTCTCTCCTACTTATATGCTGTATTGTGTCAATGAATTGTTTTCTCTCTATATAAACTAATTTCTAATGATCTTTGTCAAATTGCTGAAAAAATTGTGACAGGCAGAAAATATTTGGTACTCAATTTTTCAAGATCCTTATTACTAATATTTTAAGTATGTGACTAATTTACAATAGATTCACCAATTATCTGAATGTACACAAAAGACATGTGGGCATAAAATGTTGTAATGTTATATTGTAGAGTGTACAAATCAAAATTAATTTATTAATTGAAAAGATCAACTTTTTTGTTTGATTAAATGTTATTTTTGATTTATTTGTGGCACCAATTTATATAACTATATAATCTTACCATTCTCAAAACTCACAGAAAGCTTGGTAATAACAGACTTTAATAAAGGTTTTCTTTCTAATTAAAATACTGGTAAAATGAATGTTCCCTGGCATTTTGAACCTTGAGCGGATCTCACAGAATCGATCTGTGATTGTTGTACAGGCGATTTTCTGAAAGATGAAACCTTCTGAGCCCATAACTGACATCACAGAGCCGACGTCGTCTCACTGACAATTTTAATTTTAAATTTTCTGTCGGTTTTTCTCCAAAAAATGACCGCGCCGATGGAAAGGATCCAGGTCCTGGATTCTATAGAAAAGGATATCGTTACTTGCTTGCAGAGCGCAGGTAAATTGAAACAATAGAAATTTAAGTTAAAAATAAACAAAACGAGCTGGGTCGTTTGTATTTATATTTTTTCCATTAAGATGCCAGTATTTAAGTATGCAGTATATCACAGGTTGTAAAATCGCAGAATGATAATTTACTTACTATATATAATATATAGTAAGTACATGGAAATTGAAACACTATGTGGCTGCATAATTCAACCTTACATATTTTTTAATTTATACAATTGGTTTAAACAGGAATAATTTTTATATGTTGGAGTACTTAGTATTAACCGTGTAAGGTATGAAAAAAGAGACTGAGAGATCAGGAGTTTGTCAGAAACTATTACCACATCTTTAGGGCTGTTTAGTTGTTTTAAAGTAAAAGTAAAGTAATTTCAGTCATACAGGAGAGCTTAACATCCAACTGTGCTTTGGGTGTCGCAGATAAGGGAACAAAACACTTTATAATACATTTTTTCTACATTAAAAACCATGGGCTCTGCTCAGATTCTAGCCTAACCACTTGACCATCGTGATCCCCAAGGTCGTATTATGGAGCGTTGGTTATCTGTTTGCAGTGAACTTGAGTGTTGCATGCAGAACCCTAAAACGATGTCATTGCTGTGTCAATCAAATGATGGAAATAAAATTAATTCTTTTATTTGGAGATCACGAGATGCGGTCTGGTGTGAAAGGTTTTGGAAAAACATTTGCTTTATCGTTCCAACGTTTTGATCTTTATTGAGATCATCTTCAGGGCCTGGGATTTATAAATATTGTTTAAATCATAGAAATACATGTAGGATGTGAAAAAAAATTAATTTTACAATGCTAGAAACTTTAGATTCAATCAATTTGAAATTTATTTTGAGATGATCTCAATAAAGATTGAAACATTGGCACGATAAAGAAAATGTTTTTCTAAAAACTACGTCACACCAGACTGCATCTCATGATCTCCAAATAATCATTAACTAGTGGTCACTAAACACCACATATTAATTCTTTTGTTTGAGCGTAAATGATATGACTTATAACAAATGAATTCTTTTATGGGGAGATTGTTATGGAATTATATGGGAAAGGCACCCAGATTTACTGCAGAAACTCAAGATTACCTTATACTTCGATACAGTATTGCTATGTCTGTCAGGGAACCTCCTTTTTTTTATTTTATATTTCAACAAAATCTGGAGTCTCCCAAGGATACTTCCTTGGCCTGATCCTTTTCAATGACATTCCACTACCCCAAACAGTTGTCTCCACATTGACTGAAGACACGGCTATCCTCTCTTCATACTCCAACCAATCTGTTGTAAGCTCTTATAGGCAAAGTCACCTCACCATATTAGAAAACTGATACTGCAAATCAAAAATCAAAGTGAACAAAAGTAAATGTGCTAAATCACTGTGACTCTAAAAATTTCACTTACCCTCCATTACGACTGAATGACATACTGATAGTGACAGGTGACATAGTACAATACTTGGGACTGTACATTAATAAAAGGCATGTAAAATGCACAAATTCGCCTGAAACGACATGTTTCAAATGCCTAACGACAAGAAATGAACCACTGTTACAAATTCATGTTGGGACTGCTCGACCAATGATCCCACCTAAACCTGAACATCAAACTGACCATTTACAAAACTCATTTGTTCGATATGGACATTCAGATTGGAAGTTTGGGGCTCAACCAAACATTGCAATTAGTCCCGTATCCAGTTTCTCAAATTCAAAATCCTAAGATAAATCCATATTCCATTTGTTCACGACCTTGTAAGGAATTTCACAATACCCTTTCTGTCCACTCCAAACCCCCTCGTCCAACTGCTTTCCATATTATGCATACCTGGATATCCTCTACCTGAAGACAGTTGCCTAGGGATTTGCTTCAGTATTATGACAAGATAAAATGCCAGAACATATTTTTGAGAGATTACATTTGACGTTTATCGTCCTAGGCAACAATTCTCTTAACATTCACCTGTAGGGTATTTGAAATTCCTAAAGAAACCAATTGTTAATTTTCTCATTTATATTAACAATTTTTGTGATTACAGGAACAGCTTTACTTGAGCTTAGCAAAGAGAAGTCGAGTTTAAAACAGGCCGAGAGCCAGACGCATCATTTTATCAAGACTTTAGGACAAGTTGAGTCAAAATTAACCGAGCAGATCAACTACCTGACACAAGTGTCAACTGGCAAGTTAATTCCCCCTCCCCCCCAATTTGATAATTTTTAAATTAAGATTTTATTACTTAGGCCAACCCCATGAAAGTAGCGGTTATGCGTCTCAGAAGATCCTTCAGATGGCCTGGCACAGGCTGGAGCACGCTAAAAGACGAGTTAATGAACTAGAAAGGCTCAAGATATCTCATCTGTCGGGGCGTAGTTCAAACCGCAATGCTCAAGGGCCAATGAACAACCAACAGTCGACTGGATGATAAAAACTTTTCTTCTTTTTTTTTTAACCTGTAAATAAACTGTATAAACTGTGGTTTGAAGTGAAATTGTGTGATGTCTACATTTACAACGTTTTATACAGATTCATTCAAATTAGTGCTAAATTTTATAACGGAATAACACTGCAAAAATTCAATTATATGTAGACTTATTATTGATTATTATTAATTATTGTTTCCAATTTTTCTTCTCAACCGTCTTTGCATAAAAATTGGAAATAATTTTTATTTAAGTAAATATATATTTTAAAGTACAAATTTCCTAATAATAAAGGTTTTATTTGTATTAAAAAAAAGTTTATTCTCTTTATGTTTTTCCTTTTTATGATGGGCAAAGTAATGGGGAAGTATTTCAATATATTTTAACAATTTTACACATTAAAAAGGACAATATGCTCATAGACATACAGATATATTATCTTGGTTGATTTTGTTATAATTATATATACAAAAAATTAGGGATAAGGCAAATTTTAAAGAAAGAAAAATATTCAGTTCCTTTTTATCGAACTTTTGAGGGAAAGCACTTTCATCAGGATTTTGAAACAATTTCTCATGATTTACATGGTAAACAAATATACATATCTATTTACAACATAAAAATTAATTAATAAATAATTATTAGTTTTAGAGTTAGCAAATATGTTGGTTATCGCCTGCCCTCTTTATGTTTACATTTCTTTTCTTATCTTTCTCGCGTTTTAACCCTCATACAACCTTGGTATCTCAGGGCCTAATAATTTTGGATAAAATAACAAAAAAAAAAAAAATTACACAAAAACATGCTAGTCTAGTTAGCATTCACACTACCCCAGAGTGCTCGATATTCCTTGGGGTAATTGAGGGGATAAGCCCCTTCATTCACGCTAATAAATTACATTCACAAATTAGACTTCATTCCCACTACCTCAGGGTACTCGATATTCCTTGGGGTAATTGAGGGGATAAGCATCTTCATTCACACTACCCCATAGTATTCGGTCTTCCTCGAAGTAGTTGAGGATAAACCCCTCCATTCACGCTAATGAATTACATTCACACTACCCTATAGTGCTCGATATTATTCAGGGTAATTGGAGCTAACCCTGTCATTCACACAAATAAATACATTCATTCCAATAAATAACACATATCACATACATAAAGCTACAAAGATCAAATTAAAAATATTTACGACCCTGAGAATATCTATTTTAAATATGATTGTTTAGCCTAGTAAAATTTATACGTAATTGAAATTTGTAATGGGGATACCTGACAGAACCATTTAAATGTTTGATAACAAACCCACAAGAGGGCGGGTGGGTATTGCTGAGTTATCACTTAAATAAGTACCACATTTTGTAAATGACGGTTTTTAGTTTTTTAAATGATTGGTTTTCATTTCTGTAAAAAACTTCTTTCCTTTAATTTCTTTATCAGAAAGTAGTATTCAGCATTTTGAATAGTTTTTCCAAGCTTAATGGAAAAACTGAACCAAACTCGTATATTCTTCGGATAATTCTGTTTAAAAAAAATCAAATACCAGCATTTTGACAGTTATTTCAACGATGTTGAAATTGTGGGGCGGCGCATCAGCTCAACGGCACGATGATATCAGTACAGGTTCAATTCAATTCAAATTCCGATTTTTCAAAATTGGGTTTTTCGCCTTTACGGAAAACTAGGCCGTTTTTCGATCAGTTTGTAATTTGAATTTTTGAACTCGGAGTAAGTCCGGGTAGGGTTGTGCGCAGTGCTTGCGGGCTTAGGGAGTTCCTCTTCCTTGTGTGTTGTGATCAATATCTTCTGCTTTGAAGGTACATCGATATTTACATGAATTTAATGTTTGGTTTTGAAGTTTTGATGTTGGCGAACTGACCGGGTTGTATGTTGAACGAAAGTACACGCTCTAAGAAAACCGATTTCCCGTTGTTATAAATGATAAAATGGATCGTTTCTTCATACATACAAAGACAGGTTATTTTACCTAATCCTTATAAATTTGTATTTGTGTTTATTTAGCAAAAGGCGAACCGTTTTCTTTTGTAGCCTTGCTATTTTATGTTAAACTATGTACAGATATGTTTCGAAGATGATGGTTAGCCGATTGGTAGATGGAGTTTGAACCAGTTGTGTTATTAGATTGATACCACACCTTTGAGATTTCAAATTGTTCTCTCTTTTTCAGGATTCATGTTGTAATTGTATGAAATGATGGGGCGGGTTGCGAGCCCGATGGAGGTTGGGTAGGCAGCTCCGCCCCGGCCAGCCATGGAGCCCAGGCCATACGCCTTCCATAAGGTAATATCCATTGCATTCCGTATCCTCTGACTATTCAGAGACTCTTAATTATATGCTAGAATATCCTGTGAAACTGAGTCTTTCATGCGACACACAGTCATACTACCCAAACTGCTACACACACAAAAAAAAGTAATAATTAAACAATACTGTAATAAATTATGTCTCTATCACTGTAGATTATAACAGAAATAAATTTAAATAAAACAATATTAAATTGAATGTTGTGCAGATGTAATAATATAATTTGTAATTTGAACCTTACCGATCATCTTGATCTGCCTTCACTTGCTGTATTAGCCGTATACATTTCAACATTCCACCATCTTCATTGTGTCACTCATATGGTTCCTTTGCTTCATCACCTTGCAGTCCAAACGGAGAATTATCAGAAAACTACTTTTTTTATATATATTTAAAAGAGGGTATTTCAACTACGAAGTTATATGAAAACTTGGGGTTCCAGTGTTTTTGAAAAAAAGCCCATATGTAGGAATGTCGGGTTCGATGCAGGGACGCCGGATAGCTGGTGGCTCCAGACATGCGGGATTCGCCGAATGACAAGCAAAGGTTTGCCGAATACCGACTAGTAGGGATGGGTGCTTGATTATTTGCCAAGCAATAATATTCGGTGCTTGACATGCTCAGCTAATTTTCGTTTTCCTTGTCAAGTTCAAAGTGCACAAAATTCATGAAGTACCTGAACTCAAAGCGTCCACACATTCGGGAAACAACTGTGCTGTAAGATATCAACTGTAATCATCAATCAACACTACTATTTATTTTTCAATAATAAATGATTCCTAATTAGTATAGATGTATTAATTAAAGAACATCATAGTGTGTTTCTGACGGTAAGAAATGGATTGGTCCATCATAAGTCTTTTCGTTCCTCGAACTGTACCAAGTTGAACCGATAATTTCGAACGCTTCTCTTCTGAATCACAAAAATTGGAACGTGGTTTTCGATGCGTGGAAACGAATTGACAGTAAGATGGGGTGGGTCAACAGTACTTTGTGACTGTTTTGTTACTGAGTTTTAGCCACTGCACAAAACAGTAACTGCAGCTGCAGCCATGACAGTTTCACTTATTATTATTGTTTCATTCAACTTATTGTTATCTACTGCACAAGCTGCAACTTTATCCAATATCACATCAATGATAATTTATCTGAGGCAAAAATCATTTGACCCATTGCTGGAGGTAATCCAGAGTATGGTTTGTTTTTTTCCACTCCATAACTGTTGTCCATCATAATTAATAATAAGTTGAGGATTCACACGGCATTTGGCAAATACGTATTCGCTGTTTCCTCACAAATTGACTGGTTGTACAAACCCTTCATTTGGTTATAGTGTAGGTATGCTATTTGGCGACTGCCAAGATGAGCATCTCGAGATTTGGCAAATGTTCGGCAGTAATCAGCATTTGGCGAATACCACATGTCTACAGCCATCTTTTCAATGAGGAGTGCCGAGTCAACGCCTAAACCATTGCGACCACCAACATCCCCAAAATTACTTTAATTTGAATGAACTAAGGTACAACACAGCTAGGTTAGACAGAGCAAGATGATTGGTATCACACGCAGACAGCAGGAGTAAATTTCAAAAACATTAATCTAAACATTCCTGACTTACAGGAGGGTTTAACGTCCAGTTACCAATTGGATATCGTGGACAAGGGGTCAAACCACTGTACAATACATTTTTCATACTATTATAAATTGAAATGCCATTGGTTCTGCCTGGGTTTGAACCCAGAACAAAACCTCTAGTGTGGCAAATACGAGACGGGCATCCAAACCACTCGACCACCTTTGTCCCTTAATTAATCTAAAAATTGTAAAATTGTATTACTATAAAACTCTTGTAATATGTCTAATTCTTTAAAGCTGTCATGTCAGAACCAGCAAAGTAAGTTAAAAGTTAATGAAAAATATTTAAAATTTAAAAAATAATAAAAGTGCTGCAAGAAAGTTGAATTATTTACAATTTTATAAAGTACATTGCAGTATGTTTTTAATATTTACTATATTTTATATTTGTCCAACTTTATATGTTTATTGCAATAGGATACTGTTTTTATTTTTTTATCGTTATGAGAATATACCATAAAATAACTTTAAAACAATCATTGCAATGATTAAGAATATGCTAATGTTTCTTAAATAGTAGGTTTTTATTACCATGCAAAAGAGGAGAAAATAAATAAATAAAATGACCATTTTTAAGTTATCAGCAGTTAAAGTACCAGGGTTATGCATAATTGAACATGTTTGATTTATAAATTAAACAAATAAATAATAAATTAAAAAATGTCCTTGTTTTAGTCGGCCGTTGGACTAGCAATTAAATAAAAAAATAACTTGAAATTGGGCATTACCTGTAATTATTATTTATTTTTTATTACGATTGATCTCTGTTTATTTATTTATTTATTTTTTAATGTATTTTTTTGGAATTAATTTATAATATGTTGTTTAGTTCATGAAGGAGGACATTTTATCAACAAAACATTTACATTTTTGGTATTAGTTCAGAAAGTATTAGAAAAAAAATGAATTAAACAGAATGTTAATAATTAAATCTGTTCCACTTTTAATGAAATCTGGAACATTGCATACCACTTAGTTAATTAGTCTATTTGGTTGAACTAAAACAAAATGTTTGATTGTGACTGATTATGAACCATGCTGCATTTATGAACCGTAGTATCAAGTCTCTTTTGGATTATGTGACAAATTACAATAGTATAATTTTTGTATCCAAAATACTACCATACAATTCATTTGAAACTGTCTCTTAATAATTTTCGTTTCCTCGCCTCTGATTATTTTATCATTTCATTTTTTCATCTGTAATTGAACTTTTAAAAATTGTCAATGTAGAGTTTTCTGGTTCCTTTGGCTATTCTGGACTGAAGAAAATGAACCTTGTCATAGCTGTAGTCGAGTTAATTTTAGGTTGGTTCTAGGGTGTGAAGATGTAGATGAAAAAAAAAGCTGTCCCCTCACCCATAGAACTGGAACTGCAGCTAGGTGCACCAGTGAGAGTTGGAGCTGGAAAAATTGCTTGATGAAAAAACTCTAGCACTGGAAATGAGGGTATGAGACAAGTGAATATATTAATAAATTCTCAAAGAAGAAGGTGAAGGACATCTCTCTCAGCAGGCAAGATTTGAAGAAAATTATAGGGTCTTGATTATCACCTAAAGAAGATGGACAAAGCAGAGACAGAATCATACGACTATTAGATGTTAGATACATCGGCACATATTCGTGAATGTGAAGTACTAGCCTCTGTTATAGCCATGTGCAATGAAGCATCAATAAAAGTGTTTAGTTTTGTGGAAAAAAGTGCATGATGGACATTCCATAATTTTGAACTATTTGGAACAACTGCATTTGTAGTTATGAGGTTTCTGAGATGCGATTGGCTTTGATCAATAAGAAAAATTGCTTCAAGAAGACAACCCTTGATTTATTTTGCAACAAATTAAAAAGTTGACAAAATTGATGGTAATCAAGCTTCTGCCGCAGCTGACCTCCTTCAGACTTCAAACTCTTCTAAGCAATCTTTCCTTTTCTCTAGGGAAAAATGTTAATGTACAGGATCCATTGTAAGACTTGAAAAATAGAGCAAATGATTTGTTTAAATAAAAATCCAACAAGAAACTAAAAAAGCCTAGTCTCTAGATTTAGCATGATAGGCTATGTTTCATATTCTCAATATAAAAATAATTAGTTGGAACTATATGAGAAATTTTAATTTTGACTCCAGAAATAATTTGTTTATTTACGATAATAAAAAATAAATCGTAAAATTTAATTTTATTTACTGGAGGACCGCAGTGGCCAAGTGTTTAGGGCATCTGACTCGTATTTGCCATGCTATTGGTTCTGGTTTTGAATGCTTAGCCCATGGCGTTTCAGAATACTATGGAAAAAGTATTGTAAAATGTTTCACTTCTTGTCCACAATACCCAAGGGTAGTTGAATTAGTTTAGAAGAATTATGTATTATTATTATTGTATTAATTTATTTTTAAAATATTTATTTATTTTATTTTGATGAGAAGCATATACATTAGCAATTTATAGATGGAACGTTCTAATATTATCATCATGATGCAATCTGCAATACAAATTTTGTTGATGTTATGGTTTAAAATTCCACTTATCGTAAACATTCACACTGGTATTTTAGTTATAAATGTAATGGTACTTTTTATAAGTACATTACATTTTAAAATATTTTAAATTCAAATGTCTGCTTTGATCAATAGCATTATTGACTGATCCAGTTTTTATAGGAAGTTTATTGTCAAATGTAATAATTTATTTTTTATAGATGGAGGCACTTGTGAAACAGATGCAAGATCCAGAGTCTGGAGTTCCTGTTGGCAGCCAGAAATCCTTTCTTACCTCCGTTCCTTCTGCTTTTATCGGTAAATTTCACTTTAATCTTGTAAAGATAAGTTATAAACATATTTTAAAAAATTGTGTACATGTAAATGATATTTTTATTAACTTGTAAAAATGATTATTTTATAATTTAATAAGATAACATCTTAGTTAAGACCTTAATTGTTTAATGATTAGGTGAGAATTGCAATTTTGTTGTATTTTATTTGTTTGAGAAAATGCATGTCACAATCTTTATAATTAAGCTTACCGAAACGGAACACTGTCTTTATTATAAAAAAACCCATGTCTTTACAGGATATGACTTAATTGAATGGCTTATGGAACACCTCAACATCGACGATGCAGGTATTACACACCCTAACACGGCCTTATGCCTGGTTTGATGTCACAAAGTAGTTAGTATTAACTGATGTGCCATGTTCCAGTTGAGGCTGTTCACCTTGCAAATCAATTATGTCAGTATGGCTACTACTTTCCTGTAGATTGTAAAACCTTAACTATCAAAGATGATAATTCCCTCTATAGATTCCAGGTAAATAAGTTTTACATCTTTCCTAATTTTATAATAATTAATTGTATTATATTAATATTTTAACTTGATATTTCGGTGTTGTAGGTAATTAAATGTTAGTTGACCATTGTAATAACTTTTTAAATGATTTTGATAATTATTGTTTACCAAAATGAAATTATATTCAAAGTTTTTGTTTATAAGGGGCATTTGTAAAATTATAATCTTTATTCACCTAGGTAGAATTCACTTTCCTCTTTCTCATTTGTTCTGGTGTGATTTTTGACCAACAGCCAATCCACCAAAAAATAATCTTACCAACGGATCTTTCAACTCAATTTTTCTACTTTAAATGGTAAATGTTTTATCGATCGTTTTTTAGGCTGCTTACCACTGGCCATGGCATCATCGCCACCCTGACAATGTCGAATATGCGATTTATTTAGTCAAAAGGACCTTACGCAATAAACAGAGGCATGCTCTGGAGGATTATGAACTCGTAAGTCTTTTTTATTCCTAATAAAGAAAACAATATTCACCCATTTTTGTGTGCTTATTTTAGGAAGCTCTAAACAACCTGAAAAGGAATCTACAAAACAAATGGGATCTTGTGACTATGCAAGCTGAAGAACAGGTAAGATAGCTTAATTTTTTTTTAATGTGTATTTTTTCATCAACTCACACATGAGGTTAAAAAAATAACTATTTAACTAACTCTGCAAGCTCAACACTTGCTATAAAAGCAGTAAATGTGAATTATATCAGGGACATCTAATATCAATCGATAAATAATTAATGTCTAGCAGTCGTTTAAAGGGTATATCATCACCAATCATCCTATACTGTGTGCTGGCTTAGCTGTTGCGACATTTCACAGACCAACCAGCAATAATAAACATATTAGGATGAACTGCTTGTTTAACAATATTTCTTTCCTCAAATTACCTTGTTTTCTGTTATTTTTTGGAAAAAAGTTTGCAGAATAAGAACAATAATATATGCAGAAAAAAATGTCAATGGCACAGAGGTGATGACAGTTAAATAGATAAATACGATAACAGGATGAAGGAGAAATGTTTTCTTATGTCTTTTAACTGGTGGTTAAAATTAATTATTTGGAATATTTTTTTTAAAATAAAATAAAGTTCAATGTACTATTTCACTGAGTGGACAGTTTAGTAGACAATGTTAAGCACTTCACTGAGTGATATGTTGATTTTTTGATTGTCCAATTTGTTTTGTCTTTAAACACTGCTTTATTAATACCATACTGAAACTCAAAGTAGCACGTTTGTACCATCAATGTTTTTAACCTATTTTTAAACAATAGGGTCATATTTACGATAATAAATTTATGCATTAATTGGTACGTCACATTTTGTCTGGTCTTTAAACTTAATGTTATAATTTTGCTTAAATTTTTCCCTCTAAGTGTTAAATTTATTTTCATTTTGCAATACTTTACAATGATGCTACTAACTGAGGAGGTTAATAATTCTAAGCTTTTGCATTTCCCCATATTACTTAAGCCATAAAAGTCTTAAGAACTACCGGGATTCAAGAAAAGCTGGGCTTGTTCAAAATCATTTTAACAGACAATTTAATTGACTTTTTAACAATTATGTTTTACCGTTCTCTTTAAATATTAATATTTTATTATTTATATCCAACCTGAACAATAAAATAACCAAATGTGGTTTATACGTTATGATTATTTATAAAGGGGGAGGGATAAGGCTTTTTTAAACTTGACGCTGGGAGCACTTACTTTACAAAGTTTTCTTTACCATTTAGGCTGAGGATGGCAATATATTACTGAAAAATACTGGTGTCTGTGTAAGTATTAATGATGTGTCAGTGTCTGTCTTCCTTTCTTTTACTCAAGCCTTGTCAGCTTTAGTGATTTTGAATGATTAGTTTGCCACTTTTCCCCACATAGGGCACTTCTGGTAATTAATGCTATAGCAAATTGGTGAGATAATTCCAAACAATGTTGACACGACAAATGCAAAGGGAAAATTGTACCTTCAGTTCTTTTCGATCGTAGTTTGCTATCACATTAATAATACCATTTGGTAGTGCATCATCAATTCGTTCATTTCAGCTTTTTATGCTTAAATTTTTGTTTTGATTTATTTATTTGCTTGGTTTAAAATTATTTGCAAAGAAAAAATATGCCTGCACAAATCTTTTTATATTAATTTTGTCAATTATTATTATTTTCTTAATGGGATTTACTATTTCTTTCATGCATTGCCTTGCATTACATTTTACAAGATTTGCACATAGAACTTTCAATGTTTAGTTTTAAATAAAAACGAATTCAGCTATAGATTGGTTATTATTGATTAATTGATTTACTTAAGCTCAACTGCACATACGAACACATTTGCACAGAATTGAGCTTTTCACTAGACTGACTTCATTTACATTGGGTTTTGGCAGTCCAGCGTCTGACACTCAGTCTTATCCGTTCCGCCATCGAATTCCAGCGGCTGTCTACAATTTCAGCTTCCAATGCAGTTTTTAAATCTAGAAACCACTCTCACTCTTAAATAAATTAATTTAACTAGGGTGTTAGAGTACTTGATATTCCTCCCTTACCCCTTTATCTAATTGGTGACCAAAGGGGTGAGGTACTCATTACTTCCACCATTGTTCTTCTCACACTACACACTCACATTCCAACTCAAAATGAGACAGATATCAAGCACCATATACAACAAATTAGTGCTAATTCTCTAAAAAATTGGGACGGGGGCACGACATTTGCTACTGTTTTTAAGCACAATGTTAATATTGGTGACATTGCTACTCGCTCTCTATATGGAGCCAAGGAATAACATCCTTCAATTTTGTGGAACACATGTACATGCCGGACACATACTCGGGCTTTGGCCCAAAAGTTTCAGTGTTGAACGGCTGGGTGAGTTGTCTTCTTAAATTTAGGTCCTCTGGGGGCAAATCAGCCGTTGATAGGTAAAACTCATAGGTAAGATTGATAGGTAAGCATCTCAAAAGCTTTCTGACTCCTGCTCACCGATGCTCTACTTATTTTTAACCCTGTTATTTCGGTGGTCAGTCTTGAGCTTAGGTGCCTTGTTCATCTTTCTGTTACCTTCCAGACCTTTGTGACCCAGACAACCACTACTGTTTTGCCAAGATGCTCCAGTTCTGAGGCAAGAGCAGGATGAGAGGGTCCGCAGAGGACATAGGTTGATTATTAGGTATGATGTGAGAAGCTGATAAACAATTCAGTCATCTCCGGCTCTCCGAGCTTAATTACTTTATTTCTTTCTTCTCACGAATAATTTTCAAATTGCAGTCATTTGAGCATTTCAATTTTGTGGTTTATTATTATTATATTAAAATTATCAAGCCTAGGGACTTGTTTCTATTATTTTAATAGAGATTTTGGAATATTTAAACAAAAGAAATTTGGTTGGTGTTGCACATTTAATTAGGAATTAGCTTGTAAACGAAAGATATCTATGTTGTTATGTGGAATGTTTAAAGAGTTCTTTATTATGATTTTTTTATATATAAAAAAATGTATATTATAAGGATGTAAAAGTTCTTGCAATTTAGTCACAAACACAACATATTTTGGTTTTATGTTTGAAACCAAATTTGTCTTCCTTCAGATTAAAGTCGGAAAAGAAAGGAGAAAAATGGACAAGCAAGTTGCTGATTCCCAAGAAAGGGCGTATTGGAGAGTTCATAGGCCTCCACCTGGATGCCAGCCCCCTTTAGAGCCCTCCCCGATCACGAACCTGCGTAGATCTACCAGCCCTTCTCCCCAAAACACGGAGGTATCTGTCAGACGACCTTTACCCGGACGGCCTTTTGTAATCTGACCTTAAACATTAAATTTTTAACAGCTCGAAATACTTCGGAGACAAGTCGCCAGATCGAGAATAAAAGTTTCACAAGCGGTTGAAAGCCTCATCACCTACTCGAGTACTTACGCAGAGTATGACCCATTCTTCACGCCACCACAGCCTTCAAATCCATGGTTATCTGATGATCCAGCTTTTTGGCAATTCAATCTACCTTTGTATGAATAATTTTATTTTTATTTTATGGCAGTATTAATGTTAATTCATTCTTTTTATCTAGAATTGAAGTACCAACTGAAAAAAGGGTAAAACGCTGGGCTTTGTCATTTGAAGATCTATTAGCTGACCCAACAGGTAATTATGTTCAATCTAGCATTAATTACAACACATTTTCAGTTTTGTTATTATATTTGAATATATATTTAAAATTTTAGGTGTGGAGGAATTTACCTCGTATTTAAGGAAGGAATACAGCCATGAAAATATAAGATTCTGGCTTGCAGTAAAAGAATTGCGCCATTGTGGTCAGTCACAAGTGCCATCTAAGGTTAACAGCATACACCAGTAAGTTTTTACTTCATTACATGTAAACAAATATGGAAAACATTAACTTAAAAAAAAAATTTTAAGGGAATTTTTGGCACATGGAGCACCTTGCGAGATAAACATAGATTCAAGAACACAAGAAGCTACGTTAAATGAAATGAAAACGCCTTCAAGATTCACTTTTGACGCTGCTGCACATCATGTTTACACTGTCCTTCTGAACAAAGATTGTTATCCACGTTTCATTCGTTCCGATCAGTACAAAAACCTGCTGGCAAACGCTAAACATCCACCTACCAAGAAAAGGTAACATTTCTTAAATACTGGACTTTTTAAAATAAAAACGGCACAATTGGGACTAGGAGGATGGCAGAAAGTCTAAACGAAATGTTAAATTTAAAGATTATTTGGAGATCGTGAGACATGGTCTGGTGTGATGTAGTTTCTTTTGTAGGTGTGTCGAGTTGAGAGTGTCAGTGAGATATTCAGTATATATTGACTATCTCAATACAATAATGACACATCTACACAGAAAACAAACACCTTGAACCCCGACATGATATCAATAAAGATCAAAACATTGGCACGATAAAGAAAATGTTTTTCTAAACCTACATCACACCAGACCGCATTTCACGATCTCCAAATAATCATTAACTAACAGTCACTAAACACCACATACGTTAAATTTAAGTCCAGTATTTTTTATTTTTTCTTACAAAGGTTACATTACAACAAACTTATGAATGTTTTTCTTAATATATTATTCTTCACTCTAATAGAAGGAAAAAAAGAAAAACCCTTGTTTTTATCATTTTATTAATTATAACATATTTATTATAATGTAAACAAAATTAAATGAGATTAGAAATTCATGAGTTTTACTAAAAATTATTTAATTATGATGGTTTAAAAGAAAATGCACCAACACAACAACAACAACAAAAAAAAAGAAATAATAATAATGATAGATTAAAATTAAATTCTTCTCAATTCAATTTTTAGTGGACTGCGGTAGCCTAATGGTTAGCATGATAGACTCTTGGCTTGTAGACCCTGCAGTTGTGGGTTCAGTTCTCACCTTCTCCCCTGTCCCTTTTTTCATACCTTCTTCAACAAGAGTGGCTCGAAGCTTTTCAGTGCTTGTTCTCTTCTACATTGGATCATATTTTAATTTAATATATTGTACTTTTTTAACGATTGCTGTAAAGAATTGGTGTGCTGTAATTTTTCAATATTCTCTCTTTAGAACAATTGAAATTTATAAAATGACAAGTTGCTAAGTGCTGAGTTTTTCTTTATTTTATAGATTTTTTGGATTTGGAGGAGTTGGCAAAAAGAAGAGCTGTGCTGGACCGGTCGCAGCTTCAAGTGTCAATAAGAGAAGAGGAAGTGATCGGAGTCTTACTGGCATTGTTCACGACGCTCCAGCATTCGCTCCTCAGACCCATGTTCCTTTATCTACTAGTCAATCTAACCTTCACGATATCACCATAACAAGGTAGACAAAAATTATCTATAATAAAACTCCAATATATTATATTTTTATTCTATTGTACAGGGATAGCGGGGTTTCCCCTGAAAGGATTAATCTCTTGCAGAAGGACCTGAAACAGAAGTCGGTGGAGAGGAAGCAGTCATCTGAAGACGAGAAATATGTTAGTGAATGTATGGCCAAGTCAGAGCCCGGACCTTCTCTTATTCACCTAGAAAAGTGTTCATCTGAAGTAAGAGACGAAGGAAAAACTCAAGATGAAAAAGAAAAGGATCTCAACGCAGAACGAAAACACTCCTTAGAAAACGTAGTTTCTAAGATAAGTGATTGTGGCATACAGGATGATGATTTTCCCACGGAGAACATAGTAACTATAATCACAGATGAAATTGTGGAACCTGAGGAGACTGGAAATGAAAAGGACGCCAAGGGCTTGTTGACGACTCCCACTGCTTCCGTTATTCTGCCTCACGCTCCTCAGTCGACTCTTACTGAGAACATCGCTTCTTCCAGCGAGAGCGAAGCACAAGAACAATCAAGTACTATTCTGGATGAGGATCTAGAAGCACAACCTTTGGAACAAGAACTTGAAAGCAAAACAGTTCCTGTCGGCACGCCCAAATCTCGGAGAACTGCTAAAAAGACTAGAATCATGTCCGAAGAGGGAACACGAACGACACAAGTTCAAAAATTGTTGCTGTCTGATGAGAATAAACAAATTTCCATTGATTTATCCCAGCATTCGGTTAGAGATGAATGTTCTGAACCTTGCGAACCTTCCATTCAAGTTCCTGCAGATGAAGTTGTACCTGATGATGTACATTCTAGTGATATGCAAAATCGTGCTGATATCTGCCCATGGGAAGATGAGTGAGTAAAGTTTTACTGTTACTTACCAATTTTCAGCTTTGTTACAAAACAAAGGATTGTTGAAATTATCCTTTGAATATACTTCGTGTACATGGCTTATTTTTTTAACTGCCAAAAATGTAACTTTCGCTTTATGTTTTAGCTTAAAAACATAGTTGTCCTATAATTAATTAGAAATCTACTGTATACATCTTGGCGTTAAGGTCTATCATTTTTTTATATTTTTTTTTATTGCAAATATCAGTTGATCCTTTCACTATGTTGAGCTTTTCTGTTGTATGATTTATTTTATTGAACATCATCGAATTATAAATTAAGAATTTTGTACAGTTAAAAAATCTTTTTAGCCATGTTTACCAAGTATTTTTTTCATGTAATGTGCAATGCTGTGAGCACACCAAATGTGATATTACATTGGGATAAATTAATGGCATAAGGCAAAGGCTTTCAAAGAGCTGAATTATTTCACTCAAAGCTGAAAAATTGCGAACAATTGGGAGAAATGTTATCAACAGAATCGCTCATATTGTTAATTTATTTTCAGAGAAAACTGCAAGACTGAAGGGCCATTCGTAAAAAAATATGCTACTCTTGGTTATCTGTAAGCCTCATTTATAGTATGGTTTATTTTGGATTAACATAAGGGTTGGATGAAGATTGGCGGACAATACTGAGCCCCTGCTTCGCCTCTCATCCTCTCTCTTGTTAATACGAGTCATTCTTTTATTTGTCATTTGAAAGGTAACGTTCAGTTTTGTTATTTACATTTTTGTTTTATTTCTTTTTTTTTTTTTTTGATCAGATTCTCACATACAACTAAAAAACGCCAATTGATATACACCAAAGGTTTCATAATCCAGCGAAAAATTCTAGTCTTTTAGATAATGTATCTAAGAATAGTACATATTTACAAAGTTACAATTGACATACATTATACAAAATTTAGAGATTTTAGATCGGTGTCATAGAAAAAAAATTAAATAAAATAAAAAAATTTAATTGTGCAATTTGGTAGGGAATAGATTTATGCCATAGGTTGGATGGTGTGTTTATTAAAAATATTATCCAAAAAAAAAATTATTTTAGTAATACTAATAAATTGATAAATGGATAAATATTATGTGGATAGAGCATGTCATTGGTGTAACAATAAATGTTATTAAAGTATTATTTAAGTTGCTTCAATAGAGTATGTGAGAATACATCTTTAATATAAAGAAATAGCATTGTGTCACTATGTATTAATATACATATATAGATAATATATTCAACAAATTAACTAGCTCTAGATTCTAGATACATGAAATCGAAAAAAAATAAAATAAAATAAAAACATTTAAAAAAAAGACCACCAAATGTACATAAACATTTTGAAATATTGCCAATTAAATATTTCAGTGGTTTGCAGATACGTAATATCAAAAATTATGTTAATTTAATATGACGGACGAAAGAAGAAATGCTAAAAATGGAGAAAAAAATAAGAAATAGATATTTGATTTGCCATTGAAGTTTAAAAATAAGATATATATAAATTATATATATATGGTCTGTGATTAAATTTCTTTTTATAGCTATATAATACTAATTAAAATTTAAAAAAAGAAAGTGGTCTCTAATATTCAATTTATTTGATTTCCTACTACTGTGATTATGATATATTTATTTATAAATATTAAGCTTAAAATTGTTAAAAAAAATATTTATAATTGTCATAGGTATTATATATACATATAGAGATGTTAAAAATTTTATATGTGTATATAATAAAAATCGCTTTGCTGATTATTAATATTAGATTTATAAAGCTTTGACAATATGTTCTGTATTATTGTTGTAAAATATTATTCCACGCAGAATTATCGGCGTGGATTTGTTTTATGTATATATTTGTAGACATTTATGTATTATTATAATAAGTTTAAATTGAATATCAAATATTTAACGAACTTCTTAGCGGCCTATATTATGTATAATAAATGTCTTTATTAGATGATTTATTGTTTCAATAAAATTCCTAAATGTGGATTGGCGAGTGTATTATTGCATCCAAAACCTTAAAGATCACATTTTAAGGAAATTAAAAATTCATTGTTTCAAGCAGTCATAAAAAAATAGTTTCCAAAAATGCAATAAAAACATGATTAAAATAAAGTGGCAGCGATGCTTGGCAAAATCGGCGGAGCTCTTGTGTATGAAGAGCAATGTTGATCCCCCCGATGTTGGTGGCACTCGGAGCAACTAACTAGTAGAAGAATGGTCATCCTCACTTGATTAACAATAGGCCATGAGAGGAAGACCTGTAGTTATGGGCCCCCACGTGTCTCACCTAATGGAAAGGTGCAATTCTTGGCTCCATATTGAGTGCATGTAGGAAGGCCACCCTATGTTATGAGAATTGATAGGATATGAGAATTGTACTTGAGCAGATCTTGGTCCCTATTTCATAGTGAATGTATAGTGTGTGACGGCCAATGGTGGAATATTCAGTTCCCCAGAGACCCTCAATTTGGTTAGTTATATAATTAAGCGTAAAGGGTGATGGAGGAATATGAAATACTCCATAGCCCTAAGTGAATGGTATGTAAATAAATAAGGACGAATTTAAGAGGGTATGGTATGGTGGAAAAGGATACTAGGAAGCGGGATTTGTATTCCCAGGCCTTCTACCTTATTGTACCTTCCTAGTTCCTTAGTTCAGTCAATAGACTTAATCCTTCTTAGAAGTCATTGACTGTTGCTGCTGCAATTTGATTCCCTAAGTCTTTTCCGTACGTTAAGTTAAACCTCTATTGAGCTATTGCTTCGCATTCGAAGATGAATTGAGTGGCTGTTTCCTCCTCCTCATTACATAATCTGCAAATGGGATCATCGCTGTATATACCCATGTTGTGTAGATGTTTTCTCAGATGCCAGTGACCGGTTAGTAGTCCTATCACTCCTCTGAGTTTGGCCCTCTCCAATTGCAGCAGTGATTTTGCCAGTCTTGGTGAGGGTTGTTTCATCATAAGTTTACTATGTCTAGCACCGCTAGAGTTTATCCACTTCTACTTTTGTTTTCTTTGGATCCATTCTGCGATGGAGGATTCTATATTTGTTTTTGTTATCCCAAGAATAGGTTCGGGGCCTATGTATGGTCTTGTAGATCCTCCTCTGGCCAGACTATCTGCTTTCTCATTACCCAAAATTCCCCTGTGCCCTGGCACCCAAGATATCATAAGGTTGTTGTGTTTCCCCAGGTTTTGGAGATTTTGAATGCATTCACTGACTAATTTTGATGTGATTCTTTTACAAGCTAATGCTTTAATAGCTGTTGCTATCTAATCTTATGAGGATTTTTTTGTAGTGTAACCTCTTTTAAGATTTTCCAGGGCACAAGCATTGATGGCATGTATTTCTGCTTGAAAGACCGACGTGTACTTCCCTAATGAGTTTGATTGCCCATGTTTTCGGCTTGTACAGAAAACGCCTGATCCGGTTCCTTCGTTTGTTTTGGAGCCATCTGTGTATCATATTATTGTATCTGATGCTCTCCTGTGTTCTTACTCTCCTTTACAGTCTGTTGAGACTTTATTGGAGGTTATGAAGATTGTTTCTGGGATCATGTAATCAGTCCCTATTTCTAATAATGGGTGTCTGATTTTGTTGATTATGGTTGTATGCCCGAATTGTTTAGTTCCTTTCCAATTTAATTGTTTCTGGAGCCTAAGTGAGCTTTTCCTAGCCTCTCCTTGTATGAATATTTCTAGTGGATGTAGGTTTAACAAAGTTTCTAATGCGTTTGTAGGGGTTGTTCTCATCGTCCCTGTGATACATAGGTTTGTTAGTCTTTGTATGCTGCCTAATGTTTCAGTAGTTACTTTTTGTTGAGCTTTGTTCCACCAGATTAGTCATCCATAGGTTATTCTGGGTCTTATTACTGCCATATAGCCGATGGGCCATTTTCGGTTTTAGTCCCCAAGATTTGCCTAAGGTCCTTCTTGTGGTCAATTTAAGAGGGAGAGAGTGGGAATTTATAAAGGAAGGTTGGGGGGTGAAATGATCTAGATATTAGTCCCTGGAACCCAACCTCTGTTGCTCAACCGAGATCTGTCCCCAGACTTCCAACCCCCTGGGTGGGTGATTCTCAAGGCCTGCTGGTAATTTATTGTAAATTAGAAATGCTGGAACTGCCGGTGTATTGCGTGAAGTGATAGGCTCAACTCTGTACAAGTGTATATGTACACATGTGCAGATTTGAGCTTGTATAAATCAGTAATTGGTAAGGTTGAAATTTTGGGAAAAAGGAACAAAAAAAATTACAAAGAAGGATTAGCAATTATTAATAAGCGAGTGATATTTTTACAAAATATAAGCTAGTAGTATGAACCCTCCAACACCCGTAGTCGCAAGTAGGGTGACACATTTAAAACTCGTGCTAAAAATATAAACTAAAAATGTATCAACTTGCACTTACTGTTTATTGTGTTTAACACAGTTCCTTCTATCAGAAAAACCCAGGCTTTCTATTATAATCTGAACTGATTATGTTTATTTCAATTTTATCATTCAGCCTGATTCTCAGTATTCCCTTTTCTCTTTTTGACCCAAAAATGGATATAAAAAAGTCTTATTGTTTTTTCTTCTCTTTTTACTTGTTCTATTAGAAAGCATTAACAAAGAAAATTATCTTATGATTTTTCCTTCTTGAAGGTGGGATAATAGGTATTATCCCACCTTAAGGGAAATAATATTATGAATAATAATCTATTATCCCACCTTCAAGAAGGAAAAATCATAAGTTAAACTGTTGAGGTCGAAATATAAGAAAAGAAAATTATCAAAAAATATTGGGTTGTCCGGAAAATAATGCAGGATTTTAAGTTTTCATTAAAAAAAATCTATATAAAATATTCTGTTTACGTTTACAGGATTACTCATTTGTATGAATGTCAACACTTATTAATCCTCTTCCAAATGATATTGTTTGTTTACCTCTGTAGCATTCCGCTACTTGGAAATAATTCAGTCATCCTTATAATGTCAAAGCGAGAATTTCGTACGATTTTCTTTTACGAGTTTAAACTCGGCCGAAGCGGAGCCCAAACGGCTAGAAACATTAACCAAGTCTGGGGCGAGGGTTGTGTTAATGAGTGCACTGTGCAAAGGTGGTTTAAAAAATTTCGGGAGGGAGATTTCAGCCTTGAAGATGAAGAAGGTCGTGGAAGGCCTTCCTCTCTTAATGATGATGTTCTGCGATCAGTGGTGGAAGAAAACCCCAAAACAACTGTTCGAGAACTTGCAGAGCAACTCAAAGTCAGTAAAACGACCGTCGCTGACCACCTCAAGGCGATTGGAAAAGTGAAAAAACTCGAAAATTGGGTTCCACACTCATTAAACGATCGCCAAAAAAATCAGCGCTTTGATGTTTGTGCATCACTTCTTTGTCGAAACAAAAATGACCCATTTCTGGCCAGAATTGTTACATGTGACGAAAAGTGGATTCTCTACGATAACACTAGACGTTCTGGACAGTGGCTCGACAAAGGAGAAGCTCCAATACATTTTCCAAAGCCCCCAACTCATCAAAAAAAGGTAATGGTTACGGTATGGTGGGCTTCATTTGGTTTAATACACTACAGCTTCTTAAATCCTGGCGAAACCATCAATGCTGAATCATACTGTAACCAAATTAATACCATGCATCAGAAATTGGCAGTAATGAAGCCCTCTTTGGTCAATCGGAAAGGGCCCATTTTGTTGCATGACAACGCTCGACCACATGTGTCACGTGTAACGTCACAAAAATTATTGGAGCTTGGCTATGAAACTTTGCCTCACCCACCCTACTCTCCGGACCTCTCGCCTACTGACTACCATTTTTTTAGACACCTGGACCACTACTTACAACACATAATATTCAAAAATCAAACGGAACTGGAAAATGCATTTATTGACTTTATCAATTCTAAAAATTCTGAATTCTACTCAGACGGAATTAATAAGTTACCAACACGTTGGGAGAAATGTATTGAGAGTATGGGAAATTATTTTGATTAAAGAACATTGCTTTAAAGTAACTAGTTTCTTTTTTTTTGTTTAATACCAAAATCCTGCATTATTTTCCGGACAACCCAATAAGTCAAAATAATTGACATGTGCTCATAAGTTGTGACTGAAATCGCGGTCACCTCCAGGTGACACTGGGCATTTTTTAAAAATTATTTTTACAACAGTACTTATTTTTATAAACTAGAAGTAAAATTGTTGATAGGTACTTTATACCAAATAAAACAAAATCTGGCACAGAGTGAGAAAAATCACCCAGTGGTGGCCCATCTATTAGCGTCTAGGTCTCGCTGCCCAGTAGGTTATGAGACCTTTGCTTTAATCTCCTGGGAGAGTTATTGGGGATAGTACAAGATGTCAAGCTTAAAACTAAGGGATTTATGGAATTTTATGTATCAGGATTTTATTACATCTTTCACAAAAGGTACTGTTAAGGTCAGTGTGGCTTATATGATGTAAAAGGTTGTGTTTACTATTTTTTCAGAGGGTTTTGTATTAGGAAGTCTGGATATGATTGTAGTTGGAATATGGTTGAAGTTCTTTATCCATACGGGATGAATTATTGTCTTGTATATCAGGAGTTTGTTGTGAAGTGTCAGTTTGTCTAGTTGAAAGAGTTTTGTAACGTATAGTCAGTCCTTATGACATGTTAGTTTTTTGTCAATATATAGACCAAGGTAGTAGATATGGTTAGGTATATACCATAGGTAGGGATATATGATGTAGGTAGTAGGTACAGTGGTGGCATTATGGCCAGAGGGTAAAAATTATGTGTTGTCTTATATACTTACACTGGGAATTAGAGTAGTAATAATGCAGTTCGTAAATAACCATGTTTATCTTACGTAAAAGACTTATTTCATAGTAGTAATGCCTACTGTTTTGGTATTTTTTTTACAAGACTTAATCTCCTAAAATTGAAGGCTCAGAAAATTTCTGATTTACTGGTAATATTGAACAAAAAGCACTTTAGCATTGTCCAGTACAAGATACAAATATTGTCATGTGGGGGGTTTCTGCGCATACAACAGGATGGGGAGAAGGGTAGTTTACCGAGGAAAGACAACGACTCTTTTTTTAACTCCCCAAAAATAAAAAAAACAAAAGTTCGTTCAAATGAAGTATAACCCCCAGACTGTCAAAAGCACATGAGTAGACGATTCTGAAGATCTTTTACTGAGATAAGTTTAATTATAATAATAATTAATAACAATCATTGATCATGCATCCCAACCTATTCACATTTTATAAACAAAAACAGACAAATTAACCACTGAAGATGGCAAAATTATGAAACAGAGCAACAGTCAACCTAATACCACAACGGATAATAATTTTGAATATTTCAGCATCATAAGGATTTGTGACAAATATTAACAATGTATATAGAATTTATTATAAAAATTAGACAACCATTTTAAAAGTTAAAACAAAGTACAACTTAAAATTAACAAAGATTACTTATTTATAAGTAGCACATTTTGTCTGTTTATAAGTTAGATGCCCCAAAAAAGCCAGATGAAGTTTAGTATTAAAACTCTAAACTGAAAATTTTAAAAAGGATATAAATTAAATAAATTAAAAAAAAAATGTTACATCAAAAAGTCATCATTTACCATTGGATGAACAAATTTTAAGTTGATGAACTGCAGAACTGTTATGAATTTCCAGTTCGCTTTAAGCAAAGTGAGAAATTGTTTTTTTGTATTTTGCACAGCTTCGTCGTGACTTTTACCCTAAAAATTAATTGTATTTCTCAAATAAGAAGCATTTAAAAAATAATTCAGTTTTTCTCACCTGAAATATAGCGAGCATGTAAAGCGAAAGAATGTGGTAAAACGGAGCATAAATTAGCCTTTCTATCAGAAGCTTCATCATGACCCCATACTTAGACCTTTGTGCCACTAGGTCATCCAGCAATTTAAAGAAATAATGAGGCACAGTCCCCCCAAAAATTAGGCTGAGAGAAAACAAAACTGATGTATATGTATAAATTGTAATTGTTTACTACCATGTTTACCAGGACATGCATGCATTTTATAACAGCTGACTATTTGTTTCTTGAAAAATTAAACTCCTGTTTAAAGTGGTTATTTGTATCGACTACTTTTTTATTCACGAATAATCTGGGTCTCTGCATGGTTTGAATGAAAAAGAAATTCAATTGTTATCCACCAAGCTTTCGACCTATTTTGTGGTCATTACCAGGGCAAAACAATCCTAAAGATATCTACAGATTGATACAATTAAGTTTTTGATAGATGGTTTCAAATTTATTGGATGATCAGCTCAGCCCTTACATTGCTAACATCTATCATTTGAAATATCTGTCCGAGCTAATTGCTTTTTTCTCTGGACCTCTAATCACTTTCACATGTAGATAAGGAATAGAGCCACTCTTTTAAACTTCATAATTGAATTGTACATCTCATGATAAACTATTAAAAAAAATTGAGAAGATTGTATAAATTAGCATTAAAAAAAACTGAAACAAGTCAAGTTTGCTTGCAAATGAGCTTTATATTGACCTAAGTCACTATCGCTCTATTGCTTTTTGCTAAACAATAATAGAATTTTCAGTGTATGTGCTTGGCTACTTTTGTGTAGGGGAAGGTAGAGTTCTAGAAATTCAAATCAGAGATATTATTCTTAAACATATTGTAACACTATTCCGTCTTAAGACAAATACAAACAAAAGTGTCAAACAAGCTAGACAAGTTAGCCACAACTTCAACTCTGGGATGAGCTTATCAACAAAAGGACATCCAAAATGAACCTCGTCAATACCAGCTTCCTCGACAGTTGACTTAATCGACCGATCACAATTGCTGGTCCTTGCTGGCTGAGTCCCAGGCAGATTGTGGCTGCTTACTGGACAGTCCTGACTTGATTGCCTTGACTGGACTAGATTGGAATCAACTCCCCGAGTTGACTGAACTATCCTTTGCTTTCTAAATCATCCCATTTTAGAAAAGTTTCTCAACCAGAGTAGGGGGGAAAGGAAAATCAAAAGTACGTTGGGCCAGGTGGAATCGGGGGACCTACTGCAGGGGCTCCAGTGAAGAAGGGTATTGCCCATCTGGTTGACGTGACCCAAAATTTGTGGTGTATCACATCGCCGGATGAATTTCAACCTTTTCACACTAAGTAAAAATTCGACATTCATTATTTAGTGGATAGAATATTCAACTAATGCGGTTCTCTGGTCTCCAGGTTTGTGGGAAATATCACTTTGCTTCCCTCTGGGTCCTGGTCCTGGACCTATCATATTTACAGTCTTCTTTCCAATGGTTGATTGACTTTTCTTAAAAATTGTTTTTTCAACTTATTTTAATAACTGTTTCTACTTATTATAATACAGGGACTGGCTCACACATTCATTAGCATATCTGCAAAAATGGGGGACAAAATGTGTCCCATTGCTATACCATCAACCTGCATACATATTTTGTTATATTTAAAATAGTCATTTATTCATGAGAAAATCTCTAAATCAATAAACAGATCAAGCAGCATATTAACTTAATTTGTCATAAATTCACACACATTTTGCCAACGTTGGTAATCCTTGGACTAAGTCGGTTTGCAAAGAAATTTAAAAAATAACTTTATTATTTCAATGTTTTCTTCATCTTAAGATTGTTTTGCCCTGATGATGACCTTAAAATAGGTGGAAAGCTTGGGAGATAAATGATTTTTTTTTCATCCAGGCCGAGATCCAGAATATTCATGAAATAAAATTCCGCATGTAACATTAGAAAGCGTCGAATGTGATTTGACTCACCCGAACAAAGCGTGTGCTCTTAAGTTGTTAAAATCGAAATTTTTTGAGCAGAAAGCACCTGCGATACACTGTGAAACAACGTTGCCCAGCGAGGCAATGACACAGCTAAAAAAACAAAAAGCAATCGAGTGAATGTATAAAAAAAAAAAAAATCATGAAATAAATCAAACTGTATTACCTGGATATTGATTTCGTTCGTATAGGATCGGAATACAACACAATTAAATATTTCATTGACAACTCTACAGGCAACTTTGAAAGACTCATGTTGATTAAAAATATCACCAAATTCTTGGACCGACAGGTGGTTTTATAAACTATTAAAATTCTCTTTTACTGGAAAAATCTCTGGTTTTGAATACTTATATCGGTGATAGATTGAAGCATAGTATAGAAAACTTGTTTTAAATAAACTGTCAAAACATTCACTTCAATTGTGACATAAAATAACAAAATATATTATTAAGTTTATTTCTATATTTTTTAACACTTTCATCAAATACCTTGAATAAAATGGTTAATAAGCACACAATAAAAAGAAAAATTGTAACAAGTCTATTTAAAAATAAAAATATAAACGTAATGTCATGTTAATGTAATGAACGTTAATGTATTCTGTGATAACAAAACTGACTGGAGAAGTTCCATGACTGTTATATGGTCAAATATGACAGCTTCTGCTGCAGATCTGATTAAGTTGTGATTTTTGGCTTTTCTTTTTTTTCTGTTTTTTACAAACATTCCTGTCGCCATGAATGAAGGAAAAGCAAGACAACTGAAATGGGAATGGTAAGTAGAAAATTAATTTTAAAAAATATACTTTTTTAGATGTAAGTAAATTGGCATCAACGATGGGTTGTGACAATTCTAAAATTCAAAATCAAAATGATATTCTTTGTGTATAATATTCAAAACTTACCTACTTGAACACTTAAAAGATCTTTAATATGATTATTTGTGAAATTTTGGTATATAAAATGACTGTAGATTGTTCCAAACTGGCAGTGGTTCAACATTATGGGATGCAATACAAGTGCATAGGCAAAGAAATTTTTCACCACTATTTTTTTAGACTTTGGTTCAATCACATCCAGCTGCTCTTTCATCTAGCAAAAATTAGCTTTGGTGTTTTGACCCGTCTTATGAGTGTGATAGAACGATGTTGAACCAGACCATGTCATTCCGGCATGCCCTAAAAACATATTAGACCCCAGTTAGCAAAACCTGGTTCTTGGGAGTGAAACTTGATTATGCCATGCATTTTGATTAACACATCACTGCTCTCGCAATGAAATTCACTGCTGCCTGCTTTGGTTATTACAAATCATCAGTTTATGTCGCATGCTTGTTATGGAATTGGCTTCTGGGGTAGCGATTCTGATCTCTTAAAACAAATTTTTCTACTCCAGAAAATAGCAATCTGCATCATTTTGGGTTTAAAACCTCAAGAGACCTGCGTGCGATTTAAAGAGCTAACGATACCAGGAATAAATGTCTTACAATGTATTGACACTGTACTCTGGTATCAGCCACTGTTGATCAATTGCTTCCTTCTCGTGGCTTCAACACAAGATACAAGGGACATATATCTATTAAGATTAGATAAATAAGATTTACACCCTATACAAAAAGTGTAATGACACTCACCCAACCTATTGCTTTTCGACCTAAATAACTTCGGAATAACATTCTCCACAAATATTCAAAGCATACTGTTAGACAGAAGGTATTAATAAGGAGTAGGCTTACCTTACAAATTTATTAAAAATACCATCACACTTGTCTCAGAGAGAAACTTTTACCTCCAAATAAATAACACCACTCTTGGATCTAGGAAAACTGTTTCGTTTGCCTCAAGGTGGAATTCTAAGCCCTTTGTTATACTTGTTATATGTCACAGATATATAAGTATAAAACAGACAGACATACAAGTCAGGACGGAAATTATACAACTAGCAGATATGTCTTTATTCTATTCAAAAGTCCTCAGAGGCACCAATAGAGGCCATGGATTTAGCGGTGTCAAACCTACTAGACTGGACATTCACCAAATGGATTGGTCATTTCGACAGAAAAATAAAAAATATACTATTCAAGATCAAGAAAATCTACTCTCCCTAATATTATGATCTTGGCTCAAAAATCAATTCCACTGGTTTGTGAGGTAAAGTTTCTTGGACTAATATTGGACCATAAGCTATTATGGAAAGGTCATATTGCTTCAACTGAGACTAAAGCAGAGATATTTCATAGTGTGCTAAAATGTATATCATATGCATCGAACCCTAATACTAGCTTACAGTACTATAAAGCTAATGAGTAATGACAAAGCAGACACACTGACTAAATATGCACAGTTTTGCAACACTAGAAACATAAAGATTCCTTATACATATCGTTTCCAACTTTTAGAAACCAAAAATCAAAAAGAATGGCAAACTTTATATACATCTTTAGACAAGGGAATGGCTTATAAGACACTTTTCCTCTCTTGAAAATAAAATCATGGTTTAGCAACCTGAACATGACAAAAGAAGAGTTTACCACCATACATCGATTTAGAACTAACTGTGAAGCTAGTTACAACTAATCATGCTGCATACCTTCATAAGATTGGCAGAAAGCGACACCCTAATATGAGACATGTGGAGTAATGGAGGACCAACACATAATGCTTCACTGTCGCAAATATACATCAGCCAGAAAATACTTACGAGGGCTTGCTAAAAGAAGCTGGTGGAATGGAAAGCTCTGCTGTCTCCCAGGAACCAGTATCTATAAGATAGTTAATAACTTTTTGTGTGATATATCAGTGAAGATATAGTTTGTGATGTTAAAAATATAAGAAGGATTTGACTTGGACATCCCGGGATGGCCTGGGGGTTTAAGTGGTGTTGGATCCTGGAGTTGGGTGCTTCCAGCAGCTTGGGCGTGTCTGCCCTGGATCCCATGTGGATATGGTCTTTTCTGTAGTATTGTAAACATTTCTATTCATATCCCCGGAAATGGGATCTGTTACTGCTATCCCAGAAATTGAACATTTGAAACACTATATTTCTTTCTTTGCAATCCCTCCACACAACAGGCACCTGCATTGTCTCTTTCCCATCTCATGTACATGTGTGATTTTGGTATGGCCTATGCACAACCTGGTATGACTTTTTCCCTTCTAGACCTAGCCTTCACAAACCAGGGACTATAATATCTTTTTAATTTTGTATAATTTTAATTTCTTTTGGTCCAATGAATCTCCATGATGCAATCATAATTTGTAAATTGCTAGTGCACGTTGTCGTTAATTTTGAAATAATGCATCAAAAATGTGTTTACTTCATTTCACTTTGTCTGTGTTTACAGGGTTTGTCAAGTTCCCAAAAGGACACTCGTTAAACATCACATGATCCCTCAGGAAACGGTGGACCATCCTCTTAAATTTCAGTCTTCTGTGGGAATCTATTTCCATTAATTCAGCAATTAATTTACTATTTATTTTAATTACCTGGTAAATTATTATTTTTTTTTTAGGCAATTGTTAATCGAGGTCTTAAAAAAACCTCTGACTCTTCTTCAAAGGATCTTAAACCAGTTCTCAATGATCCCTTACTTAATGCAGTAGACGATGTAGACCCTTTAACAGCCTTGGCAGCAGAACAGGTCTGTAGTAATAATAATGCTATAAATATTTATTTGAGTACTGCTATTTGACAAAATTTAACATTGAATAAAAGTTATAATGAAATGCCTACCATAATTTTTCTTGTTTTATTATATAACACAAGAGAATTTAAAAAAAAATCCATTTTCCGAGTTTCTGATTGTGTTTAAAATATGCTCGCTTTACCCATCTGCATATAAAATATACTTTCAGTTCCACAGGATAAATATCCTCCCAAGTTTAATATCTGCCTGAGGTCTTTTCATTAAGAACAAGTATATACATTGTAAAAAGTAATAAATTAAAGTTCTATAGAAAATATCCAAATAGCAAAGTTTATTAAACAATTTAAATTTAAACGTGCCTGAAAATTTTTCAGAATTGGTACGATATGGAGGAAAAGCCGGAAAAAAATAAAAAATCCAACTCTATGAATGGCTGGAATGAACAGTGCCATGAGATTTTAAATAAATACATAACAACAAAAAAACTTTCCATGGCCACAGGAATAATATCTATGATGGATAAAAGGGGAAAAGTGCCTAACGCTGCAAGAGATGCACGTAAAGAATTTATCGCAAATTTGAAATTCACAGTAGAACAATTGTTTCATAAGTATGTTTGTGTTTTTAACTGCAGTAAAAAATCAGCCGAATCTAGGAATGAAAAACAGACTCGAACAGTTGGACGATTTGGAAGAAGTCGATTCCAAAGAGATGTCTCTTCTCACGCAACAAGAGTACATTGATAACATTAACGATTTGAAGAATGAAATCGTGCAAGCCTGGCAGCAGCATTTTAGGGTTAAAGCCCTCAAAATTACAATTCAGGTTGACTGAAAAAACAATAAATTAAACGCAAATTTATTATATATCAATTTTATCTACAGTGCTCAAAATTATTAGTCGATACAAGCGTCGTTCAGTTTTACCCAAACAAATTTGTTTTAATAACTAACACTCTGGACACCTTTGGTAATCTTGTGTACGAGAGGCTTTGGAACAAATCTGAAAATCAGTAAGTTGCTGTAAACAAAAATAAAACATCAAATAATTTATCACCTTGAATAGACAGGAAATTGGATCGTCTTCAGAAAGTGTCTCCTCAACTACAGTGACGGAGTCAACGAAAGAGACTTGCCGTAATTGGTTTTATAAGATCGCCTCTATTAGAGAGTTGATTCCTAGATTGTACGTTGAAGCAGCCATACTTAAATCCTATTGCTTTCTCAGTGATAAGTAAGTAGTTAATTTAATAACAAGTTGATTTAAACTATTTAAATCCCTCCTCGGTATAGATGCAGACTTCACTTTTTTGAACTGTTTAATGTAAATTAATTATAGACAATCAATTGAAAATATCAATTGTTTTATGAAAAATATACATTTTTTATTGTTTTTTTTGTGAGATTTTGGGTTGAGAACTTGTATTTGTCCCTGAGTACAATGAGAAAAATAAGCTGATCAGGATAATTGTGGAAGATTTTGTTTTGTTTTTTGTTCAGTGAGTTTTCCAGTTCTCTTAAAAGACTGATGATGATGACAAGAGGCATCGGGGATCCCCTCGTGTCAATATATGCCAGATGTTACCTGTGTAAAATAGGGATTTCATCGAATAACATCAATAGGAAACTCATGAGGGAAAATTTCATGGATTTCTTACAAATGTACTGTCAGGTAATTAAAATCACCTTCTAAATCCTATTGTTCGGATCATGACATTTTCCTCCCAGTTATTTAGTACGACTGCATTGAATGAAGTCAGTAAGCAAAAAATAGACATGCCAACATACCTCAACTCATTCATCCCAGCGATCGATTGGATGCTGAATGCTGCGATTCGCAACATTGATGAGCCTGAACTTGATGAGCTGGTCGATAGCTGTTGCAAAATGCTCAATAAGTAAGTCCTCAAAAATTAATATTCAGGATTTTTATTCTTTCTATTTCCAGAGGTCTTCTGTTAAACTCAATTTTGAGAACATGTGATGCTTCTTATATAGCAAAACGAGAGTCGTTTTTTATGCAGCAGATCACTTCAAGCACTGATGACTGTACGTACAATAAACTAAATAAATTCATTACAATATTAATATTATTATTTTTAGTTTTTCCATTCCATATTACTTTGAAGTGTATGGGAGAAAAGTTACGTGGTAAAATTGTTTCAAATCCTGAGACTATTTTTGAAGATGCTTGGAAACTTATATCCCAGCTTTCCAATTCAAACACATATTTTTCATGCATTTTAGCATGGAATTACTTTATTGTCAAGTTCTGTTCAGTAAGTAAAACAAAAAATAGTGTATTTTCAACAAAATATATATTTTTTTGTTTTAGCTTACCAAACTCAATTCATTGTTGGAAGATATAATAAGCCATTTTGGAACTGGGTCAAAAGCTCATTGCCCCCTTTTGCATGAAATCATCATGTCTATCGTGGAAAATATACCCAACTTGGAAGTTTTGTTTACCCTAGTAAATTTTTCATTATTTTAATTATTTTGATTTAAATTTTAAAAGGTTTTATTTTAGGACAAATTCCTACCGCTTCTTGATCTCTTTGGAAATGATGATCTTAAGATCGTAACATCGAAGAAAATCCTTGATTTGTTTGCAGCTATGCCTAACAAATTTAAAATTACTGATCCTGTTACAACCGATGCTTTGATATTTTTGGCCAAAATCCTCCATGACTCTATTAAGTGAATTTTAAAACAGACTGTTTAAAATGGAATTTATGAAAATAAAACACTTTTGTTTTAGTATACTTTCAGTTGATGATGAAAAGCGTCAGATTGGAAATTTGATTTCCCAGATTATAATGAAAATCGACTTTGGCATGAAAATGGAGTCTCAGCTTAGTTTTTACGTTGAAGCAAGGGCTACGTTTACCAACTTGGACACAGTTGTCGTCACACTTATTCATGTATACTTCAAGTTTTCGATTTATAACAATTTTTTAAAAATCTTGTTTAAAATTGACAGAGTGTTAATAAATTGGCGATGGAAATGGGTAAAAAAGTCAAAAGCCATCATACGAGGAAAACAGCTTCGTTCGTCCATGCCTGTGCGGCTTATTCCTTCATAACGATACCGTCAATAAGATCAGAAATAACCAAGTTGCAGCTTTATTTACTCACAGCTCAAATAGCCCTTTTCAACCAGTGCCTTGGCCAAGGTAGTTAATTTAATGAATTTTAAACTTTTTAAACATATCAATTTACTTTTAGCTGATGCTTGTATAAAAAGTGCGCTTTCTTTAATACTGGAGCTGCCGCAGAATGTTGAAGAAGTTGACGGCAAGAGTAAATCAAATGAACCCTTTCTTCAAGAATATGTTCAGAACATGTTATCCACACTTATTATTTTGCCTGTAAGTATCTAGTATTTTTATCATCAACATATCACCCTTCAATATAAAATTTATCTATATTAATTATATCTCACTTCAGGTGTTTCTCAAGGCTACAGTATATCTGCCTCCCTCTTTTGTTGTTATCGTAAAATATTGCGCTTATCACCTCTTTGCGTACGATTTCCAAATCTATATCTCATTTTACCTCATGAGCTTCAAATCTTATTACACAACTCCAAGAAGACATAAATACCATCAGCTTCTGAGCTGTTGAAAATGGTCTCTCTCTATTTCTATCTATCTTTCTCTTTCTCAATGTCAATAAGTCCCAGGCTATAGTTCTTGGATTCCATCCCCTACTCCAGTCCTTATCTCCTGCTCTGCATTAACAACCATACAATATTTGTTTATCCACTGTCTAAAACTTAGGGATTGTCCTTAACTCAATCCTGGAAACCCCATGTTTCTCAAATCTCATCCCTTTGTCCATAACATGCAAGCAAACTCTTCCTGACCATCACCCGCAAACTCCTAGTCTCCTACCGTTGCTTCCCTATTTTGCTGGTCTATGATGGACTCACCAGCAAGCTTTTTACAGACTCGAGAGAATGACTTCTTTCCTTAGTTCATATCTAGTTCCCCAATGAGATCTGTCTAATATTTATCATGGTTTGAAATGATTCCCTCCTATCGCAGGCTATACTCCTCTCTCTAACAAACAATTTCTTCCCATTATCCTTCCTATATTTATAATCTGTTAGCATTTAAATCTTCCTCACACATTTGCCACACTCTGGTGGTTGGTTCTCACCCTTCTGATCTCTACCGCCTTTTAGTCTCTCCTTCCTTATCCGTTCCTACAACCTCTGGAATTCCCTCCCTCATTCCATTTGCCTTGCCTCAACTCTTTCCATCTTTAAGTCCTGTCTTTTTTTATTTCTTCCCCTACTCCAATAATGGTGATTAACTTACTTTTGTTTTGGCATGTTTAATTTCTGTCAATTCCCCCCCTCTTATTTAATTTATTTTTATGCTATTACATTTAAATATTTTGATTCATTTTGAAGGGGATAGTGAAAATTTTTTGTACTTTTTTGTTATTCAAGGAAGCTCAAAGACCCCAGAATAAAATTTATTTTCTTCTTCTATATCAATTTATCATGTGATGGAATATTTTTATTATTTTTTGGGTTTAATGCAGGTACGCTCTTTTTAAGGCTATCAGACAAAAACATCAATCTATTAATAAAACTCACTTATATAAAACTATCCCTATAAATTAATAATATAAAAACCATTAAATACAAATTTTAAAAATTACTAGAATCCATGAAACTTTTGAAAGTTTTATTATTAATTTTAACCTACAGTACATTACTTACTAGGAAAAACTGAATTATTAGTGATATTTCTTGTCAGCAGAATGGACCTGTAGTTTAGTTGATTTCAATTCTGTTCTGCCTGTACTCACTTGTTGCCAGTTTGTTGGAAACTTAAAAATAACATACGCAGAGGTTAATAAAGTACATCTGACATGCCAAAATGGCGAGGACAGGCAGACCAGCACGAATGGAAATGGCCAAACTACAAAACTGATTAATCCGTTGTTTGTTAGGACTGCCCGGAACAAGGAATTCTATATCTTACTAGAGGGCTTGTTAATATTATTCAGCAGTACTCCGATGATAATAACTTATTTGTAATAACAAACCTATACTTGAACGTATTAGACATGCTTGCCACAGTCGCTCAGGAAGATTACCCTTACCATGTCAAAAAAGGTATGTTGTATTATTGGAAAACAAATTAATTCTAATTATATTTATTTTTTAGTTGATTCAAATGATGTCCTTTATGGGAGCGACCCTAAGTTTATAGCTGAGATCAATAAAATGTGTTGTGTTATAATTGACCAAGTCTTATCGAATCTCCAGGCACTTGGGACTCGCGGGGAATTGAAGAAGCAAGTAAGTCTTGTATTTATAATTTTTTAATTTGTATTCCAACTTATACTTAATTCCCTGGGGGGGCGTTGGTGGCCCTGGGTTCGAATGCATACTTACCAAAGGCCTTTTTGGTACCGGCACCCCAAGGGTTGATATAACCTCTGCTGTTGCCAACCTCATAAAAAAAAAAAAAAAAAAAAAAAAAAAAAAAAAAAAAAAAAAAAAAAAAAAAAAAAAAAAAAAAAAAAACAATAAAAATACTTAATTCCCAACCGGATGTTTTTCAGGCTCAATTGTCATTTAGCCTGTTCCTGAGAATTATGACTCATGCTGATCTTGAAGCCAAGGGAATCGCTATGTTGGCCCAACAGTTGTGGCTCCTGGCTCATAAAAATGGAAACATAGATTCAAAGCTATCGGTATGTATTATTTGGAAAAAATTCAAATGATAAGCCTAAACCTGTAAAAACATACAAAACTATGTATGTGTGTTTGTTGCCATCTGTCTTGATGTACTGTGAATAAAATATATATTACTTGTTCTGTTTTAGAAAACTACAGTCCAATATTTAAGGCAGAAATCTACTTTATATGATCCTGGAAGTGCATTTACTGTATTTACTCAACAGTTGTATAAGACTTAAATAAATAAATGTTTATTTTTCAAATTCTTTCATTTATCGGCCCGATCTGGAATGAATGGTGGGTGAGCAATGTTAATAAAATTATTCATTTATCATTATTTATTAACATTTATAGTCACAATCATATATAAATATAAGTACTGTGCTAAAAAAGCGATGTAAAAATAACATAAAAAATTACTAATATTAAGCAAAAAGTATACTATCACATTTACATAATGAATTTTTTTTATTACAATATTTGTTTACATTGTTTGGTATGCCATTTAATCAGTCAGTATAGTAAAATTAGCTGAGTTAGAAACGCAAAAATTCTTGATGAGATGGTCATTATTTTAACCCATTGTACCTTTGTTTATAAAATAACATTTGAGTATTAGTTTTGTCAATTATCATGTTAATACTCATTAGTTTTTGCAATTGCTATTTTTAAATACCAAAATACCACATTGTGAACATTTCTTCACTTAACTTACTTCACTATCTCTTATTTCTGGTTAACATACAAAAATCACATTCTCTTACAATAAAATCCAGGTGTCACTTCTTTTTTTTTATTAATAAACATTGCAGGAAAGGAAGTGAAAACAAATCGATTTTTCCAAAATTCCACAATATTCTCACCCTGTTACATCAAATTTTAATATGAGCATAAAATATTTATTGCACCGGGAAACATTTATTGTTACAGGCACAAATCGTTGAAATTCAAACATGACAAATGAAAAGGATTCTATAAGACCAAAGGCAAATAGTTTCTTGTGTGTGTTGTAAAGAGGTTTGAAATGCATCAGGTATGTATTTTGTCTCTTGAGGAAATTGAGAAATTATGTACACAAAATAGAGCTTAAATTAAAAAGAGAAGAATGAAAAATTTCATATCTTTCTTATCACAGAGTAAACTTAAGAAAACAGGCAAATCTTATGATTGTTTATTTACCAATATGAATTAATTTTTAACATTTAAAGCATCTTGGGACCCTCTCCATATTTCACCCTCAAGCCAGAGAGATTTTTTAATTTTTTGTATCCTTTTGACATTAATCCTAAGGACCAGTATGGTGTGAGGGGCTGGTTTTTTAAATTTTCCTTCCCCAGATGCCAAACGTTCCCTTGGAGGTCCACCAAGCACAAAGGTTGTAGGGATTGAGGTTTAATTTAGGAATAATGTATAGAAATCTTATGGAAAACCTAATACAGTGGCTCTATGCGCATTACTAATTTATATTAATTATTTTTTGGGTGGGGGGGAATCTCGTTGGTTAATGTGTTTGGGGTTTTGTTGCAGGCCAGAGCGGTCTGAAACGTGCTTTAAATGCATGGGGGATAAGCGGTGCTGTGGCCTGATCGCAATTCCCACCACAACTCATTCTGGCAGTTTACAACGCATTCATAAAAATTTTAAGAATAGATTTCAAGCTGGTGCCTGCTCTGTTTTCTGCTGATGAGAAATTTATTTTTGGTGTCTAGAAGCACCAAAATTTATTCATAATAAAATAAAATAAATAATAAATATTTATGATGTGTTGTGGTAGTTCTTAGTCTTAGACAATAAACTTACCGAGTTAATAAATACTGGTTGATCTTTTTAGCGATTGAATGAAAGAGGTAAATAATTAACGGGATAAAGTTGCACATGACTTGATTAGTAGCCATTCTGTAGCATAGAAATTATTAAAATTCACATTGAGAAATTTCATTGCATATCAGCTTAAATTAGAATGTGTGGTGGACTATTTAGTGGGGAGTGTTACGCTATTAGTAACTATTAAGAATTTTTGATTAGTAATAATAAGAAATCAATTTTTTGTTAGTAAATTGGATTAAAAATCCCAACGTTTCTAAAAAAACAATTTCAAGTTTCAATTCAACTAACATGTATAAATACATAAACATTTATAAACAACTTTAGTTTAGTCACTGTTGAAAGTAACAGAATATCTGCGTTTTTGCCTTTCGAGCCAACTGTGCACCGTGGCATGAGGGTGATGGTTCACTCGCGCTTTACATATTAAAGAAAAGCAAATTAACCTTTAAGTCTTTTTTATTGGATCATCCTTACATTGAATATTCTTTATTTTGCCAAAAATATTTTTTTTTTACCATCTTGTTCTTGAAAAGTACAAAATTAGATAAATTAATGAGATGTTTATTATTGGAGCCCAATATTAATTGACAAAAAATATTAAAAATAAATCGTAAGCAAGATTGTACGTACATTTCAATCATAAAGAAACCCGACACTGCTTATACGAAAAACATTTTAAAAACAATAATAAATAAATTATAATAACAATACAGTACATTACAATAGCTTAAAATTAAAAAAAGCATAAAAAACACAAATTGGTAACTAAAATTTGATTTTTGATTCAGGTTTGATTACGGTTGAGATCAAAAAAATCGAAAACAAATCTGCCTACTTAGAAAGATGACAGCATTACAAATACGATGAAATTAGAGTCTAAAAGCCTTGCCAAACTAATTGTTCACAAGTTGACACCAATTATTGCCATGTACTAACTCTAAATACAAACTATTGCACTTGAAATCTTAGAGTGTTTCTATAATTAACTAACTGGAGTCTATTTGTTCTATTAGTCTTCTACCTACATTAGTTTTTTTTTAAATTATTTTTAAAGAGAGATATTGTACATTGAAGGTTGAAATGCAAGAAGTAAGCCAGCGATAACAAGACTAACACGATTTGTTTCAAGACCTTTTTCAAAAACATGAACCGATAAATCAGATCGAAATGAAAAATGTCCCAAAAGAAATTCACACTAACATTGCATTTCACATCGAAGTGGATTTAAATATAAACATTTCGTCGTACAAAATATAAATTTGCAAGGGTGACAACAATTTTTCTACAAAAATCTATTTTTTTCTCCTAACAATTGGGCAGAATTATACGTACTTTATGTCTTCACAACAACTTTTAATTTTCTTCACAATAATTTGTTTTAATTCTATCAATATCTATAAATTATTATTTTCAGATATGCTTTTTTCCACAAAGATTATTGTGTAAAACGTTTTATGTACAAATATAAATGATGCTGCTATTGAATTACTACTATTTCAATTTCACAATATTAACGTTTTATTCCTTACTTTTAATTTTTTAACACTGCTACCATGATAAGGCAATTTATAAGTGATTTAAATAGTAGCAGATCAGTCTTACATTATAATTCACAACACTAAATATTGCATCTTAAGCAGTTAATGTATTTTCATTTTGGAAGCCGACTTTAGGCCTGGGAAATAAATTTTGTTCTCTTCTGTTTCTGCCTGATAAATTTATCATCTCTCGACTTGTTTTAGACTTCAGTGTAGTCAATTGTCTGATATAATTTATTATTATTAAATGTAAATGCAATCTGTCTCACAAGCAAATTTAATTGAGCAAGTAGTATTGAAAACAAAGGGCGTTAAAAAAATTATTAAAAATCTTTTATTTATTTTCAAGTATCGGGTGAATATAACACAAAGTTAATTGACTGTACCAGCAGAAATAAATACCGTTTGTATTCTAAGTGTTATTGATTTTCCCCCACTTTTTAGTCCTGAATCATATATCCAAGTCCATATGTTGCCCCCACCTTTTAACTCATCATTTTTATTGTTTGTTATAAAACAATGGATATTAGAAAAATATTTTTCTGCCAATTTCGTATCAAAATAATCATAATGACTTTATAGTGCAGTTGCACTTGCAAGTACTAGAAGATCAATATTTGGTCAAAATGGATGTAATAAATTTGGTTTGGAGTAGGGTTGTTTAAGTGATACCGAGTAGCGAAGATATTTTTTTAAATCTTTTGTAACTGAAAAACAAATGTAAAAATCAGCACAAAAATGGATTTGTTCATATTATTTTTCTCCCAAAAATATACAAATTTTCAAAATATTTAGTGTGAAAATAATACAATATTTCAGTCACAATTTTTTAAGTGATTCATTTAATTTAGATTAATTTTGTTTCGTTTGGTTACCTTCCCATAGCCAGTTACCTATCACAGTGTTTACTGATAGAAAAAAAGATCACTTTTTAAAACAATTTTAAACTGGCATTCCTATAAGACAGTTTGACATATGATTTAGGATTTGAAAAGTTGAATTTTGAAATCTGTAAATATTGTATTCTAGGAATGGTTTTTAAAGAGGAGAATTAAATATGTTATAATTGCAAAACACGGGAGAAGCAAAAAAAAAAAAAAAAAAAAAAAGAAAGCCATGTAAATATATTTCGGCGATGATTAAAATGAAAACAGGAAGTTCTACATAAATAGTTTTCTAGTATTACACTTTTGGTCAGTTTAGAGTTCATTTATGAAATGGTTTTGATTAATAAAATTATTTACCAATGAAAGATGAGTTTAGCTATAAAACTAATAATTACGAAGCAATCGTGTGAAGAATCTAAATGATTCTACTGAAACTGAGCACTACATATTAAATTCCGAATCATTATTTTCTAATATAAAACTCAAATTAACAAAAAAAAATTTATTTGAGAACAAAAATTTTACACTCACAATAGGAGCTCTTTACCGTGCATATTACATTTCTGGGGTATCAAAATGTCATTACACTACTACAACTCTTTAAAAAATTCTACCATTTTTTTAAACCTAATGGCTTACAATTTATAAATAAAATGTGTTATTAATAAGACATTGACACATTTCTGCTGATAAATCAATTAATTAACTGGTAATAAAAACACTAATATCAATAATATGATACAAAATTTTATAAAATGAATTTAATGTGATATTAACGCCTAATGTATTGCATTTGTTATACAATAAAATCATTTAGTATTGCCAGCATTTGAGCTGATTACCTGTTAGGTCATTATTTACAAAGTATACATCAGGCGACAATTAGAAAAAAAATTGTTTGTGAACACACTATCGACTAAAACGACATGCACTACACGATACATACACAAAAATCACTTTTCAAACTACATTGAAAGACACCCATTGATTAGGACTAGTATTTTTACTCCACGCTCCTCATTTTCAAGAGCATGTGACATCCTGAGGCCATCTTCAATGAACATTGAAAAAATTATGAGCGTATTTGAGCGGTTCCTCACAAAAGCTCTAAATTTGTAACACAGTCGTGTAAAAAAAAAAAATATAAAAAGAAAAGCACTGCACACCCTTTACATTCTAATCAGCATGTTTTTTAATAATATTATTTTTAAGCCAGTACTCCTTACAGGGGACAAACTAATATCAATTTAAAATAAGTACTGAGGTTTATATATTTACATAATCACGAGGGGGGGAAAATGTGCAAAGCCTTTTTATTTTTATAATATAACAAAAGAAGCAATTAAATTGTTTAATTTTAAACATTACTATTTTAACTCAGAAATCATACAAAAAAAGCTCTTATGTACATACTGTACGAACTGGTAATTCTGTTGAAATTTCCTTGTTTGTTTTGTCAGTTAGAACTGTACAATACCAAGAATGTGACGAATGAACTGACAGCCTCATTTTTCACAAGTGACACTAAGAAAATAGAAAAATTTCAATAAGTTAATTTTCATTTTCCCAAGTAATGAACAATTCGCGTTGTTGTACTATTATTGTAAAACAAATTGATGCACATGAATCAAAGCTAATCAAGATTGAAACAAAGATTGTGAAACACTGTTTGAAGTGAATTTATGTCACTTGATTCTAATTGTCCTGAATTTTCACTTCTATTAGACACATTATACCATTGGCAGAAACAAAATTAAAAAGGCAAACTTTTGAAAAAATTTGACAATTGGAAAGCCAGTGAAAATAGGCAAACCAGGATTATCAGGGACGATCCAGCTACATACAGGGTGGGTTTAACTTCTGCTCTCCTTTTATATAGATANTACATATTTTATTGGGGTGTGGGGTGTTTTTTGAAAAAGAAAAAGAAAAACCGAGACATGAAAACATTTATTTTTTGTCTGGTTTCTCATGAACTCAAAAGTTTTGATCTAACTCTCCAGGATAATGAGATATGAATAGAAACTAAAATATTTCAAATGGTAAGATATTCATCAATCTATATTTGTTGAAAGTCTTCATGATGCTGAATCAACAATACAAACGGTTTTTAGTTAGAAGTAACCGTTCTCAAGTTATTCGCAAAAAACAATTTCCAAACTTTTTTTTTAATATTTCATTTTATGACCTTACTGTTTTCATAATAACCAGAGAAACAACACATATATTTTTGATGGTGAAGTATTTCTTAGGGGAAGGGTAGCATGAAAAAAAGGCCAGGGGTGGATAGTGGGAATCAAACGCACAAACTGGGTCTATGTGCTGAGAATCTAACATGCTAACTACTCGGTTACCAGGTATTTAATTTGAAGCAACCATTTTTAAGTTATTCACAAAAAACTTTGTCTGAATACTATTTTTAATAAGTTCTTGTGATCAACCAATTACCAATATATTTATTTATAATTTTAAATGAGAGTAAATAAATTGCCCATGGTACCAAAGAAAAATTTTGCAACTATTTCTTCTAATAACTTTGACTCACAGGATTTTCTGAATGGATCATTAAAATGGATTCAGCCTGGTGCAAATTTCACTCCACAAATTCCAACAAGTAATTAATATTTGACAAATGAAATATAAATAAAAATTAATTTACCTTTGAGGCTTTTGAAAAATCTAAAAAAAAGAAAAAAAGATGGAAATATTTTAATCCATAGTTAATAACCATGACACTAAAGTTTAGCTTTTACTTACTTCGACTTACTGTGCATATTGTAAAAATGTCTCGTTTCATTACACGAAAATGGAGATGATTTTCCTGATGGGGAAAGTAGCGCAAAGTTGGCACCAAGCTTTAATGAGCTACATCCAAAGTGTCCTGTTAGTTGGAGATATTTGATGAAATTGTTGGAAAATCTTTCTTTTGGTACCATAAGCAATCAATTCATTAACAATTAAAATGATAAATAGATTGGTTGAAGGGAGAAGATTTCTTTTATCCAAAAAAATAGTGTTGGGGCAAAGTATTTTGCGGGTAACTTGAGAACGGTTGCATCAAATTAAAAAGTGTTTGCATAATTGAATTAAGCATATAAAAATCTTTTATAAAAAGTACACTGATTAGTATCTTGCCATTTGAAATACACTAACCATATCCATATCCCGTTATCCATCAGGCAGATCAAAATATTTTGGTTCTTGAGAAAGTTAATAAAAAATTATATGTCTGATGATTTTTTAATGAAACGGCCTGTTAAAAAAAAGTTTATGTTTGATTAATAAATGACTTTACTTTACATTACTTACCTCTTACTAGGGGATGAAGGTTAGATCCTATATTCTTACTGGATTAATTACTGTGTTGTTATTTAACCTCATCGTCATGGTATCATTTGAATTTTCATCAGGCTCTGACCACTCCGACTGCATATAATCGTGATACCCAGGGTTGAGGATAATGTTTGGTATAAGCTCCATAGTTTCCATGTCTTTTTCTGAAACTATAGATCATATAAATTAGGGAAAGTTCAGACATGAAGAGAGTAAATTTTAAAATACCCAATGGAAGATGACATTCTTTGTAAAGAGCGTATATCGTTGCTGTGGCCAAGATGAGGAGTGTACCCATAACAACTGCTACAGCAGCGATCCAAATTCTTGTATCGAATGTTTCAACCCCCTCAAGAAGATGTTTACCCAATTCTATTACAAACCCAAATTAAAAATTAATCATTTGATTAAATTAATTGATATTTTTAACTGACCAATTTCTTGGCTGTCATGTTTTGTTTGTGCTTCAAGTTCAACAACATCACCCCTGCCAAGTTTGTTGTTAGCCCAGATTTGGAACACATACGATGAATTAGGCTTTAATTGAAATATGTCAACTTGAGTCTGTAAAACATCATTAATTAATTATTATGAAGTTGAATTAGAAACTGCGAAACACTCGGCTTACAGCTGTTGGTTTAATCTGACCATCTGGCATAACTAGATGCCATGGATCGGGCGACTCGCCCTGTGGCGTGTGGCGAAGTCGGTATTGTGCAGTGAATGAGGTAATTGGGTATCCTCCAGTATCTACTACTTCCCAATGGAGCAGAGCCAAGATAGTTGATGGTACTACAGTGACATTAGTCAAAGGTGGAGGTGGGGCTACATAAAAATAAATTAATTTTAGAAAGAAAAAAAAATCAGTTTGATTACTACATGCAATAAGACGATTGGTTAAAAATCAAATAGTTCAATGTAAAAAGAATACTCACTTCGAACATGTACCCTAACTTTGTTAATAACTGACATATCACTGTCTTGAATGCACGAGTACTCGCCGGCATCGGTCCTGCTTAAGTACTTAAGTATTAATGTATTGTCATGGCGAACACTGCTTTTCAGTCCCTTGTGTTTGTTGTTGAAACTCCAATACGTGTCGCCAGGATGAGATAACTCGTCCTTTCGACAAGGTAGGGTCAGGTTACTGCCCTCATCACCCCAGAGTTCATCAATTTCTGTCTCGCTTGCCCAACAGGTGGCTATTGGAAGACAATGTAGCTTTAAGTTATAAATTTTATTAAAGAAATATTTTGAGAATTTTTTTTGGCTGGTAGTTTAATCCTAACCATACTTATTTATTTTTAACTGTACTCTTTGTTTTATGACTGTCGCTGACTGTTGTGTCACATTTTTAGGTTAATAAAGACAAGTAAAGGGAGAATTTACTCTCAGCCCATCAAGTAAAAAAATAATATTAACAAATATGAACACCCAGGTTCACACTTTTGACTGCATGTTTGAATAAGATTTTCCATCTATGTATGCTTTGATTTTAGAGCAAGTAAAATAAACAGAAAATGAGTAATATTGATTGCACATAGGCACATTTCTGTTAATCTATATTATATGCATACTTTTTTAGATGACAGTGTAATGGCTAATAGGTCTGACATCATTTCTACTGAAGGACAGAATTTTTTTTATTATTATCCTTTAGAACAGTTCGCTCCTATATCAGGAGTGAGTGTTTGATGATTTTTTACCCAGTTTTTCTGAACAGGTGGACCTTGGAGAGGGGCTGCCTCTACCAGTCAAGGACTCATAAGGCCATGATGGGAGCCCTTTTTTTTTTTTTTGGAGCACATACTGTATCTTGTGCCAGGCTCCAGAATACTTGTTTAAAGGGCTCTCATAGGTGAAATGGTTTAATTGGAAAAAAGGACTTCTCTTATTTTTTATCTTTTATTGAAATTTTTAATTGTCGGGTGTTCAATTTGTATTAAAAGGAAAATTGGTTTGAATGATGGTTTTTTTTTTAAGAAATATATTTATTGGTTTTTATTTTGTTGTTTGCTTGCTGAACACCTTTATACTATTTTATTTTATTGCTGGTTGCCAATTATTGCATTTTCTTTCAACTTTTGAAACTGGGTCCAGTTCTCCTTTGGGAAAATTTGGGAAATTTACCCCCGGGAACTGTACTATGGACCATCACACCACAGTTTCTCCCTGAAATAATAAGGTAAATTTTCCAATTTGAAATTGACATTATAACCCTTAAATACAAGCTTTAGTGCTCTGTTTGATTTCTGTGCCTTCCATGTAACCAAATAGAGTCAGCGTTGACCAACAGTCCTTTCTCTTGTCCTGTCCATTCTGGTAATATAATTTCTACATTCTTTTGTAAAGTCAAGCCTAGAAATCATGGCATCTAGGAACAATATTACATCCTTTCAAAGATCTAGGACTGTCATTTGGAATCATAAAGTTTACTTATAGGACTTATAGGTTGATATTAAAGGTTGCCTTAATTTTCATATCACTTAGGAGTGTTTCTACTCATTACTGCAGTTTTTTCCTCCCACACAATTGCCCCATAACTTTTAGCCAGGCCACTTTTATTGTCAGAGGTCCAATTAACAAAATTCACATATTAATGGTGTTTTGTAAGTACAGAACAGATGTATGTACTTAGTCATAATTGACATAATAAGTCATACTAGACTGTATTAATTCTTTTAATTAACTATACTTTTACTCTAAGGTAAGGTCGAGATGAAAAGGGAAGTGTTACAAGCAGAATTCAAACCCAATTCGGCTCAATATGCCACTGCTCTAACCAATCTATGGCCACTTCATAAGTTGACGAGAATTGAATCCTGATTACACATTTAAAAATGCGGCACACAGATGGAAAATTCAAAAGGTTGTAGGTTGAGATGAAGTGGATTGTCATGATAGCTCAAGTGGTTAGAGCAGCGATGTATTGAGTCGAAGGTCGTGGGTTCGAATCCTGCTTGTGACACTTGCTTTTTCAACAAAACCAAGACCTTAAATTACAAGTGCAGAACTGAGTTGAACTGTTCATCTACAGTAGTGAGTTTTTGATGTTACGCTAACGCATTCTGGCTTTGCACCATCTGTGAGGAACACAATAGATGATGGACCCAGTGCCGGTTCAACATGTGTTCACTGTCTCAAAGACCAACACTTCACAGAACAGAAGTATCTCTTTAGCCACCATAAAATACCTATGAATATGATTCACTGAGATTTAACGATGTATTTCTGTGTAAATCTTTGGATACGGTTTCAACCAGTACTGCTGAGAAAGGTTTAAAACTTAGAACATCTTTCATAACTTTTCAATTATGAATCAATAATAAAATAATTTTATTCGGTGTTTGATTAAAGAGAAATTTGAGTAATAATACTATGAAATTACTGTGATCTTAGTATGGATGTATTTCAGATTGTGGGCGAATAAGTGCATTCATGTTTTTTTTATTGTGTATTAATTTAATCTTAGTTCAAACGTGATGAATTTGTTATTATAAGACAATAATTGATGATATAATTGTATTTGCTTCAAGAAAAAGTGTTAATAAACAAATGCTCACTCACCGGAATGTATCGTGAAATTAATAAGGAAAAACGACAAGACTTTGGTAATCATTATTCCATCACTCGCCGATTGTCCTCGACCGGCCTCTTTCGGGAAAAACCAACGTAAATAATCGAAAAGATTTTTTTTGTAAAACGGAAAAAAAAATTAAAAAATCGTGGATACAAAACACAAAACCATAGAAAATTATTGAGTTCAAAGCCACACGGATTGACAGGTGGAGATGGCCCCACGGCAGCCCCGCAATGGTTTCGCCCACGGCCCAACTTCGGATCGAAACTTTTCCAACGGAATTTTCTCGAATTATTTTCCAAAAGAGAAAAATGTCCAATTTCAAAAGGAAATCGGCCAAAATTAAAAATATAGGATTTGACAATGCATTTTGACACTTGTGTAACCGGAGTCGACTCCGTTCCCTTCCCCTGACCACTGGTGTTTACGTTTACCGATTTTTATCAGTAGCGTTTAGGCGTTATCAATACTGATATTACTGATGTTTTCTTAACAATGCATTGAAAATACTACTGCTTCCACAGGTAAAAAGATTTATTGATTTTATACAATTTATTAATTATTAATATATAATCGATTTGGATTTTAGTTATGCCTTTAAATACTCATTTACCTTAATTGAAATTGATTTTTTTATTGGTACCAAAATAACATTTTACATACACATCTACACCAAACATTCACAAATATATATTTTTAATTTACAAAATTTATCATTTAATAATATATTCTCACATATAAATTAAATATTATTAAATTCTTCATTCTTAGTCATTGCACTCTGAGGTGTTTATATAGTTACGCAAATATAAAAAAAAAAAAAAAAAAAAAAAAAAAAAAAAAAAACACGCCATGCTGAAGCGTCTAAGAAGGAAGAATGCTCGTATATTTATCTTTTAAATTGAAATTTGATTTAATCTTAAAAAAAAATTGATTTACTATTAAAAGATATGAAAATTATTGAGAAAAACTATAAACGGTTTTCTCCTATTGATTCAAATTGTCATTGCCTTAGAACTGTTTCTCCTTATTTATTTCTTAATCACTCTATTAGTTTTCTCTCTCTTTGTAATTCTCACTTTCCTCCCTCTTTCTCACTATCACTCCCTCACTCACCTTCACACAAACACATTCTCCATCTCTCCTCTCTCTCGCTCCCCCTCTCTCTCCTCTCGCTTTCTGTCTCTCACACTTTTTATCTCCCTTTCACTTTTCCTCTCACTTTCTCTCTGTCTTTCAATATCTCTATCTCACTTTTTCCCAAATTTTTTCTCTCTCCCCTCCTTCTCCTCTCTCTCTCCGCTCGCTCTCTCCTCTCTCTCTCTCTCTTTCTTTCTATCTCTCTATTTCTCTGTCTCTCTCTCTCTCTCTCTGTCTTTCAATATATCTATCTCACTTTTTCCCATATTCTCTCTCTCTCTCTCTCTCTCTCTCTCTCTCTCTCTCTCTCTCTCTCTCTTTCTCTCTCTCTTTCTCTTTCTTTCTATTCCTTTCTCTCACTGTCCCTTTTCTCTCTTTTTCTCCCTTATTCTCTTTCTTTCACTTACTCACTCTCTTTCTCACTGTGTTTTAATTTTTCTCTCTCCCTCTAACATTCTTTTGCCCACTCCCTCTCTCTCTTTCTCTCTCTCCTCTCTATCTGTATCTATCTATTTCTCCTCTCTCTCATTCTCTTTATCTCTCCCTCCGTCATCTCCATCTCTCTTTTTTTAACTCTCTCAATCTCTCTCCCTTTCAATCTATCTTTCTCACATTTTCTCTCTTACTGACTTGTCACTGCTCTCTCTCTTTTCTCTCTCTCTCTCTCTCTCTCTCTCTCTCTCTCTCTCTCTCTGTCTTTCAATATCTCTATCTAACTTTTTCTCATATTTTCTCTCTCTTTCTCTCGCTGTCCCTTTCTCTTCCTTTCACTTACTCTCTATCTTTCAATTTCTCTATTTAACCTTTTTTTCATACTCTGACTCTTTCTCACTCTAATTTAATTTTTCTCTCTCCCTCTACATTCTTTTGACCACTCACTCTCTCTCTCTCTCTCCCTCTCTCTCTCTCTCTCTCTCTCTCTTTTTCTCTCACCCCCTCTCTCTCTCTTTCATTTCCTTCATTTTCTATATAGTACTTACTTCCCTGTTACTCCCACTCTCACTTTCTCTCGATAGCTTTGTGTATCTTTCAATCTCTTTATTTATTACATACACTTTTACTCTCTCTTTTTTACAACTTTTTCAGCTTCGTTCTCACACCCATGTTTTCTTTTTCACACACATTTTTCATTTTCACATTCCGTTTCTCTCCCTTTCTCTCTCTCTCTCTCTCTCTCTCTCTCTCTCTCTCTCTCTCTTTCTTTTTCTTTCTCTTTCTCTTTCTCTTTCTCTCACTCTCACTCTCACTCTCAATCTCTCTCTACCTTTCAACTTCCCTATGTCACTTTGTTTACACTTTTTCTCTCTCAATCAATTTTTTGTCTTCTAACATTCTTTTTCCTCCCTCTCTTTCTTTCTTTCTCTCGCATTCACTCTTAATCTCTATCTTTTTATCTTTCTGTGTTTAGTTTTCGCAAATGTTAGTCAGTTCTGAAAACGGCGTACATTAAGCAATAGAATTTATTCAACAATATGGACTCTAGGCCATAAATAGTCTGATTTCAGCAAACAAGAAGCGGAAAAAATTCTTGATGCGCTTGCCAACACTAAAGAAATAATTCTCGTCAAAAGATATTTTTTCTTTCTTTTGTAGGAAAATTACTTTGCTATCCCAAGATAAACGCTAGGGCATTGGCAGTTTTCCAGTTTCACCTGTAGGCTAATCTCACGGAGTTTTTTCTTTAGATATTTTGATAATTTCGATTTCTTATAATTCTGTTCACTTTAACGGCGTTCGAAGTTTAAATAGCTAAGCCTATTGTCATAAGTAGAATAGTTGATGACAGGCATATAATAAGATTTTCAAACTGAAGCTTTTAACTACGTATGCCGGTTGTACTAAATGGTTGTGGATTAAAAAATCTATTATTTTATTAAAAACATTTTTGGCAAAGTTTACACTTTTCAATTTGTAAAGGAAATTTAGTAAAGATGTTTCAATTTGATTTTAAAAATTATACAAATTGTCAAGATTCTGAGTTGAATTTAACTTAAATAAAACATGATTAGTTACATATTTCCGAGTGAAAATTTCAAATAAAAAGTTAAATTCACGGGTCTTTGTTTTTCACCTTCCACCAAAACGACTTTCCGCAGCGATTTCACCACTCAGCCTTTCTCTCTGTGCCGAAGGAGCGTAGAAGGTGAAAATGACGTGTTTGATCTCATTGTCAGTAAATAATGACTAGAAGCCATGTTAGACACAGACGGGCTGGCAACAATCCAATAGACTCTTGATCTAAACAACGATTAAACTTTTTCTTTTTCTTCTAATCCTGTGTCCGAATCATTAATAGGCTTGTCTTACGATGCTTTCCCATGTAAACTTTTTTTTACGAAGTATTTCCTTTGGTTAAAATAAACGAAACTAAAGTATTTCTATTTTTAGCTAGCTTTTCATTAATTCCTCGAAGAGAAACTGAATTTTTAATTAAACCTATTACCAATAATATTCCTATAAAAACCATCATAACATAAGGCTAATGGAAGCTACAATAAATATTATATGATATATATTTATAGAAATGGTGGAGGGAGTGTGTTGTTCAATCTTTTCAAAGAGATAGTTCCTACTCACAGTTAGTTGTTTTAACGATCCGGATTTCGAGTTTATAGCTCATCATCGGGTTGTAGAACTCTTTCAACATGATGATGATGAGCTGTAAGCTCGAAATCCGAATATTTGAAAACAACTAACTGTGAGTAGGAACTATCTTTTTAAAAAGATTGAACAATTTANCCATGGACAATATGAACTTTTTTGTTCATTTTAGGGTGAAGAATCTACTGGAGAAGTTTGTAGCACGAGTAGCAATTCACCCTGTATATATATATTTACATAGTGATAAATTATTTTGTCCTTTTAAATAATAAGATATTTGAAAGATATAGCATAAAAATATTACTTCGGTTTTAAATATGATACTAGTAGGCATCATCATTTTTAAATAGTATTAGTAAAAATAAGTCTACATAACGAGAATAAAGACAAAATTAGTTCTCAGATGAAAACTAAAAGGCTAGACTTAAAAAGTATATATATTTAAGCAACTGTTTTCTCTTCGTTCTGCATCTTAAGACTTATTTACATATTTTCTAATGGTCCTGAACTCTTTTGCGGCATACCAGATGCCAAAAACGTAAAATAATCAGGCATAGGATAAAATAAGTCATTGGTTCAATGGGATCCCAGGACAAAGGTTCTTCAAAGAACATAGCAGAAATTAACTGCAGGACTATCAATTCTAGGAGTTGTTAGGGCTGTAATGATTGGACTGTTGTTGTGACAGTCCGAAGGCAGTTTGAGTTTACACTAGAACCAGAAATATAGAAAATTCTCCTTAGTTAGTACGAAGGCTTATGCAGGCTGAAAATCCTTCTCCTGGTAAAGAAAAACCCTGAAGGATACATAAGGGATCTGGTAAAAATCATTAATCTTAACGAAGAACTCTAAATAATAATGGAGATTTCACAATAGACCAGTATTGGTCGGGATGCGCAAGTTCGTAAAGAGGCGGACTCATTTTAACCTTAAGATTAAAATTAATTGTAACTGTTCAACACTTTAATCAAGTATTTTTTGTATAAACGCCAAAAAATCTCCATCGATTTAATTTTAATTAATGGACAGTACTTCGTTTACTATTTATCAAATCTTGATTTCTTAAGTTCCTTTTTTTAATATTTTTTAGCAATATTTGGGTTAATTGTTGACTATTTGTTTATTACATTATTTGGATTTTTTGTTTATTTTTTATTAGGCTGGTTTTCAAATTTCCTTTCAATTCTTTCCCATGCTCGGTGGATTTAAAATCAGGAGATTCGGAAAATAAATATACATATATACATATAAATGGAGAAAATTAAATTTTATCTTAAACCAAATTTTTCGCCTCTCGGTTTGCATTTGTCTTTAAGGGTGCACAAGTACCGATTCATTATTCTATCTATAATTTTCATTATCCCTACACCAGATCTTCCGTAGAACCATAAACCATAATTTTAAAATGAGAACAAGTTTTTTGGACTTTTTGAAAGTTTAGAACAATATATAAACCCTTTGGACCGCTAACCGTTTAGCTGGATGCACTTTACTGATGACCTTTAATTAATTT